ATTTTTTCTCTTGCATATATTTCAGAAAAAGAAGTAGAAGAGAGAAAGGAAAATGAAGCCAAACGACGTGGCATTATTTTTCGCTAGATAAGAAAAATCACCTCGAGGAATCTGCAGCGAGCGACCGCAGGGATACTGCAGTTAAGAAATCGACGCTCATCCGCCTTTTTATTTACCCGCCCTAATCTCCTGCTTCTCTCTCTCTTTCTGTCTCCCCCTCATCCCCCAAAAAACCCATTCTTCACAATCTCTTTTTCCATCTTATATGCGAGAAAAAGAATAAATCGTACCATCTCTCATGTTTATCAACATAATGGTAGCTTTTCTGAGAAACAACAAGAACGCGATTATTTGAGAAAGCGAAAAAAAAAAAAAAAAAATTTATCATTTTTCTAGGTGTCTTTAATATCCGCGAATGCACTCGTCCTTCAGTTGAACTTTGCTCTACAGAAAAAAAAATATACGTACGAATAACTTCATGTTTTACAATTATTAAAAAGTTCCATTCGTATTTTTTTTTCATTTTTAAAATAAACTTTTTTTTTTTTTGTAAAAATGACAGAAAAAGAAGAATAGAATATAAGAACAATATTCCGTTTTGTAATGAGAATTTCTATGATTGATTTTAGTACAAGTTTGTGCTCAAGTTTCAAAACTGATGTTTAGATTAAAATACACATGAATATGTGTAGAATAAAGAGGTGTAACTTAACTAAAATAATTGTATATAAGAAGAAGGTCTGAACAAGGTAAGGTCGACCTATTCTATTGCAGCAGTCCACTGTAAATGATCATAAGAGAGAAAATGGTTAAACTCAGTGTGCGCAAACTAAATTGTATGAAGTATCAGGGACGTTTGGGACGCCATTCAAATGTTAGACCATTCAGACAGTTTCAGAAACTTTCCTCAAATTTGCTAACTCCGCAAAGAAGTTTCTTGATTCTTGACTTCATAAAGTTTATTTTAAAAAAAGTACTTCTCAAGGAAAATCGTTTACCAATAAACAAGAATATTCTCCAGCTTGTTATCAAGTTCTAAATTATATTAGAACAAACTATAATTTTTATATAATAAATAATTTAAATTATTTTATTTAAATAAAATTTCTTTAATAAATAATTTATATAAATTTAATAAATAAATATATCTAAAATAATTTTCTTTTTTTAATCCACTACTCCAAATTAATTGTTTAAAAACCATAAAACTCAATGCCTCAAAGAAATAAAAAAAAATAAATAAAATTTTCAAAAAGCAATTTTCCCTATATAAATCAATCGCATTTGTAGAATTATTTCAACGCCGAATAAATCAAATTCCTATCAATCTTTTAGTAGAGGAAATTTTCACTCGAGAAATTCGTGCGCAGGAAAAACGAATTTAAAAAGAGGAGAAAGAAAATTTAGAATTTGTTCACGGGACATTAAAGTCACGTACGCAACATATGTGTGAACGTTTTTTTTTTTTTTTAATAATATAAAGTTTGTTATGCTTCATTTTTATACTCTGCTCTTGTCGTTTATATATATAGTATATGGCTGGAGAAATGAAGAAAAAAAAAAAAAAAAGAAGGTAACTTTAGATGAATCGACCTACCGCATATGGTTAAGATCGCCGGACGATGACGGTCGATTTGGCTCGACAATCGCGAACGACAAAAGGCGCGATTTGTTGCCAGATCCCGTTCTCTCTCTCTCTCTCTCGCGGTTCTATTCCCTCGTTACTATATACTATATCGAGAAAGTGCGCCAGGACTGCGCTCGACAACCGTGTAATTCGTGTGGTCCAGGAAACTCAACCTCTCGGAAGAATGTCCTCGCCCACCGCAAACGCGTGTCCATCGATTTCATACCTTTTTTTTAATATCGCAAAAATTACGCTACTCTAAACTTTCACGCTTCAATTCCAATGAGATTTTTATTTTCATTAAAAAAAAATAACTAGTTTTTCACTCTTTCCAACGATTTTACGACTCTGCGTCAGTTCATGTTTCAATTTATAATAACTCCTTGAAATTGAATTCCTTGAGTAAATTTTCCAAAAATCAATGCGACAAAAAATAAATGATGGAAATTCCATTTTCCAGTCTTTATTAATTTTATATATCGATGCTAAAGAAGCATAAGTGTCATATAGGCCGTGTGGAATATACATATATATATAGAAAAAAAAAGAGTCCTCTCTATATATCTCATCATGAACATTAAGATGAAATATTACATGGATCGAGTTTCCCGCGTAAAGTTCAACAAAGTTGAATTATAATTAATTTGAAGTACATGAGGAATTGAAAAAATTAATGCTTGTCTGCAGTCTTTCATAAAAATGCACATTTTTTATGCTCGAGATACTCACAGAACTTTGCTAACACTTTTCCCTCTCGATCTTTTTTTTTTTTTATACGCTTCGCTCTCAGATTCACTTTTTTCCTCATCAGTAAATATTTTACTCAAACAGAGGGAGAGGGAACTTTTTGTGTGACACATCTCTCCTTTTTCTGCGTCTCTTCATTTTAAAATAATTTTATTATTATAACACATTTTTTTCCAAAATAAAAAATTCAATAATCTTTTCTTAAAAAATTTACTTTACGTGTCTTGATTAAATTGTAGATAAATTTATATATGGCCAACTTTATATATTTTGTATGGGGAATATATATATATAAGGTGCGGAGTGAGCACATATCTCTAGGAATATATAAGCGACGTCTTTATATCTTTACAGTGGATCGTTATATCGTAGAAATGTTCCCATTTACTTTACGCTGAGAAAATTTCATGTTCCAAAGGAGGATAATTTGTTGAAGATGATGTCGGGGAGTTTCTTGAGAGACTCATTTCTTCCAGTCATTTTGTGTTAAGCACAATGTTTTATTAGATTATCGACAGCTACTGTTTTATCGTTCAATCTTTATATAGCAGTAATATTTTTTTTTAAAAAAAAATTAATTTTTCCATGATTGTACGCCTTTATTTTTCTTTTGCAAAATTATTTTTTTGGAAAATGTTTTTTTAGAACAAAATTCCAATTGTAAATCTTCTTTTTCAGCTTCTTTTGATTTTTTTAGTTTTTTAGTACCTAGAATGAATTGACCTATTTTGTATTCCTAAAAGTTTCATCAAAGGCGCCTCTTTTCAGATATTAAGGTTAGGCAGCAGGTGCCGCCCCGTTTTCATCGAATATTTCAACTTTTCCTTGTATTTATAGGAGTTCGTCATTTACAAAGTATTACATTTATAAGCAAGCGATATACAGAATTTCGTAAAGCGTACTTCCGGTTGTTGCAAATTTAGGCGACACGAAAGGTGCGTGTGGCAATGAGGCGTCTTCTTTCAATATATACATATGTATATATATTAAACATGGCAAAATGGTATTGAATCAAGTCCAACTTTTACTGGAGGTTCCCGAAAATTTATATTCAAAAAAATGTGATGAATATCATATAATTTTATTTTTAGCATTTTCTAATCTATTACTAAATATTTCTATATAATAAATTGAATAATTTTTCCATAAATAAATTTTCAAAGGAATGAATTTTTTTTGTTGCCCTCTTGTTCGTAAGTATAAATATTCTTTTAAAAAATTTCAATATCAATTCGATTTTATTATTCGACAATTTTTTATGTCTGAAAATGTTGCAGATAATATGGAATCGTGCCTAATCTACAGTATAGTTTCAGGACAAGCTGGATTCTAGTGCACGTAGTGCAAACAACTTTAACTACACTGAAAAAAAAATAGTATTGAATCAAGAAAATTTTACTTGCTTCAAGTAAACCGTGGAATTGAATAGGGACAAGTCAATTACGGCATTGGTTCAAGTAAACGATTGTCTTGAAATAGTATATTTGGGACGAGAGCATATATTCTTGATCCAAGAAAATATGGAATTCGAGCAATATATTAATCAACTTGTAACAAATGTAAAATACATTAAAGGAAGAAAATATTTTCTTGTTCTGAGAATATATGTAGTCAAATTAATTGTTTCATTTGATTCATTCAAATCTTTGCAATATTGGATCAAGTAAGACAAGATTTAAATCAAAATATTATTTGTATTGTGAGGAGACCATATGTTCTTGGTCCAAGACAATATGGAATTCGTCTAAGAAGTTTATTGACTTCTAAGAAATGTAAAATATATTAAGTCAAGATCATATATATATTAACTCAAGAAAATATTTTCTTGACTTGAGAAAACTTATGGAGTTCAACCAAAAAAATATTTTTCCAATACAAGTAAATATTTAATTTCGTACTCAATTTGAGATTAGGGTTTTTCTGTGAATTTAAGACTTAATAGAATAAAGCAGATAAAATTTCTATTAATAATGCATACTCTAAAAGTAAAAATAATAATTACACTAATTTATACGATTTTTCCATTTGTTACAGTTATTTATTTGTCAATTTCGAAATACAGTTTTTAATTGACAGTTTGAAGTGACCTTTATTTTTATTAAATAAAAATAAATAAATTAAAAATAAATAAATTATTTATTTTTAAATAAAACAATTGATGTTTCTATTACAAACAATAATTATTTTATATATATATATATATATATATATATATATATATATATATGTATATAAAATAATTATTGTTTGTAATAATTAATAATAATAATAATTAATAATAATAATTAATTATAATTATTGTTTATAATTATTATTAATAATAATAATAATTAATAATAATAATTAATTATAATTATTGTTTCTATTACAAACAATAATTATTTTATATATATATATATATATATATATATATGTATATAAAATAATTATTGTTTGTAATAGAAACATCAATTGTTTTATTTAAAAATAAGTTAACAATTGTTTTCCTGTTTGTAACTTTTTTTACGTCTAAATTAAAGTTTTTGAATTTTAAATTTCGATACTTATCGATTATCATTCAATGTGAAGTTGTCAGCCTTGCTTTTGCATTATGTTCCCTGTGAACAGACCTAAGGCTATTTTCCTCCTGTGAATTATCATAGGAGTTTAAAGTTACAAAGTTACGCAGTTGTTGAAGAAGCCGGAACGTTTTCATTGCGATCCTAACAAAAAAAAACTATAATAAACGAAAGCAATTATCAAATCGTTGGTGATTAAAATTAATCATAAAGATTTCTATTGTACTGAGAGTAAGTTGAAATTTAATTTAACGTGAATCGATAGTGTTTAAAGAGATTCTTTTTTTCTTTATTTTTCAGGTGACGACAAAACGCACAGGAAGTCTCTTAGTGAGAGAGCTTTGGGCGATCCATCTGTCTTAATTATTTCATCGGCTCGAGTTGTATTTTTTGCGCTAGAAGGCGACCGTCCAGCAGGGCGATACCATTTTATATGACTTTTCCTCAACGACAAGGTAAATATAAACGAATTTATTCTTTATTTACATTTGAAATTGTTTTTTTTTTTTTTTTAAATGAACATTTTTTCGTGCGAACGTGGTATCCAATTTTAGCAAACAGCCATTTTGGTCATAGGGAACGTGTTCACAATTTCGCTAACGCATTTATTTCTCTACGTGGAAGTGAATGCCATACTATTAATTTTTATTATAATTTTTTTTTTCTTGTCATTTGTGTTTAATCTTATTTAAAATGCTTTCATTTTTTCATCATTCTATAAAAAGTTTTGAAAAAAGTCAAATCGATGAAGTAACATAAAATGTGTTTCTAATATTGGTATAGGTTATTTCGTCATTTAATCTCATGGTATGTGTATTTTACTTGATACGTAAATGTATATAATATTAGAAAAAAAAATGTTCATTTTTTTTTACTTCAAGCGGTGAGTGACAGTTTTAATTTTTCAATTGTAAAAAATAAATTTATACAATTTTTATTTATACTCTATAATCTAACCTCACTTTTCGTTTTTTTTTTCTTGTAATATAATTATCTAATTATGTTGTGAAAAAAAAATTGAAATTGATTTTTAATTGATTCATAGATTCAAATAATGAAACATCTGTTCAAATGAATGTAATGTGGAAAATTTTGTAATTTATATTAATGGTAATTTTTCTTTTATTTGGATTTTAGACGATTTTTTTATATCTACTTATTTAAGTATATTTAATGTTGTCTTTCAACAAAGACTTAACAGTGGCTCTCAATTATTGAAATTTTGTATTAATAATTTCCAATTTCTTTTATAATGTAATATATATTGACACAATAATGTCGTTTAAATTACGTTTACATCGATTACAACATAGTTTACTTTTTTCAAATTTAGTATAAAATTTAATTCAAATTTAAATATTCAATGAAATAATTTCTTTCTCACATTTTTTTTTTTTTTTTTTTTTTAAGAAAAATACAAAGTTGAATTTTTTTGAATTCGGATTTTATTAATTGAAATATTAATTGAAAATATTTAATACCTAATTATATTTAATAAATAAATATATTTTTATTATTATATTATTCAGGCCTCGGATTATACGACTTTTTTCGACTTATTTTAATAAATTGCGACTTTTTAGACTATTTTTTTTACATTTTTTGAAAAAAAAAAATTTTAATTATTTAACAAATTTTTAACTAAAATTCTTCACTAAATTAATTATTTTTAATAATTTCAATTAAATTCTTCACAAATTCAATTATAATTTAAACTATTTTTCAATTAAAATTTTTATGAAATATCTGAAAGCATTTTTCAATTAAAATCATTTGGAATTCAATTTTTGTATGTGATTTCTAATAAATTCTTTATCAACAGAAATCACTAAAAATTTCTCTTATTATAATTATTGTCTGAAATTTAACACAATATTTTGAAATTCAATTATTTTCAAAAATTTCAATTTAAAAGCTTCTAAAATTTTCCATCTAAAATTTTTTGAAATTTAATAATTTCAATTATAGGTAACTCTTCTAAACTTCAATTATTTTTAATGATTTTTATAATATTCTTCAAAAATTCAACTATCTGAAACCATTTTTCACTTCAAATGTTTTCAAATTATTGTATTTTTGTCTGCAATTTGTAATAAATTCTTTAAATATTTTCAAAAAGTTCAATAGAAATTCAATTATTTTCAAAATTTTAAATTTAAAATCATCAAAAATTTTAAATTAAAAATCACTTGAAGTTCAATTAATTTCAAAAATCAAAATTAAAAATCTTTGAAAATTATTGTTTAAAATTATTGTCAAGTTTTAAATTCTCAATTGGATTTTTGTATCTGTTATTGATTGCAAGACCTTTCTGTTTCATATAACACATATAAAAATCATCAATTTAATATTTATTGTTAAAAACTTTACTTTTAGAACATTTAGAATTTAAACTTATTTCTTATCTTATCGGTAATAAAGGTCTCGTAAAAATATTATCATCAAAATTAAATTTATTGTTCTTAATGTTAAAATTTCTGTTTACATTTCTAAGTTCTTCAATGAATAATTTAATCATTTTCTTTTATGAAAAGTAAAACGTGTTTCTATACATTTTTTCCTGAACTCCCTTTACAGATTGATACAATGAACAACAGAAAAAGAAGACGTGAAACACAATCTTCAAAGGCAACATCACCCTCGAATGCAGAACCCACGAAAAAACAAAAAAAGATTGAAAAGTCATCATTTCCAAATGCTGCTTCTTCTCAGTTCCCACCTTCAACGTCCAAACCTAAAGTATCAAATACTGCATCAAAAGACGCGAAAGAAGAAGATCAAGAACAAAAATATTACACCAGATACATGTCCTTGAATGCAATTCTACCGGAAGGTAACATTGTCAAAGAAAAAATCCAGGATGATGTTAATGTTTTGAGTCGACTCAAAATTGTTTGTAGCATTTTCTTGGAATACATTATGAATGCACATGATTCGAAAATAGCTAAGCGTTATGCTAAAGAGGGGATTCAGTTCGACAAAATTATGGGTTGTTTTAAGAAAAGAACTGTAGCGGCAGAGAAGACTTTTAGGAAAAAGCATGGCGAGTTAGATAAATTATTCGAAGATTTTAAAGTATTACTAAAGGATGAGAAAACGGAAATTGATTCTGATTTATTTGAGGAATTTCAACAATTACACAAAGGGAAATCAAAATGGAAGGATGAAAATGAGAAATACGAAGCATTCAATAAATACAGAATAGAAAAATTAACCAAATTTGATTGCGCCAACAAAGAGGATCTTATTTTACAAGCCTGTCAAGAAATGAAAAAAGATATGGGTGTTCATATACAAATAAATGGACCCAAAATTCTTGAAAAGTATTTTAATTTACTCTTAATGGAAAAGAAGAACCAAAATAATGATGAATATAAAGTAGAGGATTCATTCGTAAAAGCAAATAGTGATGAAGAGAAGATTGAGGAAAATCTCAAAAATCGGAGAAGACGTAAAAATTGGAATAAAAAGATGAAGAAAAAAAGAATGGAAAGAAAAAGAACACATAACATGGAAGATCAGAACAAACAACAAAAAAAAGAAATGACAAGACAACAATTGAGAAAAGAAAGAATATACTTTCAATTGATAACACGTAAAGCTGATCGGAAGGATGATTTGAAAAAAATTAATGAAGATTACGACAAAAGAACGTATAAAGTGAAGAAAAAGACTGAAATAACGGAAGAAGAAAAAGAAAAGAAGAAAAAAGAGAAGAAGGAAAAAGAGAAGAAGAAAAAAGAGAAGAAGGAAAAAGAGAAGAAGAAAAAAGAAGAGAAAAAGAAAAAAGAGGAGGAGAAGAAGAAAGAACAGGAAAAGAACAAAGAGGAAAAGAAAAAAGAAGAGAAGAAAACAAACGATGAACCAAAAACGAGAAATAAACCTTTGACACGAAAAGAACGCAAACAGCAAGTAGAAACACTTGTTAATCTATTAATAGAAGAAAATCAATGCACCGATGAGACATTGAAAAAAATTTTAAAAGAAGTACAAGAAGAGTATGACACTTTCTACGAAAAACTGGAAAAGGAAGATGAAGAAGAAGAAGAAGAAGAAGAAGAGAAGAAGAAGCAAGAGGAAATCGAGAATGAAAAGGGAAAGAAAACAGAAAAAGAAGAAATTCAAGGACAAAAGAGAAAGAAAGCAGAAGAGAAAAAACAAGTAGAACGAAGAAAGCCTCTTGATTTTAAGAATTTGAAAAGCCACTACACATCGCATAAATTGCTGCCGTTCTTCATGAAATTACAAAAACATTTTGTTGAAAACAAAATAAAAAGTTTTGTTTTATTTCCCATTAGACGTTATGGTATTCAACATGCAACGTATACCAAAACTATTCTTCTCAGAAACGTGCTACCATATGTGCACAAGAAAGAAAATATGAATCCACAGCAAAAAAAAAATGAAATAAACAAGATAAATAAACTAAATGGAAAAGATAATCAGTTGGAATACTTGTGGAATAGATTGTTTGATTTTACCGAATTAATGAAGAAAAATAAGATTAAAAAATTACCTACTTTGATGCAAACGGACGGAGTGAAGGTGTCACTAATTTTCGATAGGACAGAAACGCAAAAAGAGATATTTAAGCAGGAACCGAAAGAAGTAAAAATAAAAAAGTATACAAGATTCGTCGGTCTAGATCCAGGTCGGAAAGCCATTGTTGGGGGAGTCATTCGACGCGGAGAACCGAAAATGTTAGAAAAAGTTAAAGATCAAGACGCACCGATATATGTGAAAGCAAAAACTTTTCGTTTTCGTGCCGGAGAGTTTAGAAGGAGAGACATTTTAAACAGAAAAACGAAAAAAATGAACGAAAAATACAAAAAGTTTATGAAGGAAAACCCTACATTCAACGTCAACACCAAAGATCCCAGGCAGTACGAAAAGATTGCAAAATTTCGAATGAAATTATTCGAAATATTTCAAGATACTCTGTCAAAGAGAAGCATCGTCCAACTGAAATTTAATAAACTTGTGCTTGTAGAGCGAGAAAAAGATAGAGTCGTGAATAAAATAATAGGAAATTTGAAGGAAGAATCATGTTTCGTTGGAATCGGAAATGAAAAATTGGCCAATTTTACAAAAGGACATGTTTTCACACCTATTCGACAAATCCACAAGAAACTGCAAGAGCGGTCAAGACAAGTCGGTGAACAGAAATTAAAAATATTACATGTTTCCGAGTGGTACACTACACAGAAATGTAGCACATGCTGCGGACAGTGTTTCGTATCAGCATCTCCAAAACGGTATTCATTTTGCCAAAAATGCAATATCACTTGGGAGAGAGATATAAACGCTGGCAGGAATATATTGAACTTGGCCCTTATCAAGGCTAATTTGATGGAGAGGACAGATCTTAAAGATCCATCAGTATTTCCTCAAATTAGAGAATCAGCAAACGCGGACATTTTTAGATGATCATTTTTGCAGCTCATCTCTTGATGAGCATACACGTCAGGTGAGATTGATATTCCTAAAATAATATAATTATTATATAATATATAATAGCCAAAGATAATAATAATATATAATCTATTAATCTTTCCATTTTCTTGTCTCAAGACTATGAGTGTTGGATTAAGTAAAAACTGTTTTTAAAGTGAACAAAAAAGTGATTTGATTCAAGAAACTAAACGACTTCACGTACTTTACTTAACATAAGAACATAATATTCTTGTCTCAATACTTTTTTGGACTTCGTGCAAGTAAAATATTTTTTTTGAAAGAATAACATTATTTGCTTGTATGGAACTCACATTTTCTTATGTCAAGTACATTGTCCAATGCTAATAACTACTTGGCACAAGAAAATAAATTTCTTCCATTAAGATGATATTGGCTTGATTCAAGTAAAGTATCTCAAGTAAATGCATTTACTTAATTCAATGAACTTTTTTTTTCAGTGTAAGCGGTCACACAAACTACGAGATTCATCAGAGATATATACATATAACGAAATTCCATCTCAAGTGAGATGACTTACGGCAAATGAATCTATTTTGAAATATTAACCAAATTAATATAATTAATGAACAAAATAATATTAATTTGTTTTTCAGTTTTGCACGGTAATAATAACTACACTTATTCTCAATTTTTAAATATAATTTATTTCATCATATTTTAATTATATGTTTAATTTTAACATATATGCGTAAAATATTTATAGTTTAAAAAATTATGTATTTTTATAGTAAATAAAATTACGACTCGATAAAATTTTCAAATAGCAAAAAATACCAAACTTTACAGGAAAATTATATATGACAACGAAAGTATAATATTAAAACTTTAATATGCTTATAAAACTTCATATAGTAGCATTAAAAACCGAAATATTAAAAAAAAATTGTGTAAACAAATCTTCATTTCTGATAAAAATGCAAAGTTCTTTAATTTTTTTTTTCTATTGTGTCCTGAAACAAATGGTGAGGGACTTTACGGTAAACAAAATTTTAGGTTATGTTTATACTATTATATTTAGTTTATCGTAAGGTCCTTCAAGCCACAATATTGATTTCTTCTATATTTGAAAATTAAAATTAATTTTTATTTTCCTTGGCAAAAAATTATATGATCAAAATATCATTATAAATGTATATAAAAAAAGTTAATAAATTATACTTTTTATGTATTTTTATTATTATATAACTCGTGAAAACTCTATCAACGGTGTTTGTGTCTCGCAAACTGTAAAGTCACTTGCAAAGTCGTATTTTCGTATTCAATCGACGTCGTCTGGTGGAAGTTACATTTCACGGAAATGTTAAAGTATATAACCCTTCGCCATTTTATTGCGACGACAGATTTTGCGAGAAACGTACTCTATGAGGAACTCCCCTTTCGACTGATTGAACAGAAATTCACTTACATTGTATCTATATTGTTCATATTAATTTTTTATTCCACAAAAAATTTAAATCTATTTGCCTTAAATATTTTTGAATAAAATAAAAATTATTCGAAACAAAATGAATTATTTAGCTCTAAGAGAAATTATACATATATTTTATATAACAAAAGAAGAATGTAATTATTTTAAATAATGCATGGTTTTGTCTTTTCAACAATATATATATAAAACAATGAAAAGTTGAATGTAAAAAATGACATTATTCGCCTCTATATAGTAATATATAGGAGAAAAAAAAGGAGCATCAGAATATGCGGTAAATGAAAAATATTTTACCGAAGGACATTGACGAGACAGAAAACCGGTAAAAGTAATCAAGAAAAGCAATCTGTGACTGCGTGTTACGATTTCAGTGCCAATTGTCGAATAGTTCTCGTTTCTGGTCTTATTTTTCTTTTATCTCTTTTTTTTGTGTATATATGTGAAAACTTATTATTGTTGCACGATTCTATTTAACTTTGTGAAATCATAGTTGAAATGCTTTATGCATGAATTGCTTTATCTCATCCACAAAAGCTTGCGGAAACCAGTACATATACCGAGATTCACCAGAATATAAAGAGAAATAAAATGACCTATACCGCAAAAAAAAAACGAGCTAATCTATTAATTTTCCTATACTCGAATGAATTTTTTCCAAACTATCTTTTTAAAATTATTTCATCAGAATTATAATTGTATTTTAATGAAAAAAAAAAAAAAAAATTATCACTGATGTGATAATGTGAAACATAAATCAAAGAATGAGATATTAAACCGGAAAGACATACGCACACACAAAAAGTCCCATTCACTATATAATAATCGTTGCATTTATAGACGCGAACGTAGGCGCCATGAATGCACATTGTTCGTGGGGAACGTTGCGTAAACGTACAAATATATAGTAAAACCATGGAGAGAGAGAGAGAGAGAGAGATAGAGAGAGTATATCAACATACCCACCTTTTCTGCGGGTCGATTACAACCGGCCAGATGAGAAGTGAAAGAAGAATGGAAGGGGGAAAATTCACTGGAGCGGAAGGACGCTCTCGGGATGATGTTGGAAGATTTTGTCCTTTCAACGCGATAAGAAAGCGAGCTAGCTGGCTTATCTCTGGTACGCGTGATTAAGCCGCAGGATGGTAAATCATCGATTATAGTCTCGTTAGAGAGACTCTGCAGTCGCGCTTCCACCAATGAAATTTCTCCCTCTCAGCATATATATAAAAAAAATCCCTCTATATAGGTACAACAAAAATTTGTTACACAAAGAGGGAAGCAACACTAATTAAGCTCTCTTTCTCGCGAGAGAGAAAAAGAGATAATTATTAACGTTTTCCATCAAGTAATTAAAGAGAGGAATCTTTTATATATATATGTCGAAAAAAACAAATCAAAAGAAAAACAAAATAATAGTTTTCAGATAATTAATAACATTGAATTAGACATTGATAAAATGACTATATCGCTATCTTTACCGTCGACACATCTATACACACATTACTTTATAAAATCTTTCGCGTGCTCACAAAACCGAGTATAATAAATCACAACCAAAAACAATTACCGTCCTGACAGAACCAGTGGACCCACAACCATACACTGACGACATGCTGGAAGAAAGTTCATGACTTTTTTTTTTTTATTATCGGACGACATGAAACACGAAAGGGGCGGCGATAGACGTGACAAAAGAAGAGGGCTTTCTGAATTACAGTATGTCCCCCTTGCAACGACGACCATATACTCAATGTCTTTTATCGGTAAATTAAATTAGCGCGGCAATTGTCTATTTTCGCTCTATATAGTTATATATATTTATTGAAAGGTCATTTTCATGGTTAAACGCGACTTTTTGCCATTAGCGAAACTGCGCGCACTTTCTACTGCAAAGTTTATTAGAATAGAACAATATTCTAATTAGAAAAACTAAACTAAGAAACTAAAATCGTGTCATTTAGAGAAAACAAAATTTTATTTAAAACAAATAAATATTTAATGATAACAATTTCTTTAAATCAACAAAAACTTTTTTTCTCGATAGAATCGAAAACGAATTGCAAAATCTATTCTCGATTAAATACCATCGCTATACGAGACCAGAGAGAGTTCAGTGTTCTTTTTTTTTTTTTTTTATATCAAGCAATTTTTGCAATTTTCTCGTTAATTTGTTTTTAGCATATTATGAAAACCGTCAAGACTGGAATGTTCATGAAAGTGGTTTTGACGGCAGATGGCTTTTGCTGAGAAAGGACGATAAAATATTACGTTAATTATGAAATATTCGAGCCGAACTCGCTACTGGATGGCATCCGGCGGCCCCTATATGTTTCCCACCCAACTATTATACACAAAAGATACATACTTCCATTGCCAATATATTCTTCTCTTGTAAAAAAAAAATTCAAACCTCTTCACAAAAAAATATCGCAATTTTATAATTTCATTCATTTTCGCTACATTTGCGCGAATACATATAGGAAGTGAAAAAAAAATTTATTCAAACTTCCAATCACACGTATTCGATTTTGATATATATGAATATTCCCTACTAATCATGAGTATAAATTTACAGTGTTTGAAAATTCATATATTTTTTGTCGAATCAACCACAAAGTGTACTAAATAGAATTTATAGAATTTTTTTCTATAGTGTTTTATGGAAATTCTGTTAACACAGAAAAAATAAAAAAAAAACTTTACATTTTAATATTAACTTGACTTTAAAAAATTTAGTTAAAAATTCGAAATAATAAAAGAATAATAAATATTCATGTGGGCAAATGTTTGATAAATCAAAAAACTGCAAGTAACCTGATATAAAACATATATCCAGAAAAATGTTTCTTTGAATTAAAGAATTTTTTTTATAATAAGGTAAAAGAAAAATTTTCTATAAACAAAATTTATTTGATTCAAAGAAACATTTTTCTGGGTATATTTGATAACTTATTCTTGAAATTCTTTACACAGAAAAAACGCTGGGTAAATTTTGTTGCGGGTAATTTTCACCAATGCTACTTCACATAGACAGTGGCGCCCTCAACTAGGATAAAATTTGTTGCAGATAATTTTTATACCGATTTTGGGGTAAAAATTCTACTTTTTTTTCGTGTGTAAATTTCAAAAAATTACTGAAACTTCAGTTAAAATGAAAAGTACTGATTGAATTAGTAAAATTTCTACTGATTCAAATTTAGAGAGTCAGAAAAAGGAAATATTCTAATGTAACTGTCGCAAGCTTTTGAAATGCGTTTCTTATTTCAAGAGACCATCAAATATATTTCACTTGAGCACGAGTGCACGCAAATAACTATCCGTAACACCTGTTATTCGAAGCGCACTAATAATGCATAAAAATGCACAAGTCGTCACAGAACGGAAAGAAGGGAAGAAGAGAGAGGAAATTGAGAGAACGAAGAAAATATAACGAAAGTATGGGGTATGTTGCGTCTGGCTTGAAAACAAAGAGAGACTGAGGAAAAAACTAGCCCTCTCAAGTACGTAACTCGATAATTTCGTTCACGTCCCTCCTCTGAAGGGAGAGAGAGAGAGAGAAAGAGTGTGTATCGAGGAAAGTTTTCTTTAAAAAAAAAATTCCTCGCCTCCTTCGCGACATCAAACTTTCAAGTAGAAATCCGCAACAGAAAAATTTTTCTGAATATCAGGGTTTTATGATTATAATTTACATTCTTATATAACAGTAGCAGAAACATGTTGAAAAGAAATTCTAGTTTTTTTAAATTTAAAAACTTGAAACATTTAAATATGATTTAAATATTAAGAATTAAATATAAAGATTTAAATATTAGATTTAAATATTAAAGTTTAAAATTTTTAAATATAACTATTTTTAATATAACAGATGATATGCATATTCAAAAGGGATTCTTATTGTACGATCTCAACTGTCTGGAGCATTGTCTTGCTGACTCCATACTTTCGCCTTGACTCCCTGTCTTGTCGCATGTTGCGCCTACGAAACTCAATCTGCTTCTCCATATTTACTATTTTGTCTGCCTGTCTGATTTCTAAGAGGCATTCTACAATTTCTATGTGTTCATGATGCGAACTCATATATGGAAGACAAAGAACAAAAGTTACAACAGCGCCCTTTTTAATTCCAAATAAATGATAAAAGCTCTCTTACGTCATATTTATTCCAAAATGTATTTAAAATTTTTATTTAAAAAAAAAAAAAAATGATTAATAATGAAATTTAAAAGAAGGTAAATAAAAAAAATCTTTATAGAAGAAAATGCACCTGTGATTCAACAATGGAAAATTATTGGGAAGAAAAAGAAAGCCACAAAAGACAAGACAAAGAGAAAGGAAAGTTAAAAAGATGGGTATACAAATGAACAACGGAGTTTTGTATTTGAAGAAAATTACTAGACGCGCGGTTATATTATCAAAATGGCAAGAAAAAACACTTTTATTAAAGTTTGATATTTTCTAATTCAAAATTTAATTTTAAATATTTTTTTATTAAAAAATAATATTTATTTAAAATTAATAATTGATTATGTAAACATTGATATGCTGTATTTCAAAACAATTTTCAATACGCTTTTTTACATTATTGCAAAATGCAATCTTTCTCTGCATTTATATATCCATTTTCTAACAATTATTATAGTATACCATTTTCAACACGATTTTCTGTTTCGTGCCATTTTCGCAAAAATGTAGAAAAATAAAAGTTTGAAAATTAATGCATTTCGCATAGAGACTGTTTTTGCACCGCTTAGGAGATACTTATATAGTCCTCTATTGTTTTGAAAGAGTTTGAGGGGCGATATAATGGTTTCCCTTTTCATTCTCTTTTTCGCGTTCGCGTATTAAAAATAAAATCGAAAAATAAGATTTGAATTTTCCATTTACACATGTCTAGAAGTAATTCCTTTTAGCTACTAAAAATATAACTAAAAATATTGCTTTTAACAGAATTTTCTTTAGTTATGTACTAATTCAGAAAAAAAAACCGATGTGGATAATTAATTTTCGTCTTAAAAAAACATAAACAATTTTATCTAGACATAAAATCTATCAGGACCCTCATTAAATATATAGTAAGAAATTAATTACGCTTCGACGATTTAAAATTTCCTGTCGCATGGAAAATCAAAGACCAAAAACATTTTAAGAGGCTTTGGAAAAGCATCTTGGATGAATTATTAACGTTCGAGTGAAGAAGAATCTTTTGGGAAAAGAAAAAAAGCTCATGAAAGATGCGATCTCCCTCTCTCTCTCTTTATGCGAGAGAGTCCGCGTTCTTATATATATATATTTCTGGCTAATAAATCAGTATGACGAACTATGGGACCTTGTGAAAACTTGTAATTTGACAGTATGCATCGTCTAACTTGACATCAGCTTAATTGCATTCCGTAATTCTTGACATTCATTCTACCCTCGTTACTTACATGTCTGGATAATGCTTATTCCATAATTCTAACTTCTAGACAAATAAATGCGAACAGAAATTAATACCCCGCAAAAAAAAGTCATCTTTTGAAATATATTTTGACCAATGTAATCTCTAAAAATTCCACTTAATGCTTTTTTTTTCATAAAAATTCGTTTTTTAATTAACAGAATTAAAATGCTCTTTATTTTATCTCTCATTCCCTTTTTATATTCGCGAGTCAATTCATTTAGTATTATTTTATCTATTTTTTTTTTTTTTTTTATTTTTATTTCAGAATAAAAGATCTCGCATATTAACGCGAGCAGAGGGGTATTATAACTGAAAAATCCAACAAGAGATAACCCTGCGTCTATGTATATATAATCGTGCCGTCATTTAAATGCCCAACTGGGAAATAGTAACGTTATAATTTAAATCTCTATGTCAAGCACTTAATTGGCATCATGTCATCAACAATTCACAATTCAATCCAAACTTGAAATCACGCGCGCGAATTCTGAATTGCATTTCAAAATCAAATAAAAGAACATATGATGCATTTTCGTTTCATTCAATCATTTCCAAAAATAGTTAACAAAAATGCAATATTTTAAATCTATTACTTTTTACACAATAGAATATATGTCTTTAATAATAAAAGTAAGTTTCATTTTTGAAAATGAAAAAAAAATTCTATTTTTAGACATTGAAAAATTGTAACAATAAATTTATTATAACTCCATTAGAATTTTTAAAAACATTTTTTAAAAAAAAACACAAAAATGCACCATTAATAATAATCAAGAGAGAGTAGTTCGTATATGAACGTGACTAAAACTGGATTGTTCGTTAACAACTTTTGTATTTCACACCAAACTCTCTTCTAACCTAACACCGTGTGCGAGACAAAACACAAATTCTGAAATTTCAACTGAGTTTAAACTAGTTTCTATACAAAATTATGTATAGATAGAATAAACTGCCAATTAAAATGATGAAAGTTCGCTTTCATTAATTTAAAGTCGAGAGAGTGAGAGAGAGAGAGTATAAACTAATTTTTAACTGAGAAAAGTTTTCTGGAATTGTAGGCCAACAAAATGAAGTTAAGCAAATTCGATAAACGCTAAAAAAAAAAGTAACTAAATAAAGTTTCGCAACTCGCTTATTTGCCTCTCTCTAAATGAGATTATAATTCCTTGAAAGCGAGGTGTCGCGCGTCGTCCAAATGGCGTGCGTTTTAAGAAATACGATTGGAAAAATTTTAAAAGAATATATATACAGAGTGTATAAAATCTGAAAACCTAAGCCGCTTGTTTTTTTTTTTTGTTCCTTTTTTTTATAATTATGGGGCAGCTCGTTCATTGAGGCTTGACAGAGATGAGAGCCAATCGGAGATGAGAAGAACAACGTCATACCAACGCAAGGCTAGCGTTCGAGCTTTGACCACTCGAGCGCTCAATGATTCTTCATCAACCCAGACGAGTCACGAGAGTCGGGCAGTATCGTTCGATTAAACAAGCCCTGCTCATCTCTCTCTTCTTCTCGCTCATCCATCCAAACATTTCACCTTTTCATATATTTTTGCAACATATTATAAAAAACTAAAATTACCCAATATACAAAATATTATACGTTTATGAAGTTTGGCGTCGATCGCTAAGTGTCGAAAATTATTTTTCACGGGACCAAAAATATCAAAATTTTAAAAAAATTTTGAGTTCACATAATAACTTAAAAATTATTTCTCAAGGCATTATTTGAACCGAAAATCTTTAAAAAAAAAAAATTTAACATTTTTGATCATGTGAATAATAATTTTCGAGCGTCGATTATGTTTCTGATAAAGAAGAATTTTTAATTACTATTTAATTGACTATTACTAATTTAAAAAATATTTTTATTAAAACATATATGGCAAAGAGTATATGTAGATGCCATTAAGTCAATATGTTTGCCTCGTAACTCACAAGTCTAACGAGATAAAATAATGGAAAATTAAATTCATCCCCTAAAGTTCTACCTTGACCCAAGAGACCGCATCTCTCTATACACGTTTTGATACCGTGTAGACTTTCTTACACAGCGCGTTACGCATACCTAATGCAAAATTAGCTTGTGAATAATTTTACTCGTGTCCAGAAGTTGCATTCGTGAAAAGATAAAAGTGAGGAAACAAAAAATAATTACTATTACGTGTTGGAAGAAAGGGGTTTTCCTTTGACAACTTGAAATTTTACAATTTTCTTGAAAAAAAAGCCTCATGCATTCATTATTGAAATTCTCCACACAAATGAACAACATTTTTCACAAGAAAAACCGATTAAAAGTTTTTAGCTCAACATTATTTATTTCTCTTATTGACCTATACGCGCGTAAAATCTGGAAATGCTCAAAAGTTTTCCCTATAGCTACAATATCTTGTATTCTCAACATTTACATATATAGTTTGCCTATGCGGAATAATCCGGAACTATATATATATGTAGAAAACTGGCGTGCAAGAGTCGGCTCTGGAAAATATATAATATATAACCAGGTCGAGGAAGAGAAGCTACAGTTATACCCCATGGAGAAAAGTACCTTGTTCGCGTGGTTTAAGTTTCTTCTCACTCTTTTTCCGCCCCCCTCTTTTGTTCAGTCTTCCTACAGTTAAATATGTAAATTTTGAATTTGGACTTGGAATTCACTTCATATATGAAACATTTCGTTGCATCTCAGAAATATATATTTTTTTTTTTGAAAGAAGAAAAAAAATTTGCAACCAGTTATAAATGTGATAAAATAAATAATATTGCTCCAAAACACAATGCTCTCTAAATTTGAATTAGTGAAAAGTAAGTCACTAATTTAAATTAGTAAGAATTTTAACTAATCTTTAGTCACTTTTTACTAAAACTTTAGTAAAAAAAAATTTTAAACTACTAATTCAAATAGTAATATTTTACTAAAAATTAGTAAAAATTCTTACTAATGTGAATTAGTTGCTCATTTTTCACTAATTCAAATTTGAAGAGTAAGAAACAAGTTAATCGAAAAAAATCCTCCGCATGAAAACGATATTTTAATTTGTGAAATGTAATGATTTTGCTGTTTTATTGTTGAACATTTGAGACGAGATTCAATTACTATCAGAAACCGATATTAAAGCTTCTATTGAAAATCACGTTTCGCTTTTATTATTCGATTTACGTCGTCGACCGTCTGCCACGATTGTCAAGATAACTGATCCACAGGGAAGAATTTTAACTGTGTCAATTACTCTTCGTTCAACTCTCACGCAATCTGTCTATTTAGAATTTTAGTTAAAATAAATACTTTTTCGAAACAATGATTATACTAAAATCGTTATTGAAATTCAATAAATTCTCAATTAATTTTCGCCAGAAAAAAAACCCCCTTTCTTTAATTTTTAATTTTAAATAAATAATAAATTATTTAATAACATTTTCAATAAAATTATTAAATTTACAAATTTTTAATAAAACTTTTTTTTTTCCAATAGCAAAACCTTTATTGAATTAAAAATCTAATTTTATCCAGTCCTATACCCAACCTAATAGACAACCGATAAGAGTAAGCCAATAGATTCGAATCGAAATTTGATTAATTTTCCAATAGTCGTTATTATATGTACATAGAAGATTATAAATTAATTATTCTTAAAGATTTAGTCAAATTATTTTCAACTCCAAAGAAGAATTATTACAACTAAAAAATTATAAATTCAACCAAAAATTAGTTATAAAAAAAAAATATTATTTTCATCGAAAAAGATAAACGAAACATTTCCCTATTACAACAGGTTAAGTTAGCAATTACCCCCCCAAAAAAAAGTGAAACAATTGTAAATTCAAAGCCAATTAATATGAAAACAATTGTTAAACAAGACTGAAACAATTTAATAATATTTCACTCCATTGTTAAAATCCATTTTATTCAAACAAAACACGAAAATATGAAACGAACATGGAAACAAATCACGTCCGACTAAAAATTGACTTTTATCCCTGAAGAGAGAGATCTCGTCGGAAAGTTATTATCTAAAGAAAAGTCCAACAACCGGCGTCCTTGTCAATGATCGTCAAATATTTGACAATGACAATTGAGACGCGTTATTTTTATCTCGGGGAAAAAGAGAAAGAAAACAAAAAAATAAAGTGAGAGACACACAAATTTTGAAGAGAAAATTGAAAAATCTAGTACAACTTAAAATTTACCCTCAGGCATATCGATATATATGTATTATATACGTATTCTAACCTAGTTTACCTTTTTCTCCTCGTGACAATCTCGTGGTTCTCCTCAGCTTTCTGAAATTCCAGTTTCTTCACTTCCCACACGTCAATATATATATATATATATATTTATATATATATAACGACTGAGGTTTGATCAATTGTCCACAGAAAGGTCACTGTATGCACTCACTACTGTTCTCAATATAACACAAATCATTGATTCTCTCCCGCGAAATAATTAATTCACCACTTTTATATTGATAATTTAGAAAAAAAAACATTAACCGGCACAATATCTTTATGAATGGTCATAAATATTAGAAAAAGGTTAGGTTCTAAGACAAATTCTCATATATATATATGTGTATGTGTTGATACTGACGATGACGGCACTGGTAGTCACCACACTGGACACTGAACGGTAACCGCGGTAACCTCGCACTTCCGCTAACCCTTAACTTTATTCGAAGGTGGCGCCAACAGTCGATGATTAAAGGAACTTTTAGGAAAAAAGCTCTCACTCTCTCCTTTTTTAACTGACTTTCGAAAAAGCTTTTTCGTTTTTACTATCACTGATGCTGCTACGTCTCGATGGATAAACTAACGCGAGGATTGAATACCTGTCACTCACATTGCATCACCAGGGAAAATGTTATAGTATGACGGCATAACCGGAAGTTGAGACGACGATAACAAACCAAAGCTTTGCATCCCTTCACTGGATACATTGTCTCTTTATGATCCAGGATGTTTCTCTCTGCAAAACAAAAATGTCGATTCGTTAAAAAAAATTATATTTTCCAATTTCGCAAAGTTAAAAAAAAATTTATTTATTCCTATAAATAATGTTTAATAATATTTTATTTATATTTACTATTTACTAAAAATACCATGTTTTTATATTTATTTTTTGTTTTACAGATAATTGTATTTATTTTCATTTTTTTTTTTAAATGATGTATTTTTATCTCTTTTTAATTGTGTATAATTTTTTATTTCAACCATAAATATTATGAACTTTTCCCATATAGGATGCATAAATTTGTTTTATATTTTAGTAAGAAATGTGTATTATGCAAAATAATGAAGAATAAAGTATATACGTAAACATTATACATAATTTTAAAAAAATGTTACATTAATAAAAAGAAATGAATAAACTTTTGCCATTTTTTTTTTAATCTTTGTAGAAAATGAATTAATAAAATAATAATTATTATTATTGTTACCATTATTATTATTATTATTATTATTATTATTATTATTATTATTATTATTATTAGCTATTTTTATAATTAATTATTATTATAATAAAAGAATTCTGTTAAAGGTCAATTATAATTATAATCAAGTCGACAACTGCATAATGAGAAATGTATAATCGAGTACTTTGAAAGTGACCATAAGTAAATATTTACAGATGTTTTTCGTGTGAATTTTAAGTTGATGTAAGTATGTGAATTTATACCATTCTCAACATATTTACACACACATATATATATGTATACATGCGTTCCTCCTACTGTGGAGCATTGATCTAAAAGACGAGCGCTTGCGCCAACAAACGAGAGCCGGTCAACTTGCTTTTTACTCTTAACCATCAGCTATTATTATTTTTGGTCATCGAGTATTTTCGACTATCAACATCAGACGGACGAAAGTGCGTTTATATACTATAAATTGGCCAATTAGAAGCAGAGAAAAGGAACAAAAAGTGTCGTTAAAGTAACCTAGAAACAGAGTCGATGTTTCTATATTGATAAGAAAAGGCTAGACGAAACGAGGTGTCTATTCTTGGAAGATCTCTTAGCGAGAGATCTACCAGAGCTTTTATACCCTCGTTTTAACCTAGTATGGATCATCAAGTTAATGAGGATAATGGCTCGCCATCAATGTCCAAAGCAGAGGACAATTTATCAAATAGCGAAGGACCTTTACTTAAAAAACGAGAAATATCCAAAGAACCAAGTTCTACAAGGTAAGAATTATTCATTTTTATTTTCAATTAAATTTTTTAAATAATATAATTATTAATTTGTTTTTAAAGTTTCGAATATGTAAAGACAATTAAAATTTGATTAAAAAACAAATAATAATAATAATAATAATAATAATAATAATAATAATAAAATAAATAAAATAATAATAATAAATAATAAAATAATTTTTAATTTAAGGGAAGTATTTTTATCGTCATCAAATCGACGTGAACGATGGCGACAACATTCATATGAGATGAAAAATCATCATGAAAATGAGGGAAAAGAAGAGAATCATTGTTTATGGATGTTCACATTGATCTTAGGGATCATTGGATTTTGTAATTTACTTTTAAGTACGACAATAATTTTTGTACTTCGTGTGAGCCAAGGAATGGAAGCTTTAGAAATTATTCCCGATGAAAATTTGGTGAAATTTTACGGAAATACGGATTTGGATCGAGTAAGTTAAAAAAAATATATATATAATTCTCTCAATTTACAAAATTTTATGTTTCAATTATTTTTCTTACTTATTCGCATACACAATTATTAAATTGTTCAATAATTGCTTTATAAAACAAAAATTCTAAAAATAATCATAATATAATAATAATAATAATAAAATAATGATTAAATAAAAAAAAATTATGCAATACCCACAATTAAAAATAAATATAATAAAAACAGTAAACATAAAAATAATATACGCAATTCTTTATAAATAGTAAAAAAAAATATCAAAAATAAATTAAATTTGTTGATTGACTTACCATTTTTCAAAATTAAATTAGAGTTGATGCATATCCGTCCATTAAAAAAAAATTTCAAATATAATCACTAAATTCTATTCTCGTTAAAAATGATAACCTGAAAACTGGAATCTCTTTCAAAAAATAAACACTATTTTATACTAATAACTGAAAAAAAAATCGGAAAAATGTATGTGAAACTTTCAAAATTAAAAATATTTAACCTCTAAATATGTACGAAAACTCATAACTTTGAAGAATTTAATTATTTAATAACTATAGAATTTTTATTATTGTGTTTATTTGATTTTAAACCGCGAAAGCATACGTAATTAACGTTAACATAACGTAAAGGACTTGATTTGAATAACTACTGGCGCCACCACCCCTGATATACGCGCCAAAATTGAGCACTTCACACATAACCCCACTTTTTGGTTAACTTTTTTTTCTCAACTATTTCCACTTAAATCGGCGAGATTTATATTAAATTTTACCCGAAATAAGATATTATCACTTTAGAATTACGAAAACTTAATAGAATTTGCATAAAACTCGTAAATTAACGATATTTTTAAGGAGCGACCGGCGTACGTCCTCACCCTCTAACTGTTCAAACGACACTAACTACCCTTATAAATTAGTCAAACGAGTACAGTTATTAACAACTAATTTTTTTTTAAAATAAATAAATATGACTTTGTTTTGTATTTAAAACATAATATTGATAATATAATACACAAATGCACAATTTTATCCCATGAATATTAATTTTATTAGCTAAAAATAAATATTACTTCTTTGAAAATGGTTTTGATTTTGACTAGCGTTGTACTTTTTGACCAATTAATTGTTATATTAATTATTTTATTTTATTAAAATATTTAAAATAATGATTATTTTACCTCGATTACTTGATGTAATTAAAGATATAAATATTTATGAATAAATTTTTATTCACCTTTCCTTTAATTTAATGCTAATTATCAGAATTAAAAAAGACAAAAATTTGAGGTTAGATTAATTTCGTTTTTTTTTAATTTAAAAAATCTAATTAACAATTTAATTAATATATCAATATTCTTTTTATAATAAAATTAATGAGAATTCAAGAATCATTTTTTATATAAATCATCATTCTAAATGATTCTTTGATTATTATAAATACGATACGAATTTTGATAAATCAAAAACTAATATAGAAATTTGTCCAGAATTATTATTGATTTACAATTAAAATTTGATTTAAAATTGTTTTTAATTTTATGTGTGAAAATTTTAATTAGTTTTATAAAAATCTACCCAATCTGAATAAATTTGAACAATTGTAAATTATAAATTTACAATTAATTAATTAAATTAACATTTCCAATTTTTGTCATAATTAAAATATAAATTTATAATTGTCTTTGATTTATGATTAACTTTTTAATATTATTAATGATTTATTATCATTATTGGTTAATTATTTTAATATTTAATTAATAATTTAATTGTTTTAAATATCGAAAATTTTCAGGTTTGTTTAGAGCGTGGAATTTGCGAAGGCTACGGAGACGAACCAATCGAGATATCCGGAGATAATGCTGGAGTCAGCATCGACGTGACAAGTCGTATTCGAGGAAAACTTCTTTCTAATATGCAAATTCTTCCAAACGCCACTTCAGTGTCCCGAGTACAATCTTTTGAAATAAAAGATCCGAGAACGGGAAATCCTTATTTTTCAACAAATTTCCCAAATTTTGGACTTCCTGATGGAGTTGTACGAATTGACGTGAAAGTTGCAGAAACAAAAAGAATAATTGCACCTATGAATGAGAGTCTTAGAATAAAATCAACACAACAAATAACACTGAACGGTGCTGAAGGTGCAACAATTGAGAGTAAAAATATTATTTGGACTGCAAACAATGACATTTTTTTTGAAAGCAAAAACGGCGACATTATACTTGATTCAAAGCATGGTCTCTTTCTCGATTTGAAAAACATTCCAATTGTTCCAATTTATTTGCCAAATCGTGGCGACATTAATGGTCAATATAAAGTTTGCATTTGCATGCCACAAGGCAAATTATTTCGTGTTCCAGTAAAATCAGGAGGAAGTGCACGCGTCAATTGTGCCAAAGTTTCCATCAGTCCAGCAATTGATCCTTGTCAATAATTAATAAACGAATAATTTTTTTATACATATTTTTTTGTACATTTTCTGTTTTTTTTTTTTAAATACATTTATTGAAAATTGTGAACTGATGAAAAAGCTACATCATTTCTACAAGAAAAATACTTGCAATAATCAGACGTTCACTGAAATCAATTATTTATCAAAGTTAATTTAAATTAGAATAGTAATTTACATATCAATCACGCCACTGTCAAATTTATTTGTCAATGAATTCTAATTTATAATAAAGATTTACGACACAAAATCATTCACTCGTTTAGTATACATTTATAAAAAAAAAACTATTAAATGTACTCGAAATTCTGAATATTCTATTTTTTGACAAGTAAAATTAAATATGAATTTAATTTCTTTAATGATTCAGAAATCCAAGAACATTGAACTAAACATTCTTATCCAGTGATCATTTCCTCATTAGATTCCTCCATATCCTCTTGTTGTTCCTGTTCTGTTGGTGGTTCATAGGCTTTCTCAAGGGGACTCGCAACTACGCCACCAGCCCAAACACTCATTTCCACGGCTAATTTATTTGAACCTTCGAGCAATGGTCGATAACCACCGTGAGCAAGAACACGAAGAAGAGTTTGAGCAGTCAAACAAACGAGATCCTGTTGTTCAAGGGACATTGCTGTGTGAACTCGAATATTTCCTCCTTCGCAAGGATCGGAAATTCCTGTTAGAAAAAAAACGCAAGTTTATATGTAATTCAATTTTTTTAATTTTACCATTTAAAAATTTAACTCCATTTTACTGAAAAGTTGATTGAAAAAAATTTTTCAAACGTTTTCGAAAAAAAAAAATAATAAAAGTAATCTTACCAGCGGATCCTGGTAGAAATAGACCCGATGCAAGAAGTTGAAGAACTCGACGATAAGCCTGATTAATTGGCAGTGCCTGTCTGCTGGGATTATTCATAATAGCATTATGGGCTAATAAATTTAACATCCACGGTGAAAGAGGTTCTAAACCTTCGAATCGTGATCGTAAATCTCTTAGCAAACGAATCAAAACTTTGATACTTGAATGATGAGCATTTTCTTCGAACCAGCGAGAATGCCTGATAGCTGCCAAATGACCTAATAAAAAAAAAGTTTATTCAATTAAAAATTTTAATTCAACTAATAATAATATTTGTTTCTTAATTTTTTTTTTCTATCATCTTTTAGAGAATTAAATTATATTTTTTTTTTAAACTATAACTGCGAAATTGACAATTAAACAAAAATCTTTATCCAAAAGAAAAACGTAATTTACCTTGGCAAATTTTAATATCAAGATGCTGATCAGATTCCAATTTTCTCAAATTTTGATGAAGAGTTGTGATCAATACTCTAACAGTGGCTTCATTGGTTGCAATATCAAAACCCCTTTCGGTTTGTGTTAATCGGAAATTTTCCTTTGGATTTCCAGTTTTGAGATCAACTTGAACTTTGGTTCCAAGTGCTTCGACAGCTGTTTTTGTTGGCAGTGTTTTTAGAATAACAACAATATCCGCTATATTGTGTCCTTTAATCATTGTTCCCATTTTGAAACTTCCAACTTGTCGCACCTCCTCTAATTGCTGTAAAATATAAGTTTAATAATTATGTAAAATAATTTTCCCCCAAAAAGAAAAAAAACAAAAAATCAAAACATACACAAGCTTCAAAAGTGCCTGGTGCAACGATTAAATTATCTAAAACACTTTGCAATTTAGTGACAAGATTTAAAATTGACGTCTGTTCTTTTTGTGTTGGGCTCATATCAGTTGATTTTTTAAGAAGAGCCGAAGTGAAATCTGCTTCATCTGGAGCAGGTTTGACACGATTAAATGCTGCTTCGCAGAGAGTAAGATCAAATGGATGACGAGGTAAAAATTGTTTTCTTGGGAAACCTATTCCACGGCCCATTCCTCCTCGTCCACCTCTTATCATTCCACCACGTCCGCCTCTTACCATTTTGACTGAAAATATTAAATAATTAATATAAAATATTATTTAGTTAAATAATTATAAAACGTATAAATCTTTACTTTTTTCTATCGAAGTGGCTAGTCGTCCGTCTAGACGGATAAATATTTTTGTCCGTCTATTATACTGGCATTACTGTTAAAAGTATCAGACAGTATCCGGATGAAATAAATGGATTAAAATTTGTCCGTCTACTCTTAAGAAAATAATTATTAATAATAAGTCACGATCCAACTAACAAGGTCCTGCCACGCGCCTGTAAAAAACTCATCCAATTGGATTCAAAATAAAAAAAGAAATATTCATAAGAAACAGTTACTGCTAACCGTTAAAGGTAATTTTATTATAAAAAATCAAAACTATATACATTAAATTGAATATTTTACTAATTAAAATATTAAGGGGTTAGACCACTGTAAAGACCGAAAATCAGACCCATTTTTAAGATTTTTTTTCAAGAACAGAATTAAAAAATCAATTATATATTATTTTTAAGTACATATTAAAATTTAATTTTAATACATTAAAAAATTATTTTCATAAGGTAAAACAATTAAAATTGCGGCAAAGACAGTCGATCTACAAAAACCCTTTTTTATGCAGAAGTGTAAGGCCGGTAGAAAATCTTTTTCAGTTTTTGACTTAAAACAAAAAACCAAATTTTTTTCTTATTTTGTAATTCAAAATCTATAGAAGCTTTTAAAATTTTTTTTTATATTTTTAAAAATCTTTTTTAGCTAGCCATTTTTGAGTTATGAAATTTTCAAAATTGCAGAATTTTCATGACTTTTAATTTTTGAATGCTCATAACTTCTTTAAAAATGCATCAATTTTAAAAGTTTTTTTTCAAAATGTATGTTTTTAAACGTACTTTAAAAAAAATGGAAATTTTTTTCAAATAATATTACTATTAAATTTTGAAGTTATAAAGATAAAAAGTCATTTTTCTTAATTGACGTAGTGATAGATTTTTTTCAAAAATTTTCAAAAAAATTACTTCCTTTTACGAAAATTTTAAGCCTAGTCTGATCGTGGACTAAGACTAGGTATTTTGATTCGCTGATTACGAAAATCTTAGTAGTATCCTTACCCGACAAAAGGTATAGATCTTATTAAAATACTTTTTTTATATCTTATGAATTTTTTTAAATTTTTTGTATATTTTACCCAATAAAGGAAAAAACCATAAACTTTAGGACATTTTTTATGGTTTTCACCATAAAAATCAAATTTTCGGGTATTGTCACTAAGATTTTCGTAATCAGCGCATCAAAATACATAAAAGTACGTAGTATAAAAACCAAAAATATTTTTAAAATATTCAAAAAATTTTGAAAAATTACGAAAATATTGTAAAAATTGTTTGCCCACGATCAGACTAGGCTTAAAATTTTCATAAAAGGAAGTAGTTTTTTTGAAAAAATCGATCAGTACGTCAATTAAGAAAAATGACTTTTCATCTTTATAACTTCAAAATTTAATGGTATGTAATATCATTTGAAAAAAAATTTCGATTTAAACTTTAAAGAGTTTGAATTTCGCGCTGAATGTTTATATGTATGTATATATTTATATAAATATATACGGGTAGACGGACAGTTTTAACAAAAAATATTTCATCCGTCTACTGTGCCAGTAAATACTGGCACTAGACGGACAATTTATATTATCCGTCTATAGACGGACAATTTAAATTCATCCGTCTAGACGGACTACTAGACGCAGCCTTTTTCTATCCCACAATAAAATATTAAAAAAAATCTATTAGTAAAATAAACATATGTAAAATATAAACAAAAGTTTTTTTATCCTATTCATTAAAATCGAATCTATTTTATCCATAAAAACAATTTCTTTTACGTAGTATTAAAAAAAGAATTTTATTTTCTAAATTTATTTTCAAAGGCAACGCCATAGGACGCGTCAATTAAAGAGATCCTAACCAAACATTTTTATCACGAACATTTTGAGACTTTTATTTACATTACTGTGAATCTAATGATTTCTAAAACTTAAAATAATAAAATTAAATATTATAAATTACTTACCAAAGTTCTATTTATTGTTTTTACTATAAAATCAATAAGGTAAATATCAAAATGAACCAACACCGGTCAAGGAACTTGGATGTCACACTCACACTAATGCATGTGTCACACATCGACATCAACTAGACCGGAAACTACGTAAATCAATAATAATTACTATCTTTTGATCAATAATCAAAAAGAAAGTGATTTAAAACGCTAATCATATTATTAAAAATAGTATTACAATTATATATTTATTAATTTAAAAACTCAACTTATTTTCATTCACTGTTGTAAACAAAAAATGTGAACAATTAAACGCGGGTAAATTTGAATGCCATTCAATCATAATTTTACAAAAAAATTCTTTTTTCATGTAAAAAGTTTGTTCTTATATAATTTTATAATTGTATAATAATGTAATTATATATTTTTAAACTTCAAAACAAGAATATGTATGTATATACAAGAGTATGTCTTAAAAATACATAAACATATAAATAATAGAAAGAACATAACCTTATTTTGCCATTGTTATTATTTCAAAATGGCGGACAGATCGCAGCGCCATCTAATCAAATTATAAATGTCAAACAAGCAAATGTCAATATTTAAAAAATTGCCATTGTTATCGCAAATATTTTGACATTATATTTTCTAAAATTCTACTTTCTTTTGTGTGAAAAGAAACAAAATTTGTATAATTCAGTTAAAATTGTAATTATAATAATTTTTATTGACATCTTATAGAAACTGATAGAACACACATACACATATACACCATTATCAGTAATCATATGTGCTTGTGCAGTGTTTGACGTTTTGTTGTTTCTTGTTTGTAGGAATTTCCAAAGGTTACAATTTGTCATCATCAATTGCAATTGCATCAAATTGCTTTCAGTTTCAAGTGAATCATACATATTTGCAAAAACGGCATTAGGTCAAGAAACTTTATATACAATTGTAACGTATCAAGTTCTTTTAAAAAAAAGGGTTTTTTCTTGAAGATTCAGTTAGGTGAGTAAATTTTAATATTTGTTTTTAATTTATCTATAATATAATACTTTACTAAGAGTTTAAACTAGCCTTTCAATTTTATTGACACTTTTTTTACATTTTTATATTTGCTAGCTATTATGTATACTTTTATATAGAATATTTTATTTCAATATATTATATATGCATAATTGTATGGTAGCCTTATGACTATATACAAAGAATGTATGTGATAATCAATTTTAAATAATCCAAGTACATATGAGTCTCGGACGTCATAATGATAAAGTTCCGGGAGTATCTTTAGATACATATATATTATTATTCGACTGTAACAATTAATTTTCGTTATAATATAATATACATAAATTAATGCAAAAAATATGCATTATTAGTTTATAAAAAAAAAATTTCTTCAAAAGATTTCATTTATTTTCCAAAGTAATTAAATTAATTTAGAATATTACACACATACAATTATAGATAAAAACAAAGATTACAAATTCTTAGTAAAACTTTTTCTTTATTACACTTATTATATGATTCATTGAAGTGAAATAATCGTTCTAAAACGAATTTTGAATTGAAATTGAAATTTTGTTTTTTTTAAAGGATAATCTATATTAAAAATGGCACTTTATCCCTCCTTGGAAGATATGAAGGTGGATCAGCTAATGAAGGTAAATTTTAATTTGAAACATTAATTAGAAAATCTTCATGTTCGACATAGAAATTTCTTTAATTAATTTGCTTTATTATTTTTATTTTATTAATAGGCTCAATTACAAGCTGAAACTCAATATCCATCATTGCCATCAATTTCATCTAATTCTATTGCTCAACCTGCGGCTCCTTCAGCTCCACCATTATTATCACCATCTCAAGTTAGTGTTCCAGGTGCACTATATCCATTATTGGGTGAATATATGGGACTAGAAATTAACGAAGATGCAATTGCTCAAAGTATGCCGGAATATGCAATCATGAACCGTGAAAGTGTACGTAAATTTATAAAATAAACTGTAAATTTATTTACATAAGAAATAATATAATTATATTCATTATTTTAGTTTGAAATGGCTATTCCTGCTCAAAGTGGTCCTCTTGCTGGTATGACTGCTCCAGTTTCGAGCCAATCACTTTCATTACAAAAAGCTATTGTAACCAATGGAATTAGAGAAGTAAAAAAAATTTTAAATAGCAAATAAAAATGATTAAACTAATTAAAATATTTTGAAATTTAATAAAATTTGTTTTCTTTTTTAGTTGACACTTTGTAAGGACCAGAATGGAAAAATTGGAATTCGAGTACATTCAGTGAACAATGGAGTTTTTATTTGTTTAGTGACAAAAGGTTCTCCCGCTGCATTAGTTGGTTTAAGATTTGGTGATCAAATTTTAGATATTAATGGTGTCTCAGTAGCTGGATATTCAATGGATCAAGTACATAAAATTTTCCGTAATTCTCCGGTAAATGGAATAAAAGTTGTTGTGAGAGATAGGTAAATCATATTGATTTAACAATTTAATTTCTCTATATTTGAATTATTTCATTGACAAAAAATAAAAATTTATTCAGACCATTCGAGAGAACAGTTACAATGCATAAAGATAGCTCTGGACATATTGGTTTTCAATTTAAAAATGGAAAAGTCACAGCTTTAGTTAAAGATTCATCGGCTTCACGAAATGGACTTTTAACTGATCATCAAATTCTGGAAATTAATGGCAAGGTGAGAAATAAGGAAACAAAAATCACTATTTATTTTTTTTTACATAATGTAATTAAAGGCGCATTGCCTTCTTTACATGAGGATTATGTCCTTAAAAAACGAAAAAAATCACTATTTTATTTTTATTCAAGAAAATTAAAATTTAATTTTTTTTGCAGAATGTAATCGGTTTAAAGGATAAGGATATTACAATTGAAATTGAAAGTTCTGGTGATATTATAACAGTGACAGTAATTCCTTCCTTCATTTATGATCACATGATTAAAAAGTATGAAATTTTGAAAAATTATACAAATATTACATAATTTATTTATATTGGAAATATAAATTATTTTTGTTAATTTCAGAATGTCTGGCAGTCTTTTGAGAAATATAATGGACCACTCAGATCCGATGCTTTAAACACAAATTTATAAAGCACAGAACTTAATTTTCAAAAACCCAGTGACTGATGAAAAATGACACATCTAATGCTTCTGAAAATTCAATTTTCTAAAAATATTTATTATATTAATATGTTATTAAGGTAAGCATGTTTAGTTACTAAGAAATGTCATTTATAAAAGTCAGTTTTCACAAAAATTCTTGCCAAAAAAAAAAAAAAAAATGAAAATGACTTCAAAGTGAGCCATTAAAAACAAAATTCTCATTTTTGCACAAGTTTGCCAAATTTCACACTATTAAAATAACGAATTATAATATAGGTTTAGAAGATTACGTATTAAAAAATACGTTTTTACAAATTGGCGGAATAATCATATAAACTATAAAAACAATGAATGTGGACTAAATATAATTAGAAAATTGGTAGCCTATAGGGAAATAAGAATAAGAATAATCTTGCTCTTTAACCTATATTTACGTATATTTACTGTATACTAAATGGAGCTGAATCTCTAAAGAAAATGCTCCATAAAAAAAAAATCGCAAAAGCTTAAATATATATATATGTATTGAAATAAAGTTAAGGCTATTCCAAAATTAAAATTTGCCAAATTAGTTTAGATCCGATTTTTGTTTTTCTTAGTAAGAAACAAGATAAAATCAAAACCAAAAAGGCCTTCCACTTTCCAATTATAAAACAGCTATAAACTTTATTTCAGTATTAAAAACTCTAAAGTTTAATCCAAACAAAACATTTCCTCTACACAGATTTCAGAGATACAAATTTATGTATCAGAATTGACTATATATATATAAATATTATATTTAGAGAATAAGAAATTCACGAATAGTTTGCAGTTGAATTTTACTAATATTCCAAGTGCCAATTAAGGTTCTAGTTTTCAAAAAATAAACTCGAGGTGTAATATTAGATGTTAGTTTAAAATTATTTTTCTTTTGTTATATAAGTATTTACATATTTTTTGAGATTGTGATTTTTGTTTAAGGAAGGTTTACCACATTTTTTTTTTGTTTTTTTTTATATAAATCTATAGTTTGTTTAATAATTTTACTTCACACACAATCACTTGAGTCTGATAGTGTAATACAGTTGAAAAAATATCATGTTACATTATTATATTTATAAAAACTACGATGTCAATATTTTCCAGAATCGTATAATATATTGTATGTAATTTGACAAATCATTGTATTTGGTAGATAACAATCGCCTCGAACTGCAGTAAAATGTTTCTTATTTATAATATATATATATTACTGCTGAACGTGCCACAATTTTTTATAGAAAAAAAAAAAAAAATTTATGTATATGTGTATGTATGAGAAGATTATATAAAGAAATGTTAGAGACAGAAAAAGAAAATGTGATTCACAAGGTAATTAGTTCTTATGTGAATTCTATATATATATATAAATTTATATCGACAATAGTATCTTTTATTTTATCCTTTGTATAACAAAAATATGTTAAATAAAAAAATTTTATTTGTCAATTTTGAAAAGTAATTTAAAAAATTCCCGCAAAAAATTTAATTGGCTGGTTATGTTCTCCCGAAGAGAGAGAATATTACCAACCAATAAGAAGAAAGAAAACATTGAAACGTCAGGCATTTAAAAATGGCTCTATTCTAATAATCCAGCTGTCATCTATATTGTTGTTTTTTTTTTCTAAAAAGAAGGATTATTTACATTATTTTAAATAACACGGTTGATTTAAAGTTAAAGAAAATAGAAAGTGAATATTGCCAAATGGTGGTTATAAATTTATAAATGCGAGCAGCGGTCAGTGTTCTTTTGTCGAGTCCAGTGCCCGACAACAAAATGTCATATCCCGACTATGAGCAAACAGCTCACGATCATGCTGCATTATTAATTCTATTAAAACCAATTGGTACACAAATTAAGCAAAAAACAATTGGTAAATTATGCGAGCGTTTGGTTAAATCGGGAAGTAGAGTTTCAATTATCGATGCAAATAAAGGAAATAGAGAAATTTTAATTCGTTTTGTCAAGGATCATCCTGTGGAGAATAATGATTGGGGTGATTTTCAAACACATCGACGACTTCTTGGTTTAATTACATTTGGAAAATATGAAAATCAAATAGAGCTCAATGAACTATGTCGATTGCATGAGACATTAAAAATTAAATATCTTGCCACATTGTATGATTCAAGAGCTGTTTTTTTGGGACCAATTGCTTCAAATAATGTTAATGAACCACCACCTGACTATACAACACCTTCGAATTTTAAAACAGTTGCCAATTATTATATAGACGATACATGTCCTGATTTAGAAATTCAAATGTCCGAATTGTTTAAAAGTTTATTTTATATATTAGAATCAAAGAGACAATCACTTACGCGAGAAAAAATAGATCGTGTGTCATTGTTACTTGCACCATTTGAGAAAAAAGATTTTATTGGTTTAGATTTAGATTCAAAACAAAATAAAAAAAGAATCGGTGGTCGAATGACAAAACATTTGGGTGATTTTTGCCTTCAAGCCGGTTTATTGGCCGATGCATTAAGTCATTATAATTCGGCTACAAATACATTAGGTGGTGTTAATGATTGGTTATGGCTTGGCGCTGCTTATGAGGGTTTGTGTGCTGCTTCTGCACTTATTTTATATCCAAATATGTGTCGAAATTTGCCACTACAAAGAAATTCATCATTACAAGAAGGAAGTCCAGGAAAACAGAGGTAAGAGAAAAAAAAAAAATAGTAATTGAAAATAAAAAGAAGTAAAATTTTATTTTTTCTAGACGAGGATCACAGGCATTAAATGTATTACCACCGCCTCCAAGTATTGAGATTTTAAAAACTAATATGCCAAATATTTTATCACCAGAGGATATTTCGAAAAAATATCGTGAATCTATTGTGCATTATAGTAAATATCAAAATGCAGGAATAATTGAAACTGAAGCAAGCTTTAAAGCAACTCGAATAGCAATTGAACAAAATTGTTCTCTTAAAGCGGCGTCATTTTTAAATAATGTTGTTTTTATTAATTTGACAATGAGCGAACAAGAAAAGGTAAATTGATCAAATTATATATATATATATATTTCTTTGTGATTAATATTAATTAATTTTTAGATTGAACGATTTACAACATTGGCTGATCTTTTTACATCGTTTGGATTTACAAGGAAGGCTTCATTTTGCACAAGATTAGCAGCAACTCGATATGTTTCTCAACATAATCGAAATCCAGATTGGCAACAATGTTATAAACTTATGCTACAAGCAACAACTGGTTTTAAATTATCTCTCGATCCACTTGAAATGCCTTGTGGTAATATATTATATAAAATAAAAATAAAATTACAATTTACATATAATAATAAATTATTCACGCAGGTGCACAAAGAGGATGGCCTGCAATACAAATTCAAGTAATAAATGAATTGGTAGCCGCTGCAAATCGTATGGGAAATCCAGCATTATCAACAAGACATTTGACATTTTTACTACAAACTATGTATAATCATTTAAGTCCAACAATGAGAAAAGAAACGGCACTACAATTACAAGCGGTGTCACAACAATGTGAAGGTGCACCCGTACCACTTGTTCTTGATTCAGGAACAGTTATTCCACCCGCTAATTTAACGAATATACCAAAAACAAAATCGTTTACATTGAAAAATTTACAACCACATCTTCAACCACAAAAAATTGAACGTGTCAAAGAAGATCACGGTCCATTTTTATTTACACCAATTAATTTTGGTTCATTAGAAAGAAAAAGTACATCGAAAAGTAAAATTGGTGAGTTAAAAAAAATAAAATTATTGAAATATATATATAAATATTAATTTATTTTTTTTCGTAAAGATTATCTTTGGGTGGAAGGTGATATTTGTGAGGCAACAATGCAACTTATAAATCCCCTACCATTTGAACTTCATGTTTCAAATATGAGACTTTTGACAAGTGGTGTTGTTTTTGAATCAATACCTGAAAGTATAACATTACCAGCTGAATCGGGACCAATTGCGGTTATTTTAGCTGGAAAACCAAAAGAAGTTGGCGATTTGGAAATTATTGGTTTTAGTACACATACATTGGGTGTAAAATCAAATTGTAAATTACGTTATATGGAAGGAATACCACATCCACAATATTCCATTGAAGTTGTACCAGCATTGCCGAGAATTGATCTTTCAACGAGTTTACCACAAACGGCAAGTTTTAGCTCGGGGGAAAATATTGTGACTAGCGCGAGTATTTCCCTTTATGGTGGTGAAAGGTATTTCTTTTTTATTTGAATTATTTTTTTTTTAATTCGTTTTTTTTTAAAAGCAAAATTCACATTTTTTTTTAGTTCCGATTGTACAATTACAATAACAAATGTTGGTCAAGTTCCAATTGAAATGTTTGAAATTACGGTTCAATCGTCTTTGGATGCATCGACAGAATCGAAAGTTTTCAATTGGAATGACGAAGAATTAAAAAAACAATTACCATTAGAACCAGGAGCAAGTACAAGTTTGACTTTAAATTTATATGCTGTTATGGAATTTGTTGTGCCATCATCAGCTCACGGTACGTTTTATAAAAAAAAAGTATTGTTGAAATTTTTAACTAATTTTATACTTGTTTTTAGATATTAACAGTAACGCCTACATTTCTCAATCAAATAGTTTATTAACACAATCGGGATCGAGTTCATTGCCATCAAGATTGAGTTCATATTCGCAACACACTAAAAGACAATCAGAATTGACATCATCATTTCGTTCAGGATTAAGTAGTAATTCGGGAAATTCATCGGTTATTAGTACACGATTATCGAAACTTGCAGTTCCATTAAATTCTTTAAATGCAATTGAAGGACAATTAAAAATAAAATATTCAGGTGCTGATGGCTTAATTGCTGGCTATTGTCGTGTGTCTTCTGTATTTATTACTATTGAAATTTTACCTAGTATTCAAATTACAAATTGGGACGTTCTTCCAGCTGAAACGTATGTTTTATTAAATATTTCTAAAAAAAAAAAAAAACATTCTGATTGGACAATTTTATTTTCAGAGCATCACAATTTTATCTTGTTTTGGATGTTATTAACAATACAAATCATGAAATGGAATTACATTATACAGAAAGTAAATGTATCTATATGGAAGGAAGAGAATCGTGTCGAATTCCTGTTCCTGTGAATCGATGTCCACTACGTAAATTGTCGACGGTTGGAAATTGAAAAACTTTTTAAATTAAAAATATAAAAGGGAATATAATTAAATTTTTCGTTATTTAATTTTTAGATTAAAGAAGATATAGACAATGGGGAATTGAAAAAAATTTGTGCCGAACATATTGCTTCGCTTGTTGATTTACGATGGCATTTATTGGGAACTGATTTAACGGGAAAGGCTAATTTATCAGGAATCACTTTAACGCAAGATATGTTAGATTTAGTTCGAATGAGTCCATTACAATGGGGTAAAATATTTATTTATTAAATCAAAAATATTTTTTTTTTTTTATTTTAATGTAAATTTATTTTTTACAGAAGTGAAAATAAATGATAATATCGTAAAGGCACAGGATGAATTAAATTATGTTCTGGGAGAATGTATCAGTATTGGTGTAGGTGTATGTAATGCGTTGGAAAATCCATTACGAGATCTTACATTATCGATAAATTTTTATCAGGATCATCACAATGGAGTTAATAATTATCGATTAGACACAAGACTGTCTATCGCTGGTTCCAATAAAGTTTTACTTCCCTTGGTAAATATTCAAAATTTATATATATTTTTATTATTCATTGATTGTTAAATTTTTCTTTCTAGTTAAATTAGAAAAATAAAATACAAAAAAAAAATCTTTTTACATTTACAGCTAAAAAAATCGGGACGAGCATTCCATGAATGTCGAGTTGTATTTTTAACTTCCGGTCAATATAAAATAGATATTCAATGCAGTAGTCGTGAACAAATTGCAAATTCACCTTCATTATGTACAGAAATGACAAATGAAAATCACACATGGCGATATATACCACCGGTGGAAATTAGTGTTGCCGATTGTTAATATTTTTTGTACATTATGTATATATATATATATATATATATAAACAATATTTTTGATCTATTAATTCCAGATTAATAGACAAATTTATTTACATTGTAATATATATTTTGAATTCATTAATTATCTTTGTTTATATTTATTCCTTAAAAATAAAAATAGATTTTAAATAATTTTTTTTTTCAAAAATGAAAGTAGAAAGTAAAAATTATTTTGAATTTATTATTACAAAAAATTATACTACCACTGGATTACACTTTTTGATTTCAGTCTTGTACACATAATTTTTTTAAAAATGAAATTGTCTATATTAAAATTAGCATATAGATTTGGCTTTTCTTCCCAAACGAATTAATTGCATATCGTGAATTCGTCGACGGAAATTTTTATAAAATTCAAGTACAATTGGATTTGCCCACACTTGTTTTGGTTCAAAATTTAATACACGAAGTGTTTCTAAACTTTGTGCTCTTGATAATGCAACATAAGCTTGACCAGCATCAAAAACTCTCGTGAGACTCATTTCAACACAATCCAATGTTAAACCTTGACTCTTGTGAATTGAAAATGCCCATGCGAGTTTACATGGAATTTGTTTTCTTTGTACATTACCGCCGCTTGCTGTTTTTATTCCCCATGTTTCCATTTTAGCTTGATACAATCCACCTGATCGAAATTGAATTACTGGTAAACTATCGAGAAATTTAACAACAACTCCTCTTGCACCATTAACAAGTCCACTGCTAACGTTAATATTTTTCAAAAGCATAACTTGTGCACCAATTTTTAATACAAGTTTACTTGGAACTGGTAATTGTTGATCTAATGTTTTTGTCATCATATTGTCAGAATCTTCGGCGATATAAACTTTTTCTTCACCGGAAAGTTTTTCCAATTGTGATTTATTGAGTTCGTTTGCTTCATTTATATGTGTACATAATCTTGTTGCTAAAATACCATTGGTTTCAATTTGTTGTGTTGTTGTTGATTTTAATTTTGTTGTTATTTCATCGGTGATACGTCCTATTCGAATACTATTTAAAATATTGACAAACACAGAATCTTTTTGTCGATGAACAATTTTTAATTCAAAATTTGCTTGAACACATTCAGACCATTTTTTACTTTGAAAACAAAATTTTGCCTTCTCTTCTTTTTTTGATACTGGTGGTAATTGAAAAAAATCACCGCACAAAATAATTTGTATACCACCAAATGGTTTATCATTACGACGTATATAACGTGCGACAGCTTCAATTTTTTCAAAATAATCCGCGTCAATCATTGAAATTTCATCGATAATTAAATGTTTTGTTTTTCTCCATAATGTACTTGCTGCTGATTTTGCAGCTATTTTGCAACAATTTTCAATACTCGCTGTACCAATTCCAATACCGGAAAACTGATGAAGAGTAATTCCACCTGGAAAAAATGTTTTTTTTTTTTTTTTTATTTAAATAATTATTTTCTGATAATTTAAATTTTCATTGTTTATAAAATTTCTTACCTATATGACAAGCTGCAACACCTGTACTTGCAGTAGCCATAGTAACATTTGGAGGTAGAGCACCAATAATTTTTTTTAATAAATACGATTTTCCTGTACCAGCACTGCCAGTGAAAAATACATTTTTCCCCGCTAAAATTGCATTGAGAACATTTTTTTGTTCTTCAGTCATTTCTGTATTAGGATTAGCCATATTTAATTTTTTTGCTTTAGGAATTCTGAGGGCATTTTCACTGATTGACTTTCGTTTTAATACAGATTTAGGCGATGGTGTAGTTACTGTTGCACGTGAAATAGCACCAGCTTTTTCTTTTGCTTTATTTAATTCAAAAACAGTGGATGGACTAATATCTGTTACTCCTCCCATTACATTTGACAACATTTTTTCCTTTGCAGAAAGTTTTGTCTTCTCCTCCGATTGTCCTGTCATTTTTACAAATAGAGTTTTTAAAAAATTCACTAGTTGAGCAACTGGTGCATTTGATAAATACAAGGTACACTTTTCCTCTTGAAATTTAATTGAAGCCTTTCCCTCAGACATAAATCTGTTGAAAACCGAAATACCTTTTAATAATAATTTTAAAGTTGTATTTGTTTTTTGTGATCGAACTTCTATAAACATTTCTCGTAAATTATTCCTAATCAAACGTGTTGTTGCCGTTTTGTAATCAACTTTTCTTGTTATACATCCTTCAACATTTAACCATTCTAATCTTGCTGTACACGTCACAAAACAACCTTCTGAATCTTGACTCATTTTTGCAAATAAAACTGATTAACTTAATTAACAAATATCACAAGATTTTTATTAAAAAAAAACTATTGTTAAAGAATACCCACGCAACTCACGCTAACGGGGTATTTAAACTGACCTAACCTAATCTATCCGTCATTTATATTCGCGCCTTTACGAATATAAACGACTTTTACCGACAACTATCGAACACTCATAAAATGCGGTCAATATATTTAGAAAAGATAATACAAAGGGCGCGCAATGTATTTACATTTGTGTGTATATGTGTATGTGATGCAATTTCGGAAACACGATGGCTGGATCGGTATCACAAATACTTAATACCCATGGTAAATTAATTATTCTTTCAAAAATCATCAAGATTTTCATTTACCTACAATAAAATAAGTGTTTTTCAAATTTTAGTGTTTGGGATTAGTCGATTGCTGCGAGTTTTCGGAACAAATTCTGTCGCCAAATTTACGACGCAATCCCAACCTAACATTCGAACTGAAGGTAATTTTTATATATTTTATATTTTAATATTATAACGGATGAATGAGACAACGACCTGTCTTCAAACTTGCTTATCAATATAAATTCTTTAAAGATATAATATTATTATGGTATATAAAATTATTGATAAAAGTTCTTTTCAGTATAAAACGTAGAAGCGTGTCATGAGAAGCGTTATGGAAGAGAACAAAGCAATATTTCTTTTTTATTCATATATATGTTAAAAAAATTTCTAATTAAAGGTGCGAATATATAACGTACACAAGGCCCGCACCATAAAAAAAATTCAATTAAAAAGATTCAGTTTGTTGACCTCGTAATCTTGTTCAAAAACCGTATTGACTGAATCATTGACAATCGTTTAAACATAACCTTAAAATAGACTATAATTATACGTTTAAAATTGTTTAACAATTTTTTTGCTTAAAACAATTTGAAAATTGAATTTTTTAAATTATTTTGAGATATTATAATTTTTGTTTTTGGAAAATTTTTGTATTTTTTTGATAATTTACATTTATATTGATTTTATACCTATAGGTTAATGCAGCTATTTTTATTTTTATAAAAAAAACGATTTTATAATTTTTTTATACTTTTTTTTAAATTATAATTTTTCTACTCATTACATTCTAAATTTTTGTGAAAAAAATATATTAATATTGCCAGGACTTGTGTACGTTTTTGTAATTTATTAAATTTGTAATTAAAAAACATTTTTTTAATTATTTATATGTAATTTAATTAAGAATGATCAAATTGTTCGAATATATTTTCTTTTTATGGAATTTTTTGTCAAATAACTTAAAGTACAGGTCGCAATCTCATCATCTGGTTTTTAATAAATAAATAATCTAATAATAGATTCAGTCAATGCAATTTAACTATTAGACTATTTGTCATAATTAAAAAAAAAAAAGTTAAAAAATATATTTCGGAACAAAGATTACGAGTTTGACAAAGTAGAATCAATTTTAAATGAATTTTTATTTGCAGGGCTCTAGAGAGGATTATTTGTGAAACAATTTCAAAAAAAAAAAAAAAAAAAAAGTTTTAAAACTGCAAAAAAAAGTGAGTCTTTTAAAAAAAATCACACAACGGATATTACATTTTAAATAATAAAATCTAAACTCCGAGGTCATGTCCATGAAATCTCCTACAACTTATTCTCAAGAAGACTTGGACTTGATAAATTCAGAAATTCCTAATTTCGATTGTTCTGCACCAACAACTTCAGCCGTGGATCAAGCCCATAAGTCAAGTGAAAAGTTTTTTGTCAACGCAGAAGAATTTTCAAATACATTAAATCCTCTGAATATTGACGAATTACAAAATGCCTATAATATTGATTTAATTAATAATGATATTTCAAGAAAATCAGAATTCATTGAAAATGAAAATATACCAATTTCAATTAATAATATTTCAACAACAGGAAATAATGTTCAACCTCTTATGACAATAGAAAATGTTGCTGCAAATTTTCATCCAGAAGATGGTAATATTAGATTTCAAAGTGAGAAGAAAAATGAAAAAATAATTGACGATTTAAAAAGTAAATCGACAAATAAATTAAATTTCTTTCCTGGTGATAAACTTGAGGCAAAGGATTTTAATGAGAAATGGTATTCGGCAAAAGTAGTTGAGACAGATTGGATTGAAAGAGAAGTATTAATTCATTTTGATAAATGGAGTTCAAGATTCGATGAATGGATACCAATGGATAGTCCACGACTTCGAATGTTACAAACACAATCACGTGAAATGAAGACAAAAGATTTTGTCGCCGGTGAAAGAATATTAGCCACATGGGCCGATGGTAGAAAATATCCAGCAAAAGTAAATGCTGTACTTGGTAATGATCGTTATGATGTTCTTTTTGACGATGGCTATGCAAAAATAGTGAGATCATCTAAAATGACAAAAATCGGTGGACCATTGGATGAGCAAAATGATAGTGAAGATTTTATTGGCAGTAAAGAGAAACGTAAGGATAGAAATCGAAAATATCAAGTTATGGATCTTTTTCAGCGTAAACCAAAGAAACACGGTGGTGAAAAATATGCCAAAAGAGGTCGTCCTTGTAAGGAGGAAACAATAGTTACAAATGAAGCAGCAGCTGTTATTGATAATGGTTCATTCTCAGGTTCTCATGATGATTCGAGTACAGAAGTTCTTCATGGTTTTGAAAATACAAATGCAAAAATGAAAACCTATTTGAAGAAGGACAAAAAAGGCGATTCAAACATTGATCCAAGTTTTCAACCCGAATGGAAAGATGGTGAACCACAGGGTAAAGAATCATTTATAGAAGGACCACGACGTTCAATAATTGTTGCCGATAAAAGATTACCACCAGGTTGGGAGAAGCATTTTACACAAAGAAAAGCGGGATCATCAGCTGGCAAATGGGACGTACTTTTTATACATGAAGGTAGTGATAAAAAATTTCGTTCGCGAAATGATATTCGCGCCTATATGGTGAGTCAAGGACGTTTTGATTTTGATCCAGAAATGTTTGATTTTTGTATTCATCGAAAAAAGAAGCCACGAGGGGAAAAAACAATTATTGATACGCCAAATAATAGAAAATCAAAACCTTATTCAAGAGCAAAACATCTTATTGCACAAGATAATATAAGTCCACAATTTCCAAGTACAAGTACACCAGCAATTCCAGTGACACCATCATCATCAACATCAACAGCCGTGGAAGATGGTGCAATATTCATTGGTGGTTTACGTGTTGAAATGGAGGATAGTTCCTATAAATGTCCCAAGGAAGGTTGTTTAAAAAATTTCCGCAAAGAAAATCTCCTTCAAATGCACATTAAACACTATCATCCTGAATATTCCAAATTTCTTGGCTCAACACCAAATGTCGCCGATTTGGCATATGCAAGAACAATTGGCGAATCAATTGACGATATTATTCCAAAGCAAACGCACAATTTTCTTGAGAAAATTTCCAAATTTGAAAAAAGAAAAGGATTACATGATAAATCACAATTACCTGTTCTTCAATCAGCTCTTTCGCCATCGCAAATAATTATCACTGCACCATCGCCAACACCTCCAATTTTAGAACTTGAAGTTAATCCAAAAATTGACGATTTAAATGACACACGAGATGAAAAAATTGAATTAGGTTCACCAATAAGATCAAATAGTGAGACACTTAGAAAAGAAAGTGATTGTGCAATGTCGCCAGGTTCACTTTTTGATTTAAAATTACGTGAAGAAAAAACTCAAACTGGTATTAAAACACTTTTACCAGTTCGACCACCATCAGCGGGAGCAACAGATTCAAGATCAAAATCCGTTGATGAAATACCTAAAGAAAAAGGTAAAAGTGTAAGAAAACGTAATTTATCTGAATATCATCAAGAATTAGTGCCAAAAACAAAAAAACGTCATCTAATTCAACATGATGTTAATTTTGATGATTTGGATGAAAGTACAATGGATACAGAAGGTCCCTCAACACCCACTTATCGTTTCAGTCGTAGAAAATCCGATACCAAAAATGACGAGAGTAATGATAGTAAAAATGAAAATATGATGCTTATCAATGGTGAATTAATAAAAGTTGAACAATTACGTAAAGAAGAAATAATAAATTGTACATGTAAATTTATGGAAGAAGACGGTTTAATGATACAATGTGATCTTTGCCTTTGTTGGCAGCATGGACATTGTAATGCAATTGAAAAAGAAAAAGATGTTCCCGATAAATATGTATGCTACATTTGTCGACATCCCTATAGACAACGACCATCAATGAAATATAATCTCGATCAAGAATGGATAAAAGAAGGTAAACTACCAACATTACAAGATAGAACAAAAAATGATATGATAATTAAACAAAGAACAGCAATGTTAAAACGTTCATACGATCTTATTTCATCATTATTTCAAATTCAAGCCCTATTACATAGTTTACGTGTGAAAATAAATGTTGCACAAAAGAAAGATCATCCAAAATTATATCTTTGGGCAAAAAATTGGGAGAAATTATTAATTCCAAAACCTGATATTTCACCAGTACCTGTTTTTGAAATAATTGAGAGAGCTGAAAAAATTGATATTGAAATTAAAAATGAGGACGATGATAATTTAAAAGCAGAATCAATAGATGATCAAAATTCAATTGCAACTGATTCGGAATTAGTGAAAATTTTAGAAGATCCCACTATTGAGACAAATAATAAAAATGTAAATTCGGAAAATTTTTTATTCAGTGCATTAACAAAAAATGAAATTGAAATTGACAATAATGGAAAAGAAAATTTAACGGATTTAAAATCATCAACTCTAACTGAAAATTGTATTTTACCACAAGAATTCAATAAACGTATTACAAATGTACAACCATTTATACCAGAACCCGAGGCACCAATTGATCCTACAGAATGTAGAATGAGATTATTGGATCATATTGATCATTTTCAAAACTATATTGCATCGAAATTAACAAGTATTGAAGCACAAGTACAAGTTTTGGAAGAAATGGATCCTGATACAATTCCTGAAATGGAAGTACAACCTCGAACAAAGCAAACTGTGCAAATGTTGCTTCGAGATTTAGGCACCATCAGAAAGCTCGCTTCATTGTGTTGATAATGAATTTATTTTCTTTTATTTATATACATAAATATATATATATATATATAAATATAGTTCATTTACTAAATGAAAACTTTTTTAATTAACACACTGTAAATCATTGAATTTAAGCAGAGACTTTAGTTTTTAAAAGAAATTTGTAAAATCTGTAATAATAGATTTTAGATTATGTAAAATCGAATATAATTATTTTAGTCAAGTAGTTTCACATTTGATATAATAAAACTTTCAATATTCACATGTTCTGAAAATTTAATCAGAATCTTTAATAATTGTGTGTAGTTTGAAAAAGAGAAAACTTTATCATTCTTATTCTTATACTGATAGTAATTGTATTATGCTTTTTTTTTATTTAAGTATATAAAATTCATTTGTGCAAACTATAATAAAATAAAGTTTTTCTCTGATACTCAAAAGTGTTATGTAATCAATTTTTTACCTTCAAAAATATTTTTTTATGTTTAAAATTGAAAAATTAAATTTAAATTATAATCTTTATTATGGGTCGTTGTTTCTTAATTAAATATAAAAAAATTTTTTGAAATACAACAAAATTTATTTTTTTATTTCAGATGAGATGAAAACGAAAAATATGAACATAAATCCATTAAAACATCCAGATTTTTTCCAGGTACACAATTTATTTACTGTAGAAGATTTATTTAACGCTGGTGTTCATTGGGGACATAAGGAAGGTTCAATGGACGAGCGTATGCGTCCATTTGTCTTTGGCAATCGTTTAGGACATTTAATTATTGATCTTGATCAAACGGCGGAACTTTTAAGACAAGCATTAAATTTCACTGCACATATTGCATTTAATGATGGTGTTATTCTTCTTGTTTCACGATCACCACAATCAACTTATTTTGTTGATAAAACAGCTATTGAATGTGGTGAATTTTCATATACACGAAAATGGCGTGGTGGATTATTTACAAATTCAGAGAAAGAATTTGGTGAATTAACACGATTGCCAGATTTATGTATTTTATTCTCGACATTTAATGAAGTTTTAAAAGATCATCCTGTAATTGTGAATTCGGCAAAAATGTGTATTCCAACTGTTGGTATTGTTGATACAAATAGTAATCCAAATATGATATCATATCCAGTGCCGGGTAATGATGATTCAATTACTGCGATAAAACTCTATTGTAAATTATTTAAAGAAGCAATTTTACGTGGTAAAGAAGCGAGAAAACTATTTCTCAATGAGGAATAAAAAATTTTTTTTTGTTTTTATTTGTATAAAGTTTAATAATAAGATACTTAAAAAATAATCTTTTTTTTTTTAATTGAGCCTCTTACATTTAACAAAAACACTCAAGAGTATATTTGAGTATTGTAATGTGTTTTTCTTTATCAGTTTGTTGAATTTATTGATTTACAGTAGTTTTGCTGTCTCGTAAACGTTGATGGAAGGTTGGTCCCAGTAGATTGCTAATTCTATAGAAATAAAAAATATATTTGTATTTATAAGAAATTCAAATAGAAATAAATAAATATAAATACTTACAAGCGTCCCAAGTTGGGATAAAATTTAAGATATGAAAGAAACAAAGGAGGTGAAAATGAAATCCAAACTTCGTTTAATTCATTGGCCAAAGCAATTGCAATTAATTCTCCACAACGTTTTGGACTTAATTTACTCGATGCGATTGGTGTCTTCTGACCGAATTTCTATAACATATTTTATTTTTAATTTACAATATAAAAATTTTTAGACAATTTTTTTTTTTTAAATACTCACCTCGCCAATTGTATCAGTAAAGCTTTCAGGTAAAAAATCAGTTTGTATTGGTCCAGGAACTATCATAGTGACGGAAATATTTGAAATTGATTTTTCAGTTCTTAAGCATTCAAAATATCCCTGACAAAAAAATGATTATTATTAAATTTATTTTATATAATTATAATCACATTTATATATATAATTTAAAGATATTGCAAATTTACTTACATGTAAAGCATGTTTTGAACCAGTATATGAAGCAGAAAATGGAATACCCATAATTCCAGCTATACTGGAATTAACTGCAACATGTCCCTTTCCTTGTTTTATAAAATATTTTAAAACAACACGTGTTAAATTAACAATTGAAAAAACATTCAATTCAAATGCTTCTTTATCTACGTTTATATCAATATTCTCCCAATTTGCTCGTTGACTTCGACCGGTATTATGTACAAGTATGTCCAGCTGTAAATTAAAAAAAAAAATTTAATATAAATAAATATTAGTATTTTGTTTAATATAAAAATTTAAAAATGCACGCATACTTTGCCAAATTTTTGTAGAATTATATCAAACATTTTTTGATGAACATTCAAATCAAGAATGTCAAAAGGAAGAATGAGAATGTCATTTCCAGTCAATTTTTCATTATTTTCTGAGGGGGAAAAAAAATTTCTTTTTTTAATTTCTGTTTTTGAAACTTAATTAAGGAAAATAAAAAGAAAAATACCAATGACACATTTTTCCTTGACTTTCTGCAATAAATCAGTTCGTCTGGCTGAGATTATCAATTTGCAACCTGCATTTGCTAATGCATAAGCAGTATGTTCACCGATTCCGCTAGAAGCTCCAATAATCCATATCACTTTACCGGCTAATGAATCTGTTGATTACAAAAATTTCTTAAAAATTACTTGATTATAACAATTTACTATTGTTTTGATAATTAGTTCTTTTTTTAATTTTCTAAAAATAATTCTATTTAATTATTTAATAAAAATAATTCTATTTAATTATTTTTATAAATTATTATCATAAAATTATACACTTTATTATTTTATTTATATCAAATTTTAAATATAAAAATATCTAAAATACTAGTTTTAAAATAAAAAAAAAAAATTCTAATTTAATTAAAAATAAAACTTTTTATTACCTTTAGGCTTTCCAAATTTTTCTTTCAAATAAAGTCGCATATCACAATCCAAAAACATGGGTATTATCAGGTACAATAAATTATATAAAAGTACAAAAGCGCCAAATAATTCCAGAAAACTCATCTTTTTTTTTATCTAAACTTCACAAAATTCACCTGTAAAATAAAGAATAAAAAAAATACTTGTATTAAAATTTATAGTATTTTAATCAAGTTTATTTATTATACCCTAATAATAGAATTAATTTCAAATTAATTATAACTTTCCAACCCACACGAGATGTATTTATAAGTTCGCAGAATTAATTGTCCTATGCATGTGATAAGTATTTATGTATACGTTGATGATAACGCTTTGCAACAAAAAAAAGAAATCCTACAGCGTATTAATACGATAAAAATAACATCTCAATTTTTTTCACATTTTTTTTTTATCTACTCACCGTTTCACTTTATTTGGCCTAACCTCTCGCTTCAGTCGATTAGGTAAAGACTTTATTTGTGAGGTAAAATATAATTCTGAATTTTATGCAAACAGAAAATCTTTATTTCCTCGTGTTCTTTTTCGCATATATACATATGTAAAATTACAATAAAAATTTTGTTTCTGACTATAAAATTAAAAATTTTAACTGAAAATTAATTTATTAAATTAAAAATAAACATTTTTTAAAATAAATAAAATATCTTAATATAATTTATGAAAAAAATTATAAATATTTTATTTATTCTATTTATTTACATAAATATTTGGCGTATATGTACAAGTATAAAATAGAGTTTAATTATTGGCTCTCAGTTCAAAGGCCCTCAAAATATAAATATTCCTGAAATTTAAAATATATTAAAAATGTAAAATTTATATTATATAATTTTATAATAGCTAGGATTCACTTACAATTAAAAAAGTTGCACCCAATAGTAAACTTTTCAGTTTAATATTCATATTTTCTGGAAATGTTAATAATAAAATGTAATCAGCAAGATTATTGTCAAATTTGCGCATTACTGAAGCCAATTGACAAGATCCATCAATTGGTAAAACCTAAAAACAAAACAAAAATATTTAGTTTTATCAAAAGAAATTTTTTTCTCTAGAAATTTAGGCATTTTTAAAATAAAAATCAAACCTGAAAACATGCTTCTTTGTACATGCAACATGAATAAACATTGGGACCTTCAATATAGCAAAGAGGATTTTTTGCTGCATCATAAACCGTGAAATACGGACCCAAAAGTGTAAATTTTTGCTCTACGGTTCCAATAAACTCTGTGGATTCCACTTTAATTTTCTATTTAATAACAATTAAAATAATAAGATTTCATTTTAAATATAATTTTACATTTATAATTTAATAATAAATAAAATTAGAAGAAAAATAAATTTAGTAATAATAATTAAAATCATCTTTTTAATCAAATTTTAATCTTAAAAAAAAACTGTTTAATTTAATTCTATTTCTATTTAAAATAAAATTATTGTATAAAATTATTTACATGCAACCATCCAGGTAAACATCCCCAGCCAACATCTTTTGTAATTGTAAAAGCAGTTTCTCCAGAAGGATCCAGAATATTCAAAGTAAATGGTCTCGAAGATTTTAAAAATCGTCGTTGATTTTCATTTGAAGATTCAATTGCTAAAAAAAGAGTCTCGGCTTTTGGAATTTTCACCTTATATTGATTTCCTTTTTTATATGTTCCAAGTACTGAAAATAATTAATAATTATTATATAATTAATAGTAATTAATTAAGGTACTTAACAGTTAATGATTTTCTAATTTTATACTTACAAGTACTTAAATCGATTACTCTTTGAATTTCTAATTGTTCAACTCCGGATAAAAAATAAGTTCCGGAAAGTACACTGAGCTGCGATCGAGGCGTCGAAATCCAATCAGAAGTAATTACAGGAATTGGTCGTCTGTTCTGAGCTCGTTCATCTAAAAAAAGGATAAATAAAATTACTTTCCACATAAAATGAAAGTGATGAAATTAATCAATGTTTTTTAGAATCTTCTTTCATTTATTTATTCATTTAATTTATTAAATAAGACAAGCTCTTTTCTACTAGAATATAAAAAAAGTTCCTCTGCAGGCTAAAAAAAAATATTTTTTTAGTAATTTTTAAATTTAAAAAAAATTTTATTTCATTTGTAGGAAAAAAAAACTTATTTTCACCTCTAGTATTTGTTGTTGAAGTGATGACTGTTGGCTGAGAATAAACTGGTCTAGTATCATAAATTTCATCATAGAAAATAATTCCCAGTTCTCTTGCTTCATTTGATGTTTCTAAATTGCAAATATATAGTTAATGTTTTTCTTTTTTATTAAAGAAAAAAAAAATACTGTTTTTATTTTCTTATTTATATAGCGAAAAAAAAATTATTTTTTTTCAAATTGAAATAATTCCGTGTCAAATTTGTAAATTAGATATTTATTTATTCTTTTAATTAAATTTTGTTTTAAATACCAGCCTCTGATCCTATTCTTGTAGCACCTTCACTAACGTTTAATTGTGACATTTTAACATGACAATAACTTATAAAATGTACTATCTTTGGATAATAATTCATTCACTTATCTTTGTTAAAACGATAACTATTATCTTTCATCGATGTCGATATAATTTTTTTTTAACGTCTCTCATCAGAACCATAATTATTATTATCATCAAAGATAAATATTTATTGTTCTATATTAATTAAATAAAAATAATACTTTCAAAAATATTTTTTTAATATATTTTTCATTTTATTTTTTTATTTCAGAAATGCAACGTATTGAATTTCCTAATAAATTTTTCTTCTTCCATCTCGTCTTGAAATCTATAAATGAATATAGCTCACTTTCTGCGCATTTTTTTCCTATTTTCAATAAGCTTCAAAAATTCTATATTGTTTCTCATTTTTTAATGATTCATTAATGACCACTAACATAATTTTTATTTTCCCTACTAAATTCAAATTTGAGTATTTTTTTTTTTAATTTCCTTGCATACAATATTTAAAAAATTAAAATATATAATTCTCTATATTTCATAAAAAAAAAAATTGGAGTTTGGAAATTGTTTTACTGAATTAAAAATTACTTTTTCAAACTGAAAATTATTTAAATTAATTCGTCTTTTTAATTATAATTTATTTAATGAATCAACGGGCCTTTATATAAAAAAAAGTACTTTAACATTTAGTGAATACAGCAAAAAAAATATAAATACTTTTGAAATGTAAAATTTTATTTATTTTTCTGAAGATAATTTTTACTTTAAAGAAATAAAACGAAATTGAAAAAAAAATATAAGAAACTTTTGCACTTTAAAAATCTTGATATTGTAAATAAAAGGTGTTTTCTCTTAAGTATATGAAAAAGAAAAGTGTATATTATCTTTGCCTGAAGAGATTTTTCTTAAATATATATATATGTCTATATAAATGTTTGATCAGGAGCTTTATACTTGTTGCTGAGACGGGAAAAATCGCCATGCGCGTTTATATCGATTGACAAAAGCTTCCTAGGTATATAAATTGCGGCAAAAGGTGTAGGTGGAGGGCAGAACAGATTGTATGATCGTAGAAAATTATTATCTAAAAATAAAAGTAAGAAAAAAATAAAATACGCGAAATAAAAATTAATAGAAGAAAAAATCAACTTTACAAAATCGAGCGGATGAATTATTAAAAATCAAGTAAGTTTCATATTATTAATTTTTTATCTTCTTCTTGTACTCATCTTCATATTATGAGTAGAAATAACGTTAAGTCCACCGGAAATAAAAATATTTTAATGGAAAATTTATAGTTTTTCCCATATAATTTTAAAGTGGAAAAAATTCATTAAAAATTATTATTATTCCTGACATTTGAGTTTTGATGTTTGATCATTTGAACTTTAAGCCGACACCTTATAGGTCACCAGCTGTTACCTCATTTTCAAATACAAAATAATATTTTTTTCTTTCTTTTACTTATTTTGAAAATATTTTTAAATAAAAAAGTTTTATATAATAAAATACAATTTATTTTTAATATTTAATATTTCTTAATTTGTTTCTCTTATAGTAAAGACAGTATAGATTAATCAATATAACAAATTCGTAAAAAAAAAAGCAATGATCTTTCTTAATAAAAGTAAAAAAAAAGTAATTTTTTTCTTCTCGACTTGAAAATAAATATAAATTAAATGAAGATAAAGACAAAAAAGTCATGAACTCCATTCTAACAAAACTTAATTTGCGTGATCTGATCAGTAATGCCTTCTGGCGTCGTACTTGTTGCGTCGAAAAATGGTTGCGCTGCAAAAGTCACTTAATTGAATTTTTCCTGATTGAATAGAAAATCATTTCTATTCAATTATTATTATTATTATATAATTTTTTTTTTCAAAAATGCGCTCAATTTCTTTAATATGAAAATGAGGCAAAAAATATAATAAAAATATTCACATTGAAATTAGTTTCTTAAATTGAAAAAGTTTTGAAATTCCGACAATATTAATCATACCTAACTTGACATATTAATAAGAAATTATTCAAAAATAAAAATATTTAGCTCAATTAAATATTTTAGACTTTTAGTTAACTTAAATAAAAATTATTATTAAAAAATTATTATTTATGTCAAAGTAAGTACAATATTTACTCAAAATACCTATCAGAAATTATATTGATCCGAAATACATTTTTAATATTTTACTTCCAATAAAATTATTCAGTTCAAGTTAATATTTACTTGATTGTATATTATATTAATTGATAATTTGAATTAAATAAATTTTTTTTAGTTATATCAATTTATTTGAAAATATTTCAAGATTTTAATTAAAGGAATATCTGAACTTTTATCAGGGATGTTGTAATATATAATGTATATATATATATATTTTTTTTTTATTTTGAAAAATCGATATTTCAATCACTACTATGTCTTCTTCAATTATCAAGGACTTCACTTTATCACAAGTCTTAATAATATTGAGAACATGATAATGTTTTTCTTTAATTTTGTTAATTTTAGTAAGTGCCATTAAAACAACAAATACGAAAAAAAAATTATCAAAAGCTGAGAAGTCATATTGATTTTTTTAAATTTAATTCAACGAATTATATTAAAGTAGAAAATATGCTATAATAATAGAATATAATTAATAATTATAATAATTTTAATTAATAATTGTAAAAATTGTAACAATTATAATAAATGATTAAAATAATTATAATTAATAAAATAATTTTTTAAAAAAATAGTTAGAAAATGAGTTGAAAAAAGAAAAACTGGATGAATAAATAATTAAATTTCAGACAGATTAAGGTCATGTCGCCAACAGGGTGGATTCTTTTCGTAATAGTGGGTTTTGTGACAGCCCTTAATCCTGTGCCTCATCGCACTAACGAAGAATCTTTAAGGGGTGCTTTAAATGCACTTACGAGAAAACAACGTTCTCTAGATTACAATACACGTGAATTCTACAATAATTTACCTTCATTTAAATATCGAGGTGATAACGATAGAAAATTCGAAAGACAACGTGAGGACAATGACTTTGATGAAGACGAGGAGGAATTAGAATTTTTACCTCTGGGTAAAGATTACATTTAATTAAAAATTTTAAAATCTAATATATTAGTAAATTAATTATTATAATTAATGAAAATTAATTATTTACAGAAAATGGTCAAATTGAGCCTATAAATGATGAATATCGAAATTTAAATGAGAAATTATTGGAAAAAGCCCTTGCGGACTATGCCAAATCTGAATCAGCTCAAGTAAGTTAAAAAATAATTTTTTTTTTTGAAAGAAATTTTTATTTTTAAATTAATAATTTAAGAGAAATAATAAAATTATATTCTCAACTTTCAGGAAGAAGCGGTACCATCACTATTTCGTGAAAGGGAACGAACTGCTAATATCAAAAGGGGAATCAGAAATGAACGACCAAATCCTGATGACGAATTGGCAAGACTATTTTTAGATGAATTAGAGTATGGACCCTACAGTCAAGATGAGATCGATGATAATGAATACAATACACTTCGAATGTTACATCGACCACAACAGGATAATCAATATTACGGGTATAAATTTTCAAATTAACTAAAAAAAAATTTCAATTAGAAGAAAGATGATTATTCACTATATATTATTAATTATTAATTTTTTTTATTTAAATTTCAGAAGCGATGGCCTTATTTCATGGGGTGATGTTTTAGAAAAGAAGCCACTGCGTGAAAGATTTCGCGATGAGAGTGATGTCGTCGAATTTCCCGAAAGAGAATCAGATCTTTATTTAATGCCAATGGAAAGAAGAAATGTTAATGCTCGATTTCCAATTGGTCGTGATTTTCGAAATTATCGAGAAATGTCCAAACGATTTCCACTTGCAGTGGCAAAAAGAAGCGCTAAAGCTGTGAGCCAAATGAAACAAATTACAGATCCAAAGGTGATTTAAAGTTTTTCAATTTAATAAAACATTTTCTTTTGCATTCAATAAAAAAAAAATTTATTTCTAAGCTTTCATGGTTTCTTTTTTAATCAATAAAAAAACATTTTTTGTTACTGAAGGTTGCTCACGATTTGGGTATTTTATTTGGCACGCAATCAACTGAGAATAAGAATCACACGCACGAACATGATGGTAATCATGATCATAATCAGGAGAAAAATAAAGCTCACCAACATGGATCTGATGTTCATGGTATGACTGCACAAAATCAAGAGATAACATCAATAGCGCCAAATGTTAATAATTCCCATCAAATGGAGAATAATACAAAAATAAATCAATCCAAGGAACGACCAATTGAAGTGAAGAAAAAAAGTGTCAATTGGTCCGATTATTTTGGTATCGATAAAAGAAAGAAGAAATCCACATTTATGCCTAAGCCTGGTTCACAAAATCAAGATGACGAATGGTTTTTGGAACGCTATTATAAGGTAAAAAGTAATTCATATAAAAAAAATTTTTTTTTTAATTTTTACGAAAAAAATATTATATTAATCTAATATTTATATAGACAATGGCGGAGAATTTAAAGTCAGAAAATGATAAAGATGAGAGAAAGGACAAATTACAACAAATGGAATCGAGATTGAAACATATTAAGGATTTGATAATACAAGAGGCACTCAATGTTGAAGGTACTGATATTGAGGAAATAAGAGAAAAAGTATTATCAAGATTGGCAGCAGCTTATTCACTTGATAAAATGAGAAAAGCTTTAAATGAATTTAGAGACGCTGTTGCTCAAAGAGAAAGTCAAAAATTGTCACAAGATCATCAGGACGATACGTTGACTACAAGTCCTCCTGAGAATAATGGTATCTCCCATGAAAAAATTGACGAGAAACGAAGAACAATTATTAGCGAAAACGAAGAAGGTAAATCCTTTTTTTTTTTTTAATAATTAAATAATTTTTCAAATATATGAAAAATTTATCTTCGCTCAATTTTAAATCCAAGATGTAAATTCTCCACTGTAATTAAAATTTTCAATTAATTAAAAGTTTAAATAGATTTTTAAAATGATTTAATTAATTTATTCGATAAGGTTTTGATGAAGGAAATACCTGCCCGGAACTGGAAGCAATTGATATTCACTGTAGAATGACTGGTCTTATGTCTCACGATCTTAGAAATATTCTTCACGATTCATGTGTTTCAACTTTAATATGCAGATCCTGCGTGAGTATATTTCTTCTCTACACCAAATTCCTTTAATTCCTACAAAAATAATAATTAATTAATTCGTTCATTCGTAATTAATTGTAAAAATAAATTTATTTTTTCGCTATTTAATTTTATTTATTAAATAAATATATTTTAGTTTAGCAAATGAAAAAATTGAAACAAATTTTTTAAACATAAAAAAATGGATGAGAAAAAAAAATATTTTTGATTCAAATGAAGAAATTAATTTTATAGTTCCAGTTGAAATGTAAAACGTAATAATAGATAAAAGGGAGATTTTTTTTTTTTGGGGAAAAAAAATGAAGATACGTGGGTAGTAGGTATATATGCTATAGAAATAGACGTAGGAGGATGACGTAAGAATAGTGAGGGTGTATTTGTGAATAAAAGGTGTGACTATATGGTTGGGTTGTTGGGATTCTAGGTCGACGAAGTGAGGGTGAATTCGAAAATGAATGTGCGCAGAAGAGACTTCATATAATACATAATGAAACAATATTACTGTAATCATTTTAATTTAATCAAACTTTGAATAATTAATCTCGTAATATACAATAACACTAATATATTTTAATACAAAAAAATAAATAAAAACAAGAAAAATACTATACTAAAAATAGATATTTCGTATTAAAATGTAAATTAATTAATTTAAATTATAATAATAAAATGAGTTGTCGTAATTTATTGTAAATTTTTTTTATTTTATAGGGAGGACAGGATTGCCTTAATAAATTTGCATTTGAGGTAGAGAAAGCATGTGAATCATTGGAAATTCAACAAAGCATTTGGTCAAAGGAACAATGTCTCGGAGCAGCAAGATTATTACCAATAAATCCACCAGCAACTCTAGTAGCACTTTGCCATTCTGATGGAAGAGACTCATGTCTAATACGAAATTATTATCATAATCGTCAAAGGAATATTAATCATCGTTTTGGATATGATAATGTAATTTCTATGCAACGATAAGATGCAAAAGAAACCCTCCCATCCCCCATCGTACGACTCATATCAAACTCTTCCCTCGTATAATTCAAATAAATATATAGATTGAAGAGTCGAGACGTAAAAATCATCAAAGAATCAAGAACAAAAAATTTGGATCTATTCTTGAATCTATAAAGGAATATATATAAAGAACAATATATTCCTTTTAAATGACGACGACGACAAAAATTTCAATATTGAATTTCATATGCTACTAAAAAAATAACAAAATCAAAAATTATATTTTCATCGCGAAAGAAAATTATTATTAGAGCTTCGATTTTTTCATTATTCATCTATTTTTCTTTGTCATGTTCTTCCAGCTTCTTATATTATTATACAAAACAAAACACTTATCGTATTTTAATATAATTAAAAAAAATAACTGCAGAAAAAAATTAGATTTGAACCGCATTAGAAAATAGATTTTTTAGAATATATAAAAATGATTTCTTGCATCTTTTAAAAATTTTAAATAAGAGAAAAAAAAATCATTTTTCATTATTTCTAAATTTCTAAAAGGAAGAAATCATTTCTCAATAACCTGCAAAAAACCGTAATTTATAAGAAGATAAGAAAAAATAATTCTTATATTACTATATTACGGATAATCCTAAAACTGGCACTGAGACTGATGATTTATGTGACCAATAATTTAGATGACAAAAAAAAAACTTGGTCCATGAAGGAGTAATTTGACTAGAAAATACAAAAAAAAAATATGAAACATTCACACTGATAAATTCTCTAATGAATATAAGAGCTACTTTAAGAATGGTGTAAATGTTCAATAACTTTGGACTAAAAAAAAAAAAAAAAATTTCTGAATGTTTGATCGAAAATCCGATTTTACAAAATAGAAAAAATTCACTATTTTTTTTTCCTAATAAATCTTTGATCTTAGAAATTAATTACTGATAATTAAATTTAAATATTGATTATCGAGGCAAAGTCGGATTTTTGTTGGAGGATTTAGATTTTTTTTTTTTATAATTCGTTTTAATCTATGTACCTTAAATCTTATTGCTACATGAAAGTACCTTGAAACAAGGAGAAGCTTAATTAATGCACTTCTATTCGCGAGGCAATTCTTTCTCAAGACTCGATTTTTATTATTTTTAATCTAATTAAGAGACAATAATAGTGAAGATCAAATTATGATATATATACTTTTTTCAGTAAATAAAAATTATTTTTCAAATTATAAATTTATGACAATCACTTTAAATTATAATTTATCAATATTGAAAATATTTAATTTATACAGAAATCCAATAAAGTTTGTAATTCAAAGAAATTTCATATAAAATTTAAAGATTGATTTAAATAAAATTTGTTGAGTCTATATATATAAATGAATGCCAAGCAAATAGATGAAAATTCTAATTAATCGCCAGATTTGAATAAAAAAAAAAAAAAAAAATTCTACATGTATACGGAAAATTCTATTTTTATTTTCAATATTAAATAATATCTATATAGAAATGATAAAATAATGTTCATAGTTTTTTTTTTTATTTTCTATACAAAATATGAAAAAAAAGTATTTTACTACCTTTATTAAATAAAAGAAATAATTGTTTTTTAAATAAAAATAATTAAAAATTTTATTTTTTTAATAAAGTGATTAAAAGATTTTATTTTTTAAATTTAAAATTAAATTAAAGAAAAATTTATTTTACCTGGCGACAAATCTTTTAAAAATATTCGATTAAGAGGCAAAAAATAAAAAAAAAAAAAAAATAATAAGTGTATAATCTATGGTTGACTTATAATAAATGTTGTAGACAATTATATATATTTGTGCACTCGCGTAATTAAGACGTATAATTCGTTATTTCTATAATCGTTGTTAAATTATAATTATATATTTGTTAACAACGAAATCATGAAAAAAAAAAAATAATCTGACAAGAACAATGAGATTATTTATCAGTTCGCCTATTTCTTTTTGAGATGAAATTTACAATATAATTAAATTTTTCTATTTACTGTCTTCCTTTATATTAATTTTTCTAATGGGCAATATAATATATAAATATTTTAAAACACATGATGAACATCTCTGACAATGAAAAGCGAGATATGAAAAGATATATTCGTTACATATTTTAATATATAAATATATATACATATATATATTTTATATTTGAGTTTTAATAAATAGATTTTATGGTCGAATTTAGGCGTGATCTAAATTTACGTCCAGTGAAAAGAAGAAAGACAAGAGGCCGTACAAAAGTAAACGTACTGATAATTAATTAAGAAATATATTAATATGCGCTCCTTTAAGTGGTTACTGTTTATGCATTTTAAAAATCTATATAGAAATTATATACATTTATGTTACCAAACAGACTTGCATACTGCTCTTTAAATGTATCAGTCTACTAAAAGCGAATATATATAAAAAATACAATATACAATAAATATATTTAAAGATAAATTTTAAAGATTTATTTTATCAAAAATTACATTGTAATTTTTAACTTTATCTTTATAATGATTATAGCATAGAATTCACACCGTATATGTTAATTTATGAACAATTATTTAAGAAAACAAATAGTTATTTAAAATTAAATTTTAATAATTTAATGTTCAGAATGAAAAAATTACTTCATGAAGTTTTATTATAATAAATGACTTATCTGTAATGTATTATTATTAACAAGAAAATTGGCGTCTAAACTTCCATGTCATCATTTATCGCCATAATTTTCAAGTTTCTTTAATATATCCAAATAAGGAGGTTCATAAAGTAACATCAAATCGGTTTGCATTTGTGCAAGTTGAACTGAAAAATTTCATGTTTAAAAAATAATGTGAAGTAATATAAATTTTATTTTGCAACTATTGTAAGAATAAATAAAAAAAATTTTAATTTAATTATTATGCATTGGAAATAAATTATTGTTTAGAAAATATAACTCACGTCTTAACTTCATTGTTTCGTTCATTAATTCTCTTAAAGATATTGTCATATTTTGACAAAGTTTAACATTTGTTACAACAGAATTATTATTACTATTTGTTGAAGACTTTTCCATGATTTCACACTGAAAAATACTAAATTTTATAAATAATATTGTCACTTATTCTTACAGTATACGATTATAGTTTCATTTGTTGTATATTGAGGTTATAAAATACAATATCATCAAAAAATAATTTACAAAATTTCTCTAGCTGAATGAATTCTGTTGGAATTAAAGAAATATCTTTAGATTGTACAGAATATTATTGAAAATTTACCTCTGAATTCCTTTATCTTTACGATTAAAGAATATAAAGAAGAAAATAGGTTTTATAAACAATTTCAACGAACTCAACTGTCAGATTTGGAAATTGGAAGTCACAGAAATGATCAGGTTACTTCCTGAATTTTGTCTTCTACTGTATACCCTTCACAGATAAAACACTTAATTTTATGAAATTCTACATTTATTTTAATTAAAGAAAATCTTTTTATCAATAAAAACTTTTTAAAATAGAAATCAAGTACAATTTTATTAATTAAAAAACTTCCGCTATTTATAAGCGTATGTTATGTTGGTAGAAGTGAAAAAATTTAGTTTTTGTAATTTTGAGTTGGCATTACTGTTCATTGCAAATGGCGTCGTCAGAAGGAGGAGGACCTGTTTCATGTGTGAGAAAATTTTTTATTTTTTTATATTATATAGTTAAATCAGAACGTTAATTATACTTTTTCATTGTAATTACATTTAGTATTTTAAAATTACAGATAAATCATATAAGTTTATTGAGGGCTGTAAAGAAAATTATATTAAATTGAGATAAAATTTTTGCGACAAATTATAATGTGGAAATTTTAGCATCGCAATGTCAAACAGATAAATACAGGTAAAACTATATTTATAAACTTTATAATATAATTTTCCTTCATTAATTATCAATAAAAAGTTTGGGAAAAAAAAGAATTAATGAAAAATAAATAAATAAGCTTGTATCAAAAAAGAGTTTTTATTATGTTGGTAGAAGTGTAAAAGTAAAATTTTTTTTTATAACTTGGGTTGGCAATGTTGGCATTGCGCTTCATTGCAAATGGCGTCTGAAAGTAGAAGAAACGTTTTTCGTTCAGTGCGATAGTTTAATCTTGTAATATTATTAGCATCATAATGTTAGTTATATATATTTTTATGATACTTCAGTTCAGTATTATATGAATAATCGAAAAATCATAAAAGTTTCGTGGCAGCTATGAAGAAAAATAATGATTTATGTAAAATTTTTTCGACAAAGAATCTAACCTGAAAATTTTAGCATCGCAATGCTGAACAGATAAATACAGGTAAAACTATATTTACAAACTTCATAATATAATTTTTCTTTATTAATTATCAATAAAAAGTTTGGGAAAAAAAGAATTAATGAAAAATAAATAAATAAGCTTGTATCAAAAAAAAAAAATTTATTATGTTGTTAGAAGTGTAAAAGTAAATTTTTTTTTTATAACTTGGGTTGGCAATGTTGGCATTGCGCTTCATTCTTCATTGCAAATGGCGTCTGAAAGTAGAAGAAACGTTTTTCTTTCGGTGATAGTTTAATCTTGTGATATTATTAGCATCATAATGTTAGTTATATATATTTTTATGATACTTCAGTTCAGTATTATATGAATAATCGAAAAATCATAAAAGTTTCGTGGCATTTATGAAGAAAAATAATAAATTTATGTAAAATTTTTCTGACACGAAAACCTAACCTAAAATTTTAACATCGAAATGTTAAACAAAAAAAATAGAGGTAATGTATTAGTAAAATCGTAATATATAAAATTTTTATTTTATTAATAATAAGTATAAAAATTGCGAAAAAAGCGAATTTAATTATATATATATATTTTCTGATAATTAAGTTCACAATTATATAAATAACTTTAAACGGATGAAGGTTTCGTGGCAGTCAGAAAGAAAAATGATAATTTTAGATAAAATATTTTCGACAAAAAACAATCTACAAATTTTTACATTACAACTTGTTGCGACTTGTTTAATATATTATGATTTCACATTACCGCCTTTAGGTGGTATTTTTAATGCTAAATAGTTGAATTTTTTAAAAAGCTGATATAAAAAAAAATTATTAGAAAATAAATTTATTAATAATTATTGGATTAGTAGTTTAATAATTATTAATAAAATTGGTAATTTTTTTTGTTCATTATTGCTCACTATAGACATAAAAATGGTTGAAAGTGACAAAAAAATATCATGAATAAACAAAAAACAACTGTCATTTTTAATACAAGTTACAACAATATATTTTAATAATTAAATTCAGTGTGATATAAATTTTCCTAATTTCAACTAATATTTGTTGGTAAATATCAACATTTTTAACTTTTGGTCCTTGGAATTTAACCTAAAAATAATTGCACAACCAATTTCATATTTCAATCTGGTTCCGCTATGTATTTGTCCGCCGTATTTTAGAGACAAATTTTAAAAGCAAAATTTTATTTATATTAAAATTCATATTTTATGTTTATTTATTTACAGGGTTAAAAGAGAAGAATAATATCATCTCAGAAAAAAGGCCCTTTCGGCGTCAATTCTTCTCAATTCAGGTAAATATATTTGTTTATAAAAAATAAGATTTTACAGAATTTCTAAATATTAAACATTTTTTTCTATAAAAATTATATTTTACATTTTAAAAACAATTTTTACATATTTTTGCAAATTGTATAAATTCTCAACATTCAAAGATATACAATTACAGATTTCTATAAATTATTTATAATTCGAAACTGTGAACCAGGCAAAATATTTTTTTAGCAATGTACATACATAAAATTGAAACTTCTTTTCCAATTTGATAAAATTATTTAATATCTAGTTTTATAAATAAAGATTTCTGTATTTTTATTTAAACAATTTTTTTTTATTTGTTTTTACAGAATTTAGACTTGGAGAAGAAATGGATGAAATTCTTAGCCATATAGAGATGATATGACAAATGAAAACTTCTACAAAATCTTCGAATAGGTGAGTGCCTTTTGATACAGAAAATTATTATTTTACTTATTTACATACATTAATTTTTACATTAAAGTTTCTTAATTAACAAAAATGTTGTAAATTAATTAAAATTTACAAAAAAAACTGTCATTAAGAAAATGTTTAATTTTTATAAAATCAACTTAAGAAATAATTAAATTAATTTTATGTTGAAAATCTTATTTTAAGTTTATATGTAAAATAATTTTTTTGCTCAATTTACAAATGTCCAATCATGAAGGATGGGTGTTTGTTGCGGAGCTGCTCCTGGAGGAGATCTTGCATAGCTGAGTCGCAGTTCTATGTATGTTTTTCATAAATTGTTTCCCTTAATTTTTGTATTTTAAAATATTTTTAGATGTTATTAAAAAAATTAATTTAATTAAATATTTAGAAATAACAATAACTATTGTTTAAAAAAAAATTGAAAATTATAAACAAGTTCCAGTACCATTACAAAATATTAATATTTGTAATAAAAAAAAAGTAGTTCAAATTTATTCTAATATTTATAATTGTTGATACAATGTCAAATGTATCATTTAAAAAATTAAAATTTAGAATAAATATTTCTTTTTACACATATAACATAATTAATTACCATATATTTTTCAGTCAGTTGGTCCAGCAAAGGAAGGATTTGTCTCATTGAAAAAGAGGATATGCTGTCATCGTAATTTTTATAAAACGCAGAAATTCCCCTTTATAGGTGAGACTTTTTTTCCAAAATTTTTTTAGAAATATCAATAAATAAAATATAATAAATAAAAAAATAAAAAAATTATTGTGATATTTATAATTGATCAAATTTATATATTTTTTCAGGTAATTGGTCTAAAAGAAGGAAGTCCTTTTGATAAAAAGGATATGCAGTCATCGTATCTCTAACACTACGCAGAAATCCCCTCATATAGGTAAGTCTTTTTTTCAATACAGTTAATTTTATATACAAATTTAAAAATTATAATTTACAAATCACACAAAAATTTGTAACTGGGTTTAATTATATTTTAATTAATTAATTATTTCCAAATTAATGTAATAATTTTTTTTATTTTTTCAGCTCCATTCCAATTTTTTAATTATCTCAAGAGACTAGGAAGGATGTGGAAGAAGAAAAGTGGCCCCTGCAACATTTTTTTTTTATAAAATTTTTTTTTCTTTTTTCTTATTTTTTTTATAATATTTTTTTTTTGAGCTCCCGGCCTCACGCAGAAGTGCGAGCAAGAAAGAGGGATCCTCGGGAGCTGGCCCTGAAGCGCTCGAGAGTGGCAATGACGTTATTGTCCCGACGAGGGATGATTCGCCGATCGGTGAGTCGCTTTTTACTTAACCCCTTCCCTGTTTAAAAGTTTTTTTTAATAAATTTAATTAATTTAATTTAATTTCAATTCATATACATTTAAAATGGACTTTTTTAGATAATAATTTATTAATTATGGAATTTTCTTAACTTTTAAAAAAAGTAGATATATCACAATGATTCAAATAAAATATTAAGATTAAAAAAAAACAGGGAAGGAATTTTGACAACATGGTGACACCACTGACAAAATTTATTATTTTCTAGTAATTTTTAGGAGTAATCTACAAAAAAAGCATGTGATATTTTCGGAAATTTAGCCCCTTTAAAATTTGTAACACTCCCTGCATCTTAAAATATTACAAGTTTTGTGGATTACTACCTTAATACTATGTAAATCAATATTATTGTCAATGGTTTTTTTTTCATTGTTTATATATGTATGTTATTTATTTACTGTGTTTTCAATATTTTTAATGTTTTGTAATTTTTTTTTTGAGTCAAAGTATAATTTTCTTTTCTATTAAAAAATTAAATTATTTAATTAATTAATTTTGTTAAAAACTTTTCAAATTTGCATATTAAATTTTTTATTTAATTCTCAAAAATTAAAAATTAATGCATGTGGAATTAAAAATTAAAAGTTTTTGATAATTTTTTTAATAATGAACTAATTAAATATTTTCTTTTCAGAAAAGATCGCTCAGGTGACGGTTGCGTCCCGGGACGTTAACCCTAGTGTAGGTAAATTGCACCTGGACGGTATTAATTTAGTTCGAATATTTCTATAGGTGTAGGGAATTTGGGAAAAGTAGTAAAGAAAATTTTTCGTTTTAAATATAGCTGTAGGCAGGAAAAATCGGAATAAGTAGGCAAATTTTCTTTTTCGTTTTAAATATAGCTGTAGGTAGGGAAATCGGGTAAAAAAAATGTAAGTAAAAAAACAAGTAACTGGAGTACCAGTGAAAATTTACTTTATTTCAATATTTTATTTCTTTTGTCACTATGTTGTCTTTTATATTTAAATGTTTTGTAAATGTTTGTGTTTTGTGTACGTTATCTAAGTGTTTTGTGAATGTCTTTAATTAATCATTATTTACAGATGAATCAACGTGGTGAGCAATAATATTTATTTTTCATTTCGTTAATCATTTATTTTTTTCAGGAATTAGTAATTTATTATATTCTTAATCTATTAATATATTTACGTATTACTTGTACTATATTTATTTTATATGAAAATTGTATTGAAATTATATCCTATTATCTCTAGTCAAATTAGTTAACATTTTAATTCATTTAATTTATTTTTTTGACTCTTTTAGTATAAATATGAAATTAAAATTTAAACAAAATGTTAACTATTTTTGAATTAGAGAATACTTTGAATTTGAAATTGAATTTAAATAACAAATTTTATTATTTATTTGCTATTGCAAATTTTTCGGGTCCCTTTTTCATTGTAAAATTTAATATTCAGCATTGCGATTGTTTAAATCGCAACTGTTTTGAATTTCGCGCTTTTAATTGAGTTAGGTGGCAACCATGATTTGGGTGTATCATGCTGGCAACACTGAATGACATTCCTGTGTTTGCCCAGTGTGCCCACACATGTATTGTGGGAAGTGAATTAAATTTTTACTTTTTTACAGTATTTTTTAAACAAAAGTGCTATAATTAATTATCAAAATGGTGATGTACAATTTTAAAAAGGTCGCTGTTGTGCCAACAGCAAAAGTAAGTAATTTACAAATTTTTAAATTAATCTTTTTTAATATTTTAGCGTGGCTCATCAAGCTCACGTGGTACTTGCTTTTTTATTGTTTATATTGATTTTACATTAATATTTTAAAGTTTTAGTTATTATTTACTTTATTTGTTTTTTGTGATCTATTTTTTAAGACTAACAATAACTCAAAATATGCATTGTTTAAAATTTTTGAAATTCCTAACCTAACTGTTTGTGACATAACCTATATTTATAACTTAATGTTTTTTTTTCTTTTAATAACAATTCTGCATGCTTGTCAATTTTTATCAACTAATTTGAAATGAAAATTAATAAACAATGAATTCTTTTTTTTAGGATTTTATTGATATTATATTATCAAAAACACAACGAAAAACACCAACAGTAATTCACAAGAATTATAAAATCTCTCGTATTCGTGCATTTTATACAAGAAAAGTAAAATTCACTCAACAAAATTTTCACGATCGACTTTCACAAATTGTTCAGGAGTTTCCGAAATTAGATGAGGTTCATCCTTTTTATGCGGATTTAATGAATGTTTTGTATGATAAGGATCATTATAAATTGGCTCTTGGACAAATGAATACAGCAAGACATTTAGTTGATAAGTAAGTAATAATGAAATGAAATTTATATTTTTAAAATTTACATAGACAATAGCAATATAAATTTAATATTTAATTTAATTTTCTAATCTATTACAATTTACATTTTTCAGCGTTGCAAAAGATTATGTTCGTCTTTTAAAGTATGGTGACTCTTTGTATCGATGCAAACAATTAAAAAAAGCAGCACTTGGACGAATGGCCACAATTATGAAAAAACAAGCCAACAATTTAACTTATTTAGAGCAAGTTAGACAACATTTGGCTCGATTACCAAGCATAGATCCTTTTACTCGAACGATTATAATCTGTGGTTTTCCAAATGTTGGAAAAAGTAGCTTTATAAATAAGGTAATTTATAATTAATTTAGAAATATAATTTTACTTAAATTGCTTTTGCAAAATTAAACTTATCAATTAATTTGAACTGTATTTTTAAAATTATTTTCATTGAATTTTAGATAACTCGAGCTGATGTTGAAGTTCAACCATATGCATTTACAACAAAATCGTTGTATGTAGGACACACAGATTATAAATATTTGCGTTGGCAAGTTATAGACACACCTGGAATTTTGGATCATCCTGTGGAAGAGAGAAATGTTATTGAAATGCAAGCAGTAGCAGCTCTTGCTCATTTACGTGCTGCCGTTCTCTATTTTTTCGATATTTCTGAGCAATGTGGCCATTCACTGGATGAACAGGTGAGAAAAATATAATACAAAAGAAGGTGTTTTTTTTATATCTTAAAAAAAACAATTATGATTTTTCCATAATTCTCATCATTTTAAACTATATTCCATTGTTTCTGGGTTATAACAATTTTTACAATGCTGAAGTCCTCAACGTTTATGATGAACGATTAAAAAACAAATTATTTTTTAAGACGGAAAATTATAAAATCTTTTATTTAAAAAAAAAATGTTTTCTATAATTTGTTGATCATAAACGTGAACTTTAACATCGTCAATTTTTTTCTTCTATTTAAGAAAATTTTTTTTACCGCTTTTTTTCTATTTGCTTTTTTTATTATTTCTTGAGAGAAATAACTTTTTGAGCATTATTTTTCAAAAAGTGAATTTTTGTGTGTCTGTCGGTATGTGTGTATGTAAGAAGAACGATTCTGAAGAAAATTTATTTAGAAGATATTTTGAGAATTGAAAGAATAAATACAGAAAATTATTTTTTTCGTGTTCTTTTGAAGAAAGGTAATTAAAGTTTCTTTTTCTATAATTATGATTCTCATTAATATATATATAAATTTATATTCTTTGTTATGTATATGAAACAATTTTTATTTTACACTATTTTTGATAATAAATCATTTATATTTTTTCTTAGATGAAACTCTTCAATTCAATAAAGGTGTTTTTTACAAATAAACCACTCGTGTGTGTTGTAAATAAAGTAGACGTCTTACGTCTAGATGATTTGTCTGAGGAAAAAAGAGCTATTGTAAAAGAGCTTGAAGAGGACGAGAATATTCCGTTCATTGAAATGAGTACCGTGTCAGATTTTGGCGTAATGGAAGTTAAAACTGAAGCCTGTGAACGACTTTTGGCCTATCGTGTCGATCAAAAAATTAAAACTAAAAAGGTGTGTATATTGTTAAATATTTTTATAGAAATTTAAATTTTTAAAAATTCTTTTTAATTATTTGTTGTCTATAATAATTTTCTAGGTTGAAGGCCTGTTGAATCGTTTACACGTTACTCAACCAGTGCCAAGAGATAATAAAGTTCGTGCTCCTTGTATACCTGAGTCTGTTCTTAAAAAGAAGCAAGAGGCCGCTGCTAAAGCAGAAAGAAAACGAAAATTGGAACGCGAAATTGAAGAAGAAATGGGCGATGATTATGTACTCGATCTTAAGAAAAATTATGACATCGAGGGAGATCAGAAGTTCGATATCATTCCTGAAATGTGGGAGGGTCACAATATTGCAGACTACATTGATCCTGATATTTTCGAGGTATGCGTTTTTATACCCAATTACTTTTCTCTACAGAATTATTAATTTTCTGTTTATAATTTAAAAACTTTTGTTTTCGATAGAAATTGAATGAGATTGAGAAAGAAGAGGACATAAGATTAGAAAGTGGTTTCTATGATCATAAAGTTCCTGTATTAAGTGAACAAATGAAGGAAATTTATGAGCTGGCTAAACAAATACGAGAGAAGCAAATGGTTATTAAAGACGAATCGCGAATTAATAAGGCTTCAACGAAACCAGTTATGCCTCGTACTGCTGCTGCTAAGGTTCGAGGTCGATCTGTGACAAGATTGAGAGAAGAACTTGGAGAACTTGGAGTCGACATGGAAGACACAGAAGACGTAAGAATTATTCTTTAAATCTCATATTAATTAATTCAATTTTGTTTTATTTATACAAAATTAATTATAAATTCGGATATTAATTGCGCTTTTCTTTTAGGCTCACTTTACGAAAACGAAAAAGCGATCGAGGTCAATTTCAGAGCCTGATGCTAAGCGTCGACGAGTTGATGTTTCGGCATCGAGAAATCGCAGTGTTTCCAGAGCACCAAGAGATGAAATGGGCGTGAGGGATGTTGTTGTAAGTATTTTTTTTACAATTACAAAAAGAAATTCTTTAACAAAAGTTCAAAAGAAAAATTTTATTTAGAAAAGAAACATTATTTAAAAAAAAATTATTTTTTTTTGCAGATGAAAACTAAACTTAAAAATATTGCTCACAAAGCGATTTCCAAGAAGGTTAAAAAGAAGGGTCTTAAGGGTGAAGCTGATCGTTTCATTGGAAATAAGATGCCTAAGCATCTTTTCGCTGGAAAGCGGGGTGTTGGAAAAACCGATAGAAGATAAAAATAGAAATTATTTATATTTAAATTGTATTAAATATATTGTTATATATTTAATTAATGGGCAAATCAATGGAGTATATCAATTTTCAGTGATATGATTTTTTGTTTTCTTCTTAGAGGAAGATAAATTATAAAATTAAATTAGAATTATTTTTTTCAAACTTCTTTGAATTTTTTCTCTTTATCGTGTTAACAAATGAAAAAGATTCATTTTTAATAATTTTTTTATAATTCATATCACTCGACGAAAGTTAAAAAGAAAGGTTTTAAATTTAAAGCTGATAAAAATATAACAATATATTTAATTTATAAACATTTATATGATTTAATTTTGTTTTCAATTGAGAATATCTCATGTAGCTTATGTAAATAAATAATACTGTATTAATAAGTAAAATTATTACTATTTGTTATTTATTTTAATATTTATTTAAATTTAAAAATATTAATGACAATGCATGTATTTTTATAATTATATTTAATTTATATAGTACTTTAATTTATATATTTCGTAACATAATATTATTTTTAAGAATAATATAAATAATTGGAAAAATGGGAGATTTGAATTCTAGCGGGAAATTAATGCTGTACAGAATATCTTTTGACGTTTGTTTGTATACAAACGCAAACAAAAGTTTCATTATATATTTACTAATTGTAAGTTTATTATTTTTCAGGATCTTTAAGTATGGTAAATAACACAGATTCGATAAATTTAAAAATATGATAATGTTTGCTCATCAATCACAATTCATACTGAGACGCTTTTTCAATGAAATCAAATGTGAGTAATGAAAAATTTAATTCGAAAATTTCTTCTTAATTTTAAATATAATTAGTTCAAAATAATTTTGAATTACTGCAAGTAAATTGTTAGTAAAAAATGTATTTTATTAATAAAAATATTGAGAGTGACAATTTGGAATAATTTTAAGAAATAAAGCTGAAATAACAATTATTCTAAAATTTCAGTATTTTATCTTTTGGTAAAGCAAAATTTTAATATTAATTATTTTTTTAGATTCAAACATTATTGGCTACGAACGTAAAAATAAAAAATGGACCTTTTGGACAGTGTTGCGCAATCGGGACAAAAGTCTCAAATAAATACTTATCTTGTATACGTGAATACACTGGGTAATGTCAGTAAAACTGACGATGTCAAATTAAGAGCGGCTCAAGAAATATCTGAAAATCTTGATCTCATTATACTTTTACCTCAATATCCAATGTTTCTCGCAAGATTCATGAAAATTGTTAAACCAATTCTTTTGGATGTAGGTGGAATACAATTTATTTCTGAATATAATATTCATCAAACAAGAAAAGTAATTCTTGAAATTTTATACAGACTTCCAACTGACGAATATTTGAAACCCTATATTACGGATATTTTGAAAATTACTTTGAAATTATTGGAAATCGAGAATGAGGAAAATAGTTTAATATGTCTGCAAATAATGTCGGAATATCGAAAAAAGTTTAAACCAATTGCATACAAAGAAGTTCTACAATTTTTACAATTTGTGAAGAAGATGTTCGATGAATTTACAACAAATTATGTGGAGGTAATTCAAGCTAAATCTTCTATAACAATAAAAAATCTTGTTAATTTTAATATTGAATCTACATTGACAAAAACATTTATCATAACTGCTATTCATACAAATGAAAAGGACGAAGATGGAAATTTAATTACATATAATTTAATACCGAGAGCAAAATTATCATTGAAATTTTTGCAAAAAGTTCCTTTATTTCTTATGACATTACGTTTATTATATAAACAACATATTAGTGATATTCTGTTAGAAATTTTCGCTTTAATTATAAAATTTATTACTCTTAAGACATGTGACGAAATTCTTAATTGCAATCGAGAAATTCTTTTCGAATTTGTTGGAGTACAAATAAAATGTCTTATGATTGTCGCTTATAATATGAAAGACTTTATCGATATAATTTTTGAAACGGGTGCTGCATTATTTAAAGGAATAGTGGATTTATTACGAGCATGTCCTACTGAAGCGACACATTTTCGTAAAGAGATTTTCATATATTTCCGATATTTTATTGTGTCTAAATTTCAAAGACACTTTCTTCCTCACATTGATCAATTATTGGATGAAGAGCATTTATTTGGTTCTGGTTATACGGCTAATGAAATTTTGAGACCATTTGTATTTAACGTAATTGGAGATTTTATTCATCAAGTGAGACATATACTTTCTTTTTCGCATCTTACAAAAGTTGTGAATTTTTTCAGTAAAATTCTTAATGACTCTAGATTACCGGCTAATGTTGAAAATTTATCGTGTAAAATTCTCAACAATCTTATTGAGTGTGTGAAAAGTCGATCTGAATCTGAGGATTTAATTAAGGGACGAAAAGTTTTACAAAAAATGCTTGAGATATTTATTTTAAAATTGGAAACAATTGTAAAGGATGTGATTCCAATTTTTACGAATGCAAAAACACTTACGAGAACGTCACAAAATTTACATCAAAATATAGTGGAATATAAAAATATTATTAAATGGATTATATTAGGAGTGCAGGAAATTGTGATTTTTAATTTTAGTGATAAATTTGTTAAACTATTTGAATCGAATGATATGTTATTGCTTTCGCGTTTTCTCAAATGGGGAATGGAGTCTTTAAATTTATATATGATTGGTCGTTTGGCAATGGATGCGATACCAAAGAAAACAAATAAGTTGATTCAATTTCATGAGGCAAAATTAAAGGAGGAGAAGCAACTTTTAGAAAATTTCGCTACAATATTTATGTCAATGGATTCTTTGACATTTCATAAAATATTTACCTCGGAAATTGACTTTATTGTGAATCAAGTGATTAAAAATAGAGAATTTCTCGCAATTATTAATTATCTTCTTTTGGATCAAGGAAAATCATTGGTATTCGGTACAATTATGATTGAATATCTTTTGGAAAAAATGGATCAAGTTGGATCAAATCATGTGATAAGTGAATTATATTTAACTTTATTTAAAACAATTTTTGGAAGTGTTGCATTTTCACCTGAAGAAAATAAAGAGATACTTCGTTCGAATCTTCATAAAATTGTCAAACGTTCATTGGATTTAGCTGTGAATGCAAAGGAGCCGTTGAATTATTTTCTCATTTTACGATCACTTTATCGATCGATTAGCGGTAGATCAGAGGAAATGTTATATCAAGAATTTCTTCCTCTATTGGCGAAATTAATTGAGGATTTAAATAGATTTCAAACTGAGTCTCATAAGCAGGAGATACAGGAAATTTTACTTGAACTATTTCTTTCAATTCCTGTGAAAATTGGTTTTCTTTTACCGTATCTTGAAAAATTAATGATGACAATTGTTCACGCCTTGAATGGAAATGATGTTTTAATTAGCGATGGTTTGAGAATTCTTGATATTTGCATTAATAGTCTTGAATTTTCATTTTTTCAAGATTATTTGCAAATTGTAGCCACTGATTTGATACAAAGTCTCTATCGCATTGTACGTGAGTCGAATGATGAAATATCACAAAAGGCTTTTGAAATTCTTGGTAAACTTGGTGGTGAGAATAGAAAAGTATTGATGTGTCCTCAAAAATTGAAATTTGTTGATCGGAAGATGAATTATCCGTCTATTGGAATTTCTTTTGGGAATTCGACAATTAGTTTATCGGTGAAAAACATTATTGACACTGCTTTTTCAACTCTTAATTCTGATGTTGATTTATTTTATAAGCAACAATCGTGGAGAGTAATTAATTCTTACTTGTCGGCTACTATTAAAATTGAGGATGATGAGAAAACATTGAGCAATTTGTTTGATCAGACAAAATATAGAGGAGAAATTTCAAAGACTTTGTGTTACATTAAGGAAGATGTGATCGCGAGGGAAGTTCAGAAAATTGCATTATGTGGAATGTTTATTGCAGCTGCTGAAGAAATATCTCTTGATTTTGATCAATCAGTTTTTGAAACGATGATTTCATATGTAAGACATTATACAATGATAATTGTTGCTCGAGAAATTTGCTTACACAAGGAAGAAGATGAAGAACGAATTTTGAATGGACAAAATCCTCTCGTTTTGATTGATGCTCTGAGAGATATTTTGAAACACGAGAAAAAGGAATTCTTTAAAGTTGCATTTCATATTTTGGAAACTATTTTCAAAACTGCAATTTCTATCGTTGGCTCTTTAGAGAGAGTTTGTCAGCTTCCCTTTATGGAATATTTATGCGAAAAGATGACGTCCCTTTGCTACGAGAATCCTTGGTACTCGAAACTTGGAGGTTGCATGGTGATTGAATTTTTAATGCAAAAAATTCCTGTTAAGTGGCTTCTTATTCATCTTATTGTTTTCGTCAAAGGATTAATTTTCGTAATCACGGATCTAAATGAAGGAATTGGAAATGGAACCATAAGCGAGGCAAAAAGAAATTTAGAAAAATTACTTCGAGTTTGTTTTGAAAAAACAAAATCTAATTCAGAAACAATAGATTCTCAAAATGAACTTAATGATCTTGAAAATAATATGATTAATGCAGTAACTCGAGAATTATTGTTACTTATTACATGTCCACGCACTATTATTCGAAAAGAAGCAATAAAATTACTTTTTCTTTTAGCTGAAATTCGAAAAGTGACTATAACGAAAATAATTGGTCCACAAAGAGAAATACTTATGGATGTTATTCCTCCGATGAAACATCGAATGACCCATCATCCCGTGGATGTTCAAATTGGAGTAATGGACGGAAACGCTTTTTGTATGTCTCAAGCTCCCTCATTATTTTTTCTCGATTCATCAGTGAATGAACACATGATTTTTTACAATGATCTTGTGCAAATCATTGAAAGAGATGACAATCAATTAAGTAGAGAACCTTGTTATGAAGATAATACTGATTTTATTCCTTTGAAGATATCTGCCCTTCGAGCTTTCACTCACTTTTTCTCAATAAAAACTCTCCAGGATAGTGTTCTTCAAATTTTAATTAATAATCTAAAACATTCTAATCTTCAAATTCAAGAAACTGCCCTTGAATGTTTGAAAAAATTATCCTCCATTTTACAACTCAATGAAAAAATTATGTCCAAATTTGTTGAGCCATTGCTTAATAATCGAGAAATTATTGATCTCAAATTTTTAACACATTTTTCATATCTTGTAGAAATTGTACCCATGAGTAATGATCAATTTTGTAATAGTTTGATTATATATTTGGGTACATGTTTAAAAAATTTGAAAACAGAACATGCAAATAGAAAAATAAAGGAAGAGATTGATGGAAAAATGAAAATAGAATTGGATAAAAAAATACGTGAATTAGAGAAAAAAGTGATGTTGGATGAATCAGAGAAACAATCATTTGCAGAATCAGAAAGAAGAATGATGGAAGAATCAAAACGAAGAAATACAGAAGAGAAACAAAAAAATATTGAAACTTTAAATGATATTGTGCAACAGATTTTGAAAATTATTGAAATCTTTCAAAAAACATCAGTAGACTTGGAAAAATTCATTCCAACATTGTGTCGTTTTTTTTTACAATCGGAAAAAGATTTAATGAATCAGATTTTAAATCCATTTCATCTTTCATTTGCAAGATATTTAACTCGATATCCTGCAAGTACTGTGGATTTTTTATTGAATCACGATAGCATTAGAAATGAGGAGTATGGTTTATTTTTGGAATTTATTTTGCAAATTGAAGAGGGAACGGTTTTCAAAGAGACACTCAAGAATCGATCAATTCGTCTCATGCAAATGTTTCTTGCACCAACACAAACTGATCTTAAGCTGAGCAAAGAAGACAAATTTGAAATTCGATTTCGAGCTATACGAATTGTTTCAATTTTAATAGATAGCGATGAAAAATGGTTAATGTCTCAAAATCAACTTACCACTGTGATAAAACAAATTTGGTATCGAAATGAATATATAAATCATCACAAAGACATTGAGAATGTGAAATCAAGTCATTTGATTGAACCAAAATTATTGCTCAAAGTTTTTATTCATTATTTGAAAAATAATTGTGACGATTATGATTTTCTTTTTAATATTCTCAAGATTTTTCGCATTAATTTTGTTTCTGATGTGACGATACTCAGTGATTTTCTTGAGAAAATTGTCGCTCAAACTTATGACATTCAATGGAAACGAAAAGCATTCTCCAAATTTCTTGGCAATTATCAAGGTAAAAAAGTGAGTGATGATTTAAAAGCTGATATTTTACAATATATTGTTCACAAATGTTTTGAGGCGAGTTTTAAAAAAGGCGAAACACTTGAATTAATAGGATCACCACCATCGCCCGATACAGACGATCCTAGAAATTTGATTTCTATTTTTGTGAATAAAATCATTGACATTGATAATCCCGGAAGTTTAAGTGATCGTTTGAGGGTGAGCATTTTTCGATTTTCTTGTCTTTTAATTGATCACGCTGGTGAATATATTCATGATGATGCGAATAATAAAAAACAGGGAGTGAAACTTCGTCAATTGGTACATTTTGCCTGGCCATGTTTATTAAGTAAAAATTGTTTTGATCCAATTAGCAAATATCATGGTCATTTATTGCTTAGTCATATTATTCGCAAATTCTCCATTTCGAAAAGTATCATCATTCATGTTTTTATTAGTCTAATGCAGGCACACACAACAGAAACAAAGCAAGTTGTGAAAGAGGCTCTCGATATTTTGATTCCAATTTTTCCCCATCGAATGGAAAATGGATACAGTAAACTTGCACAATTGACGAGAAAAGTTTTAATTGAAGAAAGTCATTCGAGATTTTCACTTTTACATTGTCTTCAATTTGTCGTTAAACATTTTAAAATTTATTATTCAGTGCGACATTATTTGATTCCTATTCTTGTGAATTCAATAAAGAAAATTACTGAGATTTCCAACACGGAGAATAAGAAATTAGCCATTGATATTGTGGAAATGATTGTTGAATGGGAAATTCAGGAAAGAAATGAAGAAACAAATATTATTGATGTTGTTGGAATTGAATCGACAAAAATATTTGACGAGGGATCATCAGGATTTAAACGAATTGTGTTACAAAATAATACTCCAATATTCATGACCATGGAACCACAATCAATGAAACGTGTCGAAAATTTCTATATTGACAAGATTTTGTATTTTATTTTTAAATTGGCTTGCGAAGTGCATGATGTGAATACTCTACAAGGTGTAATTGAAGAACAACTTGTAAAACGTTCTGCAAATATTCTCAAGAGAATTTTCATTTTTGATATTTGGTCACAAGATGGGAATAATGTTGATTTTCGTTGGTTGGACAATATTCTTTCAGAATCGAATTGTGAAAAAATTTACAAAGTTTTAGAACTTTTAGCTTTCATATTACGAGGATTGAATGAGAAAGCGATATTCTACATTTTCAAAAATTTGGAAAATGGATTATCACTCTGTTTATTGAGTGATGATAAAAAAATTCTCAAATTAATGCAAGAAATTCTTATCAAATTGATGTGTGTATTTCCAATTGATCCCATCGTATCTACAATATCTGGAGAAAAAATGAAAATTTTATATAAATCTGTGAGGCAAGTTTTATATACTAGATTGATTGCTTTTGAAAATAACGAGGCATCATTGGAATCATTAGCTCCTTGTTTGATGATGGCAAAAGCAGTCTACACTAATAATGTTAATTATCTTGATCCATTGATAAAAAATATCGTAAATGTATTTCAAAAAATAGTAAGATTTCATCTCGCAGGAGTACGAAAAGATGAAACGGAGTTATTCATATCTCTTGATTTATTATCGAATCGGATTGGAATGATGTCATCAAATATAAGACAATTGTTTCTAAATTCATTGTCTGTTTTAATTGAAAATACTTCCAGTGTACAAATTATCAAAACAATTTTGAAAATATTTAACTATTGGATTAAAGATGATTCGGAAAATCAAGATTCGATTAATCAAAAATCTTCATTATTCATCACGATGCGGAAAACAATTAATCAACACTTCTCTGATGATTTGGAATTGAAAAATAGTTTTCTTGAAATTATCTATTTGATTTATGAAAATAAAAAATATCAAAGAATATCAAAGTTAACTTCGGATTTAGAAGTTGTATTTCTGGATGGTCTGCGCTCCAGTCAACCTGAGATTAGAATGAAATTTTTTTCAATTATCAACGCATGTGTTAAACATACTCTTAAGGATCGATTGGAATACATTATTTCTTCATTTAATTGGCAATTGATGGGCCCTCATTATTGGATCAAGCAGTGTATTGAATTTTTGTTGATCGTCGCTGATCCAACAACTCGAATTCAAGTGACAATGAAAGATATTCTTCTTCCGAGTGTAAATAATTTCATTAATTTAATGGAAAAGGAAGATCTAGTAACTATCTCTGATTTAAATTTATCGGATTTAAATAAAGTTTTAACGAAATTAGAATCGAATGTAAGTTTCTTGAATTTAGACTCGACTGTTGATCTATTGACTTTAGAATCAAATGTCGATCCATTGAAATTAAATTCAAGTATTGATCTATCAAAGTTAGACACGAGTTTGGATTTACTTAATGTTGATTCAAATTTAGATTTATTTAATTTATATCCAAATTTTGATCTTTCGAATTTGGAAATGAATCTAGATCTATCGCATTGCGATTTAAATGTAAATCTCTTGGATTTTGATTTGAATTCAACGATTTTAAACTCAAATGTAAATTTAACGAATTTAGAGACATCTAATTTACCTAAAAATAATACAAGTGCGCGGGAAATTAATTCCGAGCTCAATGAAATGATTAGTAAGCATATGGAATTTCTCAACTATCTAAAGAATATACGAACGGAAGTATTTGTCTCAGCGACGATACATTTATGTCACATGAAAACGAGTCTCGCGACTGAAGTTTGGAAAGAAATTTTCCCAAAAATTTGGACAGGACAAGTTGATGTATTATCATTTATATGTGATAAAATTCATTTTGTTCAAAAAGATTGTCAATCAAGCGCAATGATCACATTTTGCGAAGCTTTAGTTGATTGTAAACCAAAAATTTTAATAAGGCCAAAAATTATGAATTATCTTGGAAAAACTTACAATCTTTGGCATCAGATGACACTTAATTTGGAACAAATGATTAAGGAGAATCAGTTTCATCAGGAGAATTTTGATTATTTTAATTTCGATGAATCGGAGACAAATTCAATTCAACAGGAAATTCTTGATTCTCTCGCCGATATGTATAATCGATTAGGTGAAGATGATATGTGGTCAGGTCTTTGGAAGAAACACACTTTCTTTAAGGAAACACTTGATGCGACTGCTTTTGAGCAACAAGGATTTTTGGATAAAGCTCAAGAAACATACAACATGGCTGTGGGAAAATTTAGAGGAGATGATTTTACATTTACGAGGCAAATGAAAAATGAATCAAATCGATGGGAAAAACGATGGATTCATTGTGCAAAAGAACTCAATCAATGGGATTTACTTTTAAATAGTGGTATGAAAAATGCTATCAATGATGCAATGTTTATTCTTGAAATATGTTTCCAAACTTCCAATTGGTCTACAATGAAGGAATATCTAGATCATCTTAATGAAATTCCATCTGATCAACATTGGAAAATTGATCTTTATCGAGGTTATTTGTCTATTTATGGTGATGAAAAAAATTTGCAATTCATTGATGATTATGCAATTAATGCAACGAAATTGTGTATTCACGAGTGGCGTAAACTTCCATATATTGTTGGTGGTGCACATCTTCCACTTCTTCAGGCAGCTGAAAAGATCATCGATCTAAATGAGGCGAAATTTATTCATCAGAATTTAGAAGTTAATCGACTTGTCAATTTAAAGAAAATTATTAACACTTGGACACATCGATTGCCAACAATTGCTGATGATCTCAGTCATTGGTCAAATATCTTAACTTGGAGGGAATATCAATACAAGTCGGTGATTGATTTCTCTTATTTGCTTGCTGAGGAAAATATTTCTAAAAATTATATTCACACTTGGGCACAGTCTGTCAATACTTTTAGTAAAATAGCTAGAAAACAAAATCTTTCATCAGTTGCTCTTGATTCACTAACAAGGATCCATAAAGTTAAAAGTGTATCGATTGTTGATTGTTTTGAGAGAATTAAACAACAGGTGAAATGTTATTTGAAAATGTATTCAATGGGTGAAATGAATCGTTTACAAAATGCTCTTGTCTGTATGGAATCAACTGAAACTCAATATTTTAAAAAAGAAATAATCTCGGATTTTCATTCGCTGAAAGGAAAATTGTACACTTTACTTGGCGAATCGAATGAGGCAAATAAAGTATTTTCTTTTTCAATTGAAAAGAACGAGAAAAATGCCAAAGCCTGGGGACTTTGGGGTGAATATTTTGAAAATGTTTTTCAAACAGATACAAGTAAAATTGAATATACAAAAACAGCTGTGTCTTGTTTCTTAAATGCCATCAAATATTCATCATCAGAAAGTAAATGCAGAAAATATATTGCAAAAATTCTTTGGTTTTTTAATTATGATGATGAGGGAATGAATTTATTTAAATTAGTCAATGAACACGCAATGGAAATCTATCCAATTCATTGGGTCTCATGGATACCGCAATTATTAAAATGGCTAATTCGTCCTCCTGGTGGTGAGATTCTTGATTTATTGAATGTCATCAGCAAAATGTTTCCACAAGCAATGTACTCGCAAGTTAGGACACTTTATGTAAAACTTCGATTTAAAAAGCTTAAGGTTAATAAAAAGAAAATTATTCCATTAAATGAAAATGACGAGAAACATCGTTTTGATGATAAAGTTTTGGAATCAATGCTCAAATGTTCGAGAATTATGAGAAAACTCATAATCATTCATCCAAAATTAATTTCGTATTTGGAAAGAACTTTTGATCAAATTACCAAGCTTAGGGAAAATTGGTTACATGAAATATTAAAACAGATGCAGGAAATTTTAATGATAAGTTATCGTGTTGCTTTTGATAATAAGGAGAATATCAGTGAGGCTAGAGTTACATCACAAATATTAACTATTCTTCGAAAATTGATAGCAAATGTTCGTGTTGAAGTAGGAAAAATTGCAAATCACTGCAATATAAATGCTAGACAAAATCCAATTTTTTTCAAATTGAATAAAGAATTCGAGCAGGATTTCAATCTTGTTAATAAAAGTGACAAATTAATACTGAATTTGATTAAACGATTGAAAAAATGGATTGTTATTTTGGAAAATGGCACTAAATCTTCATTAAGGTAACTTTTGTTACCTTAATTATTTTAAAATAAATTAAGTTTAATTTGCCTTAGTAAATTTAATTTTACAGTAAATTTAAATTTCAAATAAACTGATTTTTAAAAAATTTGAAATTTACAATTTTTTAAATATAAGAAACTAATTTATTTTATGTTGTTAATTGATTTAATTAATTGTCCTTTTTTTACAGATCCTTTCTACTTGAGAAAAAGTGTCACAACTTGGCCAATTTTAACTTTGAAATTGCAAAAATAGGACTTCCTGGCTCTACTCTTTTACCAAAGGTACAATTTTTTATTTATTATTTTTTATGCATTGATTAATTAATTTATTATGTATCTTTTATTTGTGAAATAATAAAAAATATATTTATTTTCAGTTTTCACATTATCATGTGACAATTGTGAAATTCCTGCCTTGGGTAGATGTGATTAGACACAAATTCTCAATAGCTCATCGAATTTGGATTTTGGGCAATGATGGAAAACTCTATCCTTATTTGATAGTGAAAAATGATCATTTTGCCGATGACAACAATTGCAGAGTTTTGCAACTTTTAGAAATGTTGAATTTAAATTTAAAAAAGCAAAAAGAAACTTGCCGACGTTTTTTGCAGTTTACGATTCAAAAAATGATACCATTACATCCACAAATACAATTGATTGAAGACAATCCAAATGCAATTAATTTTATGGAAATTTTTAAACAGAGCTGTGATAAGAAGAGAATATTACATTATGATCCAATTTCAAAATATTATGATTTAATTTTAAGTGTTGAAGCAAGATGTGCTGGTCTCAATAGAGAAAATTTAAAGTCAATTTTTAATGAAGTGCAAAAAAATCTTGTTCCAAAGACAATTCTCAAAGATTGGGCTGTGATGACTTTTCCAAGTTCTACTGATTATTGGACATTTAGGAAAATGGTGATTTTTTTAATGAATTTATTAATTTAGTTTATAATTTTCTCTTCTTTCTTAGTATATATTTTTGTAATTTATTTTTTTGCAGTTTATATCGCAAATTTCAGTAATTATTTTCTCACAATACGTCTTTCACTTAACAAAACTACATCCTGATATGATGAATTTGAATCTTGACACTGGATTAATAAACGTCAATTATTTTACATTTGATCTTGGTCAAATCTCTGGGAATCTTAATGCGAACGAACTAGTTCCATTCCGTTTAACACCAAATATTGCAGAATTCGTAACTGATATTGGTGAGTTTAGAAATTCGTTTTCGCAAAAAATAAAAAATTAACGGCTTTTCTAATAAATGTCGATTTAAACAAAATTCTATATTTTGTAAAATTTATTAATAATTTATTTATTACTACTTTACACTGTTTTAATTTAAATTTTAAATATTTTCTAATTTTTAATTTTTATAGGCATATCAGGTCCTTTGACGGAAAATTTAATAGCCAGTTCACGTTGTTTGGCTCAACCTTCATATCAAATCAAATCCATTCTTCATGCAATAATTAGAGATGAATTTATTGATGATCATATCAATCAACAGGACGACAAAACATTTGTGGAGAAAAATAAAGAAATAATACGACGAGTGACTAAAATTGTCACAAGTATTTCGACAAGATTGAATTCCCTTGGTCATTTTAGTGGAATTGACAGTAATGTAAGAAATCTTTTAAATAGTTCTAGGAATATTGATAATCTTTGCCAAATGGATCCATCATGGTATCCATGGCTTTAAATTGAATAGAAATTATTTATTGAACTCCATTTACAAATTGAAAAATTAGATGAAAAATTAAATCTATATTTAAAGTTAATTGAAAATTATTTATCGATAGTTATTCGATAGAATTAGTTAAAACAGTTGAATTTTAATTATTTTACAATGAGATAAACATATTATCTTTAAAGATTTTAATTTTATATATAAAATTATGAGATTGACGGAGAAATTAATTTTTTACTCAGGAATGTGCCAAATACAATATTTTTTTACTAATGTTATAGAAAAAGACCAAAAACTCCTCAAGAATTTTTGTGATATTAAAAACTCTTCGATTACACTTTTATTTAATATATAAATATAAAATAAAAGTAAGGTGGAATATTATATGAAAAAAAATATTTGCCTTACATTAGAATATTTCGTATTGTAATTATTAATTTATTTTGTTTATTTACATTTTTGTTTATTTTTATATTTTTCTTTTCTTGAAATAGTTTACAATTTTTAAAAAAATTTTATTATTATTTACATTTTTATATAATTCATTATTCATTCAAATTTAATTTCTAGCAACTTATTAGTTAAAATTAGTTTAAATTGTTTTATTATTATTTTATTAGTAATATAAATAATATATACGATTAATATAGAAAATATATTGAATATTTGTAATAGTTTATTTTATATGTATTATTACACATTTAAAAATTTGCGCCACTCGTGACGCATGCGCGTTATATGGTCAATGCTTCCAGTCTTTCCCACTAGGGGCGCTGTTAATATGTAAAGCGGTGGTGTGTACATTTTGTTTGTTGACGATAATTTAAAGCATTCTATGTTAAATTTGACAAAAAAACAATAATAATGTCGAAATCAATACCAGATAGGTAAGAAATAATCATTATTTATAATGCATATATAAAAAATCCTAATGGTATCTCGTGAAAGTAACTGTTAAATACGAAAAAAAAGTTTTGGAGTATTAGAGGTTATGTTAGAATATTTTGCTTATTTTTGCACGTGTTTTTCAATAAAAATATCAAATAAGACTATTAATGTTTAATTTTACATAATTGGATTATACTGGAAGCATTGTTACCTTTTACATTTAACTTAAATAATTAATTGGATACAATATATATGACTTTCATCTCAACTTTGCTTGGCGGTATTTTGCTTTTATTGTTGCTTATTAAACGTCGAATAATAATTATAGTTTCAATTTTCAGCAAAAGTTGACGTTTTTAGGCTATTAATTTAATTGTTTTTTAATTTCCAATATTTTTTTTTGCAAAAATTATTTATTTTAATGTTTACATTTTATCGAATATTGATTATTGCATGATTTGTATGTTCTTGTCAAGACAGTAAAATTGTTCTACATTTAGAAATAGTTTTTTACAACACTTTTACAATTTTTTTTACAATTTAAAAAATTGTAAATTTTTATAAAAAATTATCTTTATTCGATTAACTAATTTGATATTTATTTTCAGGTGGTTGCAATATAAACCCTTCGGAGAGGTTATTCAAGGCACAAAAATTTTGGCATTCAAGGTTCCGTTACGAGAAGTGAGTACAATTTGAAAAATTAATTTTATTTTAATATAATTAATTTTAATTAATTATTAAAATTAATATAATGTTTAAAATTTATATAATAGTGATTATAAATAATAATATTAATATAAAAAAATTTAAGGGATAGAATGGAATGGAAAATAGTTTCATGGATTTGTTTTTTTAGCAGCGACGAGTTTTAGGTCATAAAAATTTTAATAGGAATATAAAATTTCTTTTTTACCAACACCTGTGTGGATACTGTAGATGTTTTCTATTTGTTGATATCCTGAAGATTATTTTTTATTTTTAATATCTCATTGGATCGAAAAATGTGTTTTTGATTGATTTATCTGTGCTTTAATTGGAAAGCCTAGGGCAAATTTTCGAGTCATTGAAATAAATCACAATTTACAACAGTTTGAAATTGATGCAGTGGATTTTGTTTACTCGAAGAACCGAAAGGTACTTAAAAAAAACTTTCATTTTGAAGGAGCACCGAAAGCTCACAACAATTCTGAACGATTGACTCGAAACGAAGCTTATATGAATTCTGCAAGGTAGTCACACGAAAACTAGTGATTTATGCAGATGTAAATCAGCAAGTTTGGCGGCAGTGCTGACAGGGCTCTACACGTTCGTCCTCTGCAATTCAATGATTAACTACTTGGCCACCAAGTTCCTCTCTGAAAAAAAAAAAATCACGCGGATTGAACATTAAAATGTAGGCTATTAAGATTTTTGGTATAAATATGTGATGAAATCCCTCGATTTGAATAAGGAGCTAATTTTTATATTAGTGAGAGCAATTGGGTTTAAATTATCAGATTTTTTTTATTTTGTTTGTTGATTTTTTATTTGGTTTTCCATTATTCGCACTTAATTTGATCTAATGACTAATTCCTAAACGACAGGTAAAAAAAATTCGATTTTTTTTTATTAAAGTTTGTTTTTTCTTCTAATTCTTTTCTTCTCTTTGTCTCTTTCATCTTCCTCACTAAATCACAGATTATCTTCACTGCGGGAAGAGTGGTTGCGACGGGAATGTAATGATAAGATCGCATTGAATTCTCGAAAGAGCTCGACGGTAACATCGGTAGGCGCACGCAAGTTTGACCCACGCTTTTAGTATTTTATTTACTTTATATATATATACATATATATTGTGGTATCTTCGTGGCACGAGCCAGTGACATGGTGGTCGCAATTCCGAGAATTTTTGCAAATCTATAAACATTTATTATCATTATTTTTTTTCTTTTTCTTCTTCTTCTTCTTCTTCTCGTTTACTGATACTTATTAATAGTATCTCTGCAAAAAAAAAATAGTTTCCACTTTTTTCTTGAACATTTCCACTATATTTAACATTATTTCACCTCTTTTAAAAGTGTGAAGAGACATGTGTTTTAATTAATTGGTCCATATGGAGAATGATGTTATAAAAAAATATGATGTGAAAAAAAAGGAGTTTGCTAATCGGTAATAGAAAGTTACAATAGAGGATGGGCACAACTAATTGATTCTGGCGGCCGCGAACTTTACATAAAATAAGTCTTGGTGTATATTATAAAGCGACGACCTACGGCCTGATTGGAACCTGCTGTGAGATCTGCAGGGAGTCTCTCGTTAATGGGTCCCTCAAAGCTTATTCTCACTGTCTTGAGAAGATCTTTCGAAAGTGGGAACATTCTTTCACTATATTACATATACCTTTTTTTTTCTCTCTCTCTCTTTTTTTTGGAACGATATACATACCAAGTTGCACTAATATTTTTTATTTCTTTAACATTTTTAAATAATGATTTCCAAAAATTGAATTATATTTTATAAATTGTTTATTATTTAATTTTATTAATTAATTATAAATGATGAAAATAATATATTCAGAATATCAAAAAAATATAATTAATACAGGTGAAATAAAATATGGGATAGGATTTTATTTTTATTAATGGTTTAAATTACAGTAGTTATTTATTTAAAAAAAAACAACTTATTTTTTAATTAAAGTAACTGCAATTATTTAATTTATATATATTTATAATAATAATTTTCAAAATACTTTAGCTATTGTTTTGTATTTTTATTATTATTATAATGGCTTCACTATTAAATTTATTCTTTTTTTTTTTTATAATGATGTGACTTTTCACAATCGACCATTTTTTATTTTGTCGAGACTCTTAATTCTTCGGAATTAATTAATTTTGTTGTTTTTTGCATGGTAAATAATATTAATGCGAGGACACACCCGGTCTGATACCACAACATATCCATATTCTGAAATGAATTGTCTCGACGTGGGTGATATCTGTATTTTCAGCCTCCCAAAACTCTCTCTCTCTCTCTCTCTTTCGCGCGAAACATTTAGATCTCTATCATTGTAACTTCTCAGTTACACTAGGTATTATTCTACTACGTTGAGACTTCGCTCTATAGTGTGAGGAGGACACTATTGTCTTTTGTTGGTCGCGATAAACGTGCGAGAGGGGTTTTTGAATAGAAACAAGAGCGTTGTTTCACCTCATAATTTTTCTCAAATGCACCATTGCTCCTGTCTCTTTTTCGTAAATTATGTATACTTATTTCCCTATATCATTCGTTATCTCACACGAAAAAATGCTCGTAACATCATTTCACACCAAAATCTGCTTACTCGATTCTATATATTATAATATATAAATTGTCTAGATCATATATAGTTGGATTGTTGGCATCTGTACCACTGTTATTTTAAAAAATCTTTCTTTTACGGGTTTAATTTAATTTAAGCTGAGTTTTTTTCTGAAAATTTAAAGATTTTTATTAAAAAAAATAGGAAAATAGGAAAAATATAATCTCTAAATATGAATCAGTGAAAAAGTCACTGTTCTCAAATCAGTCGCTAATTTTTAGCTATTTGAATCAGTGGTTTTCACTGACAGTTAGTGACATTTCACTGGAGAATCATAATTACATTGACTGAAAATCAGTGAAATGTTACTGATTCAAATAGCTAGAATTTAGCGACTGATTTGAGACCAGTGACTTTTTCACTGATTCAAATTTAGAGAGTAACTAATACCTTCAATAACTAGCACCTTCAATAACTAGTACCTTCAACAACCAGTACCTTAAATTACTAGCACCTTCAATAACTAGTACCTTCAACAACCAGTACCTTAAATTACTAGTACCTTATGTTTCTAGTAACTTCAACAACTAGTACCTTCAACAACCAGTACCTTAAATTACTAGTACCTTATGCTACTAGTACCTTCAACAATTAGTACCTTCAACAACTAGTACCTTATGTTACTAGTACCTTCAATAACTAGCACCTTCAATAACTAGTAGCTTCAATTATTAGTACCTTCAATAACTAGTACCTTTAATAACTAGTACCTTTAATAACTAGTACCTTCAACAACTAGTACCTTTAACAAGCAATACCTTAAATTACTAGTACCTTATGTTACTAGTAACTTCAAAAACTAGTAACTTCAATAACTAGTACCTTCAATAACTAGTACCTTCAATAACTAGCACCTTAAATTACTAGTACCTTATGTTACTAGTAACTTCAACAACTAGTACCTTCAACAACCAGTACCTTTTGTTACTAGTACCTTCAATAACTAGCACCTTCAATACCTAGTAGCTTCAATTATTAGTACCTTATATTACTAGTACCATCAATAACTAGTACCTCTAATAACTAGTACCTTCAACAACTAGTACCTTAAATTACTAGTACCTTAAATTACTAGTACCTTATGTTACTAGTAACTTCAAAAACTAGTAACTTCAATAACTGGTACCTTCAATAACTAGTACCTTCAACAACTAGTACCTTAAATTACTAGTACCTTATGTTACTAGTAACTTCAATTAACTAGTACCTTCAATAACTAGTACCTTCAACAACCAGTACCTTAAATTACTAGTACCTTATGTTACTAGTACCTTAAATACTCTCTAAATATAAATCAGTGAAAAAGTCACTGGTCTCAAATCAGTCGCTAAATTCTAGCTATTTGAATCAGTGGTTTTCACTGACAGTTAGTGACATTTCACTGAAGAATCAATTACTTTGACTGATAATCAGTGAAATGTTACTGATTCAAATAGCTAGAATCTAGCAACTGATTTGAGACCAGTGACTTTTTCACTGATTCAAATTTAGAGAGTAGGAAACAGAAAATTTTTATTGCACGTGTGTGAAGTTTTTTTTTCTCATTTAGTCTCATATTAAAAAAAGAAATCCTAGAAAGTTCGAAAGCATATATTCAGAATTATTAAATCATGCAATTTAATAAAAAAAAAAAAAACCTCATTTAAAATTCATCAGGCATCTATCCAATTTTTTATGTAATATTCGATTTCATTTAAAAGTTAAATGCTTTTTTTCTGTAAAATAAAATGCAGACATTTCATTATGTCTTCAAATTTGATATTTTATCTTGAAAAATTATTATCTGTTTTAAGTTGTTATACCCATGGAGAAAATCAGTAAGTGCGATAATGTACGTAATGATTAACAATTTTTTCTTTAACGCCCTTTGTTGAGTTAGGGAAGGAAATTTTTTTTTTTTTTTTCTTTATCTTCATATAATTCTTTTCTCTTTACTTAGCCTGACATGGCCTCCTCTAAAATATATATAAGTAAAAGCAAGATACAGAAGATGCTAGAGACGAAGAGGGTGAATATAATTTATACCCAAGTTGGCGAACAACTTCGATGACTTTGTAAAATATTACTGATCCTGGTTTTGGAGATCTTATCTGCCACCGACACCGCATTTTGTTTCGTCGTAACGCCTTCCTCTTCCGTCTCTTTTTCATCTGTTGTTGCTGGTGCTGCTGATGCTATTGAACTGGCGCCTGCAAGGGGGGGTCATAAGTCATACTAAAACTTTTCTCAAGAATTGTAGAGAGGGGATTTAAAAATTTTTTTTTTATTTACGATGACTTGAAAAAAAATTAATTTTTTTATTATTAAGGATCGAGAAGTTATATATATATATATCTTAATTTGAAACTAGATTTTTTCGTCACGTATATATTGTTAATCTTGAGATGGTCAACTTTTTATCTTGAGAATTTCTTTCTTTTCTGAGAACTCTGTTGGACATAGGGTAAAAGGGATCTCGCACGTTGTAACCAGTTTATCTAATCGTTGATCATTTTTTTCTACTTGTTTTTCTCATTTTGCGCAGGATTTTTTGCTTTTTGTGAATAAAATTCTAATAATTGCCAAAATTTTTGAAAAAAAAAAATATTATTTCTTTTATAGGAATTTTTATTTAAAATTTAAAAACCGTACTTCTATTTTAGAAAAAAATTTTGAGAATTCTTATGAATAAATTTCCCTTTTTTTTTAAAGGATAAAAGAGTGTCGTACATATATTGAAGTAACGTGAAAAAAGTTCAAAGAGAAATGAAAAAAAAAATAGAATCCGGCGCGATACTCGTGTATTACCTTTCTAGACTGAAAATTTTGTGAATTCGGTATTGCTTTTTTGGGCGTTTTAGGCTGAGATGTGGTATTATGCTTCTGGTACATAAATTTCCTTTGAATGGAGCATGTATGAGCCGGCGCCCGCTATTCCATCCCACCTGCCCCCTTCGTGTCACATAACTTTTTCCCTTCCTCTTTCACTTGGAAGACTCTCTCTTTCTTCTCTGTGTATTGTATTTCTTTTTCCTTCTTGAAGCTATTGCACACGCTTTCCTTCTTTTTCTCTCTCTCTTGACATTTTTCGTTGGATCTCTTTTGCGGTCATATATATATGTAATACCCCTCGATAGATTCTATCCTTATTCTGATTTAGTCGGACTCTGTTTACGAAAATGTCAACCACATGCCCTGACGACGACGCGTGGAGAAATTGCGTCTTTAAAATTTATAGCGACAGTGCCTCTATGCTTTCTTTGTGACTCACGCCAGGACCCACATTTTAAATAAAAGAAGCCCCCAAAAAAATGCAGGGTCCAACTACTGTCTATCCAGGCGTGGTTTTGGTTTTCCGAGATTTTCCCTTTTGCTTCCGCCTTTTAAAGGTCCATTTTTGTTGAAATAAGTCACTTTGAAATAAAAGAAAACGGAAGTTGTGCTTTCATAATTGTCAAAATTTTTCTTTAGGGTGAGAAAAAAAGGTGAAAATGAGAAAGGTATATTTAAGGGGGAAATGCGGACGTGTACTTTGTCGGCGTGTCATCAGTAAATTTTTCTGCATTTTTCATAATAAACCGTGCGCAATTTGTTAGTGTCCTCTGTGCTAAATTCCGTGTATTATTGCAAAAGGAATATTGTTCGCGTGTAGAAAAATAAAATAGAAAAATGTCGCCCTATCAAATGGGGAGTATTGGGAAGGACCCTTTTTATATAGAAATGTAGCCAGGAATATGGGTAATGGATGCTAAGGTGACCCATACACTATTATATAGTTCTATGCAACGAGTGGTATGCTTTTATATCCTCATGATCTACGGGCTATGTAGTTGCCAAATGGATAGTCTTCTGGTCTCCTTCTCTTATTCTTTATTTATGCTATTATTCTCTTCTCGATTTCAAAATACGTGCAATTCAGACTATCGCATCTTGCACTGTCAGACAATTTTTGTCTAGACTATGTGTTTATACTGTATATAATTAATTTATAGCTTTTCAATTTTGTGAATATATTTATACAATTTTTTTTCTTATATATTTAAAAATACATCAAATTTATTATATGATATCAGTAATTAAAGCTACTATTTTTGTTTTATAAAGTGATGAATTAGATTCTGAAACGGTGGGATAAGATCAAATGACAATATATCATTTTTGTAAATGGGCTCCTTAATTTTCTCTTCCGTAGCTTCTAAGCATTTTAGCACTAGAAGAAGAATCATCATAAATGGTGGTGGTGAGGGCTTTTGAATGGCGCCAAGAGTGTTGCTCGAACCCAAAAAAAAAATCGTTATGGGGGGCTGTTAGGTATATCTTAGCAAAAAAAAAAAGTAGCAGGACATATATAGGAATAGTCAGGAAACAAACATTCGTTTAAATAGTCCCGGCAAGTCACGACCACCAATATATATCTGGAAGTCGTTAATCTTGTCTTCAGTTTGTACAGGTTGTTCATTAATATAATGTATTCTCACTCCCGTAGCTAAAACAATCAAGCAAAACTCGGATTTCGCCATCAGTTTCAGAAAAAGAAAAAAAAAAAATCTTTCAAAATTATTATCTCGATGAATGGTAAAACAACTGGAAGTTAATTTATCTCAAGGTTTTAACAAGCCGCAGGTATATGCATGTTTATATGCAGAATTGGCGCAAAATTTTAATATTTTCGTAATATTATATATCACCTTTTTGAATATTAAGGTTTTCTCTTTTGAAATTTTTTTTTTTCAATTAATTTTCCTTATTCTTCATATATAATAAAATTCGTTTTTGTAGTTTCTTTTATATAGGCGTTAATTTTTTATACTTTGAAACTTGTCATCAAAAAAATTTTAAATACTTGTTGATTCTGGGAAGAATTAATTTTTTTTTTTTTTTTTTTTTGGTTTAAGGCACAAGTGCCAAAGGTATAACATTTATGTGCTTTGTGTCATAAAAAGTTAAGAGTTTTGAAAATGAGAGAGAAAGAAGAATTCTGCAGGACCTCTAAAAGTTTGTGTAGTTTTCCAAATGAGTTTTTTGGTTATATGGTGTGTTCGACGAGGAGTGCTTCTTCGTGTTTCAACAAACGAGCCTTTTTGTCGGTGTATATAACGTCATTGGGAACTATTTCTCAAGGATTCGAAAAAAGCAGCTAGTTTTTAATTGCCACACGTTATCGGTCTAGAGTGATCAAGGCACAGAAAGAGGGCATAAATAAAAAAGAAGACGGCATTTTCAAGTCTCTCTATATAGCAAAAGATCCCCTGCGGCTACAGCTTCCATTACTGTGCAGTAACTCGTATATTTCTGGCATAACTTTGACTTTTTTAAAAATGAGCTTATGAGAGATCACACGCGCTTCCGAGAGAAATAATAAGGGACCTTCTATTGGACAGATGGTCCTAGAAAGCCCACCGAAGATATAAAACCTGTCAACGAATTGGTTGTTGATTCATTAAACTCGCCTATTCGATATATAATGTGACATTTGAAAGAATTCAATTTTCATTTTATCATAAATTATATCCATCTATAAAGTTCTTAATGAAGATATAAAATTTTTAGTTGGATTTTTTTTTTTTTTTTTTAAAGAATTGAATTTTATATAGATTGGCTCGATTACTGCGGTAATATTCTTTTCAGAGGCGCACGCTTATAATTCAGTTAATCTGTATAACAATACGCAAGTCATCGCGCCTACTTGTGATAATTAATAGTGCGAGTATAACAAGTTTTAAAGGGGGGTATGCCTTGAAGTCTATATGGATCGCTTCTCTGTTTGAGTGATTGATTGGACGATGTCTGGTATCGGATAACGATATATATATATATATACGTGACGATGCCGACGGCAAGAACAAGTCGAATAAAGGTGCGCAAGTTTTAAACGTAACATACGATCTCGTATCGTTTCTCTCTTGGCTTTGAGTATCATATTGCTTTTCTCAAACTAGTATCTCCATAAAATATTCGTTTATATAGAGAGAGAGAAAAACTTGTTATTTTTCAATGATTTACATTTATCTCTACTATATACTTATATGTGGAATATATCTTTTTTTTTTCCCCCAAGAAATTCGAGCATTATTCAGAAAAAAATTCTTCAGAATGTTTAAATTGAAATTTTTCATGGGTTTCACATTTGCACCCACTATGGGTGGGCTAAGTGCTAATTACGGGTTCAGTCTGTGCTATCCGATTGGCTGGGCGGGGAGATTCGTATCTGAGAGGATGAGTACGGAATGAGTATCGGTCCATTTGGTTATTGCATTAATAATAATGTATCGCTAGGGTAAAAATGTTCGAATGTGTTAAAAAACCAATCGTGTTATTAAAATCGTTATACACTGGTCAAATTGTAACAACCGAAAATCATTAACGATTCTCATTAAAAATATATATTTGTTGAAAGAAAAAAAAAATGAATTTAACTTCTTTGATAAATGTATTTATTTTTATAAACAATTTTATTTTGTAAAATTATAATTATAGATCTAATTATTATAGTTTTTTATGTTATTCTAAATATTCATTAATCTTGTAAAATCGTAATTTATTGGAAAGGGATTTTCAATAAATGAGAAACTTGGAAACACGCCCTTTTCAGTTTAAAAGTGTGCCTCAAAACAATAAACGTCAAAAAAAATTTTTTTTCTTACCTAAACTGGTGTTACTATAATGCATTTCAAAAAAGGTCATTAGGTATTCAAAAATGTGTAAATGAAAAATGATGTTTTGAGATACATAATTGAAACAAAAATTCAATAACAATAAAATGAGGTGCGGGAGAGAACAAATAATAATTTTTTTTTCACTAAACACCTTCTGTTTTTAAATATGCCGAAACAAAACAAAAACTATTACTATAATAGACGAGGGATTTTAATGATGAACGTAGTCCCACTGGAATAATATTGAACAATGTAAAAAATAATCCATTAGTAGATCCTAGAAACAGAGATTCATTAATTTCAATATATATATGAGAACACAAATGACGCTCATCAAACACGAAAAATGAATGAAAAAATAAAATGAAGTTGAAAGCATTAAAATTCCTAGTATATTGATAAGATACTATCGTTCCGTCGTAACTTTTAATTTAATTAACAAAGATTTGTCGAGGGGTGAATTAAAATTCTTATCATACCATTAGTTTGATTATTTTATTATGATCAATTTAGTTAATTTGAAACTGTTTTTTTAAAATAATTCTATGTTTAATTGTTATTAAAATGTATTCCTTTTCTATAAAGTTTAAAAAATTTTACTTTTTTTTTTGTTTCAGGGTGTGGCTAAAAATCTCCAGCCGCAACAACGGTAAGTGTGTTGAATTGAAAAGTTTTGTTTGAATATGTACGTTTCTCAAAAAGTAGGATTTGAATTGAAATTGATGATTAACATAAGCGATATGAAGTTGTTCAAATATTTTTATTATTTCTATCTCTATGTATATATTTGTTTTAAAGAGTAGGTCGCTTATTTATGGAAACAATTTCGCACGAAACAAAAGATCCTTTCCCCTCTCCTATATATAGTTTGTTATTTGAATTTGTTCACTGTATATTTTCTTTAAGTCTTTCTACAATTTAAATTTTATGTTATTCTTATATATACACTAAATGAAAAATGCAAATATTAAAGTATATTATTGTTTTGCTATTACAGGTTCACAACTGCTATTCTCCTGCAGTCATTCCCCCAACTCAAGTACATCGTGGACTTGACAAATACTAGTCGTTATTATGACAAAAAGGTAAGATATTACTTATCATTCAATACGCAATGATATTTTAGTTTGTCGTATATACATATTTAAATAATCTATGATATAAATATATCTTTGGAATATTTTTATATAAGAAAAGAGTTTAAAGTTTAAAAAAGATAATTTTTGTAGTAATTTATTTAAACAAATGTTTAAAATAACGAAACAATTTGTAATACAAAAAAAAAATTGTATATTTGGTTTAAACAAAACTTTTCTCCGAAGAAGAATTTTTTGTAATTTTTCATCTTGGGAAACAAAGTGTTTATTTTTCAAAAGTTTTTAGTGCAGTTTCCTGCTTTCTTCTGGAACCAATTTTATCTACTGCATTCCTTGATCTATATATTCGTATATGGTATTAAATATATATATATATATATTCATGATCAAATTCTTCATCTATCGCTTCTTCTTTTTAGTCTTCTTCTTTTCGTTTTACTCTATTTTTTCTTGTGCCGCAGGGCGAACTCGATATCGCATCAGCTCGAGGTCATTTCAGACTTTATTAAGCATTTAAGTGGTAGGCGAGGAGCCCTGGTTAATTTGTGGCGGTTCGACACTGCGGCAAAGACCGTCGAGTGGACTAATGAACTTATTATTAGATTTCCAGAATAGTTTTTTTTTTTTTATTATTATCATTGGCCATGTTACGGTGTATAGTTATCAAGAAGTTCGCCAAGAATTTTTCTTTTTTAAATGCGAATTTGACCAATTTAATCATTTTTACAATTTGATAAGAAATTTTTTCATGGAAAATTATTATGATGGATTTTTTTTTATAATCATTGATCATTCGTTGGAATATAAGACGATATTAATTAAAAGTAGTAATTGGAAAGAAGAGGAAAATGTTTTTATTTTTTACTTTTTTGGAAGTAGTCATTCATCTTTTCTTTATATAGTTAATCTTTCTCCATTATGTCGCGGGCAATTTTTAATTTAAAAAAAAAAGTTATATCTACCGTTATTTTCATGTTCCGATATAAGAAAGGCGTTTTAACATGTTAAAGGCCCTTGTAATTAATACAAGGTACATATTTATTATCTCGATTCATGATAACTCGGGTTGACTGTCCTAATTGGAGTATTATTTCTTAATGACACTCAACGTGATGATACCTTAATTTATATATACACTTGATAAATATAAGAAAAAAAAAATTATGTAACTAAAAATCAAGAATCTAGTATACTGTCATTAGGATTAGAATTTTCTCAATGCGCTTTTATCTCATTTAATATATTTTTTTTTCCACGGTTTTATATATACCGTTGTTGTCATTAATTTGACGTTTTCTTTATATATACTTTTTATTGTTATCACATTTTGTAAGATGGTGTTTAATTTGAAATATTACATTTTTTCTATTTTTGACATTCGGTTATTATATTTCAAAAATTGAATCCTTTGTGAATCTTCTTTTTTGATTAAATATAATCTATTTTATTGTCCAACAAAAATATTTCGGAGTTGTAACATTTAAGATATGAATAATCGTTACAATAGTTAGGTAAATCTTTTAATGATTCAAATTATTTAAAATAAAATTATTCATACTTTTCTTGATGAAATTGTTTATTTAAAAACACGTAAATTTGAATAATTTTTGACTGTTCGTCCCAATTTTTTCTTAAATATTTGAGAAGTATTGTAAAATGTGTTTGTTTAACTGTCAATCAATTGTTTGCAGGATTTTACCGATGCTGGCGTTAAGTATGAAAAAGTTATGGTTCCTGGAATACAAGTGCCTCCAATGGACGTTGTAAAAAAGTGAGTAATACGAAGCAATATTTTTCTTATGTCGACATTTTCATTATATATACAATGTGTAAACAAGGTGACTTGTAGCAAGTGTAAACAAAATTTGAACCGCCAAGTGTGTACGATGATGATGATGATGATAGTGTGTAGCACAGTTGCATTGCCATCGTTGTTGGTATTACATTCGATATGGTGGCATAGCGTGGGCACTGGGGCAGTCATCGATTGCGTCCTGTGAGGGGAAGCGACCTTCCCCCACCATGCGACCCACAAGCGTCCGGCAATTCGGGACTATGAGAGGCGCATGATTTTTCCCAAAAATTAAAAAGATCTAAAATTTAATTGATCGAATTACATTAAGTCGATATTTTATTTGAATGAAATTCTAAATGATCGATATTTAAAATGGTCAACATTTTATTTGGTCGATATTTTATTTATTCGAATTTCTAAATGATCGATATTTAAAGTGGCCGATATTTTATTTAGTCAATATTTTATTTTATCGAAATTCTAAATGATAGACATTTATGAAGGTCGACATTTTATTCAGTCGATTTTTTATTCGGTCGAAATTCTAAATAACCGACATTTATGAAGGTCGATATTTTATTTGATCGAAAATCTAAATGGTCAATATTTAAAGTGGTCGACATTTTATTTAGACGATATTTTATTTGGTCGAAATTTTAAATGAAATATCGACTTAAAGTAATTCGATCAATTAAAATTTCGAACTTTTTAATTTTTGGGAAAAATCATGCGCCTCGACTATGAATGCTCATACGACCCTCGCAGCAGAGGGCGTCTAATCCGTCATTAAGGAGTTTTTCTTAATGACTTTTTTTTTGACAAAATATAACATTATTAAATATTTACATTTTTTATTTTTTGTTATTAAATTAACTGCGATGTGCATATGTCTTTGATTTCATATCAATGATGTACCACGGGAGTATGAATTCACAAAGTATCATGCGCCTGAGGAGTGATGACTGTATTAATTGCCTTAATTGCAATAATACTTTCATTTTCTCCAAAGCTTTCTTTTCTATTCGTCTTTTTTTTCATACAATGAAAATTACAGGCAGTTTTATGCGACACCTCAATCGCATTGCCAGTCCTGAGTTCGGCTTGGGATACGGGTGAGAATCCATTCCTGGTGGTGGAGGGGAAGGCTACTTCCCCTCACGGGACGGAATCGATGATCGCCCGGGCACTGGGCACCCTTAGGCGATCATTGAAGCGCACGCCAGAAAAACATGACGTGAAACTCTCTTGTAAAACCGCTTATCTAGCTTTTTATGTCAATCGTATTTCACCATTTTTTCCCCTTATATCAATTTTTTTTTCTCGTTAACTATCAAGTTCAATTAGAAAAATTATTTTTAATTTGATATTTTAGAAAAATTTTATTTCAAAAAAAAAAAAGATCGTTAATTTATAATGAATGGAAATAAATTAGCGAATTTTACATTTGAATAAAATTGTAGAATTTTTTCTTATAGGTAAAATGAATTAGATTCTGTAAGGAAGAATGTGATTAAAAGTCGTTGGTTAATAGTAATGATTTAAATGACAATTATGAGCCGATGACAGTTGTTCTTGGCAAGATGACAGAAATCGTGATTTAACCTTTAGATGGCGTTTAGGTACATGCGAGCGCACGAATGCTCACATTACGATCTCCCCTCTTCTTCTTCTTTTTTTTTTTTTTTTTTTTTTCCTTGTGTCTCGCATGCAAAACAGGTCCGCAGGCTGACCAGCCAGCTAATTAACTGCAATAAACGTCCGATGATTTACATTTACAGAACGTTGGATCACCGTTCGCACACCCTCTCTTCATCGCCCTCGCTTCTCTTTCGCTGTACATGCATTTCCTCATCTTTGTTTCGTAAATTCATTAAATATATATATATATATATATATATATATATATACAGTTGTGATGATGATAAAGAGGATGCAATCATCGCTGAAAATATTTAACTGCAGTTAAAAAAATTAAGCACAATTCCTCAATTTTTCTAATTGACCATTGCAAAATTTTCATTTGATTATTTATCAATTAGGTGTCTTCCAGATAACTTTCACAAAATTGTATTTGATAAAACGCCATTAATAAAATTGAAGAGCGATTCGAGTGCATATTTTTTGATGAGGGATTGTTTTCCTAATGTTATTATTTGAAATTATGTGACTAAGGGACCTTAGAGACGAAAAATTATAGGTTATGTTTTAAAATTTTAATCTTTAATTTCACAAAGAGGATCAATTTTCAATACAAATTATTGATATTTAAGTCTTCATTCCATCCAAAATATTCAATAAAAACTGATTTTAAGTTTACATAAATAAAAAGAAACTTTTAATCAGGGTAAAACTCGTAAACATAACCGTTTGTTTCTAAGGTCCCTTTCTTCAGAGCGCATATATTCGGATAATGACAATTATTTAATTAATTTGTTGCTGAATTATTAAAAAGTGAATAAATTTTATTAAAGAATTCAGAAAATTGAATTGCAACTTTTATAATACTTTCTTATTCTCTTAAGAAATAATTTATTTTCTTTTAAAACATCAGTTTCAAAATAAATGTAAAAAAACATTTTCATAAAATCGAAGAAAATTATGTTCCTCAATATATTAACATTTACATCGTATACAAATTCTTCTTTGTACAAGATTCTTCTATTAAAAATTTCCAAAATTTAGGTACAACTGTCGTCAGTAATTCGAAAGCTAATAATCATATGGTAATTAATTAAGTGGGATTTTTTTTTTATCATTCTCGAGTATTATATCAGAGAATAATAAATTCGAATAGTACCCGCATGTGAATATATCGAATACTCGTATTTGTATAAACTAATTGATAGCCTGCAAAAAGGGGTTTCCTTGCATTATATAGGCGTAAAAGGAGGACACTGTTGTTTTGATCGTAAATGATGACCTTCACGCAAGTATGTGTTATGCCAACTATTGCAATAAATAAAATTGCAATAAAAATTGAATTTTCCACAACAAAATATTTCTCGCTATTAAAAAGACTTCAAAAAAAAAAAAAAAAATGAGGTCTAATAAAAATACACATTTCGAATTTTTCCTCAGTTTTACGACTTTCGATGTGTAAGTTTTTTTTTTTTGGTCGAAAACTTGTTTTTCTTGCGATGTATGTCGTGAAATTGTTTTCTATTTTATTTATTGTCTCTGCGTAACAAATTACGTAAATACATAAATGGACCATTTTCCATGAATTATTATATAGAAAGAATTTGTAAAAATTGACATAGTATGTTGTATGTGTAACATGTGGATATATATTGTTTGTGAGAGTTTATTATAATACGATGGACGCGTGCGCTTCTCTCAGGGGCCACACACGCTGTGATGTATTCAAATGAATCGCGCCGCTATAAACGCGTCCCTCGCAGTTTCATGCGTGTCAGATGATGCGCCGCCACTGCCGCATTAACGCCTCGTCTTGCACAATGAGCATTCGTGAGAACATGCTTATAGGTACTTGCCTGTGATTCACACGGTACTTTACTCCACAAAACCAATAACAATGACTGTGTTTGTCAAGAAAAAAAAAAAAAAAAATTTTTTTCCTCTTTTTTTTTATTTCAAAATACCTCTTGGGATTAAATTAGAATCACATAAAAATCATTAGTGCTTTCATAGGAGAAAAGAATTTTTTAAATCCAAATGGACTTTGGAGAGCGATTAGACTATTTCTTACCTTTTTTGATTCAATTTTAGAGTTGATTGTTCAGTTTTTTTTTTATAAACATATTATCTTGTTAAAATTCATGCATCATAAATCGAATTGGCGGTCTAAAGGCAATTAAAAATAAAAAGCAAATCATTCAAATTGTATGGCCTTCTCTCTCTCTCTTTTTCTACCCATAGGTTCTCTCGCATATTTATAAAAGTATCTCCTTACGTCTTCTGAATATACGGGCATTGTCTCGCAATACGAGACAGGAAACACGCGAAAACCTATGTTCGATGTCTTGGCGAATAAAGACGTCGCTAGTGAGGCGCCAAACACCCACACGTTCACGATCGTTCGATGCTCGACAAGCAGACTGGTTTTCTCGACCGAGACCTGCGCAAGGCGCGTACTCCCTTCTCCCAATAATCTTAATCATTTCAATAATGTTAATAAAATAAGAAAAAAAAAGCAGCAAATTGCTTAGAACCCTCTGTTGAACAGCACACAGCGAGCCATAGAGAATCACCTGAAGTGAAATATCCGTACTAATCCAATTATCACGCATGTATATATATATATATATATACATATACATATAAAAAATTTTATATGTGTGTGAATGTGAAAAATAAAAGTAACACGAGTTTGTCGAGACACGACTCGTTCATGATGACAGTCCAGTGAACAGGATCTTGACACTTGATAGTACTGGACATTATATACATTAAAGAAGAGCAGTTGCACCTGTTTATGATTCACTTAAAATTACATTTTACCTGCGAAATTACTAATTATAGCTATACTTTTAGTAAAAAAAAAACGGTTATCGTTCAAATTATCGCGGTAGTTTACAATTAGAGTAATAAAAGTTTATATAATGATAGAGTATATTTTAGCGATTGGTTACAGTAGTCGTTTTTTTCTTTATGAAGAAAAAAAATGGAAAAATCAATGCATTTTATTATCATATGAATAGTATTTTTTTATAAAATAAAAGATTAATGTACAGAAGATGCTTTGTGTAACACCTGTTTAGGAAAAACGCCATTTTATGTACTGTTTTAAAGAGTAAATGTAATATTATGTTGTCTAATTATTTATGAAAAAGTATAGTTTTCTGCATACTATGCGGCAAAATTATGAAAACAGTGCAGAAATGTATACTTTTCTTCACAGTTTGCGACAATGTTACAAAACAGTGCAGAAAAGTACACTTTTCTGCATACTATGCGGAAATATTATAGAAACAATGTGGAAAATTCTCTTTTCTGCACTTCATGCAACAAATTATAAAATAGTACAGAAAAGTACACTTTTTTGGACAATATGCTGCAAAGTTATAAAACAGTGTAAAAAAGTATACTTTTCTGGACAGTAAACAGTAAAGTATGCGGCAAAGTTATATATGAACTATGTAGAAAAGTATAGTTTTCTTTACAGTATGCAGCGAAGTTATAAAATAGTGCAGAAAAGTACAATTTTCTGCATACTATGTGATAAATTGGGAAACAGGGAGGAAAATTCTCTTTTCTACATTTCAGGCAACAAATTATAAAACAGTGCAGAAAAGTACTCTTTTTTGGACAATATGCTGCAAAGCTATAGCTTTGCAGTAATATGTATTAAAAATGTAATATTATGTTGTCTAATTATTTATGAAAAAGTATAGTTTTCTGCATACTATGCGGCAAAGTTATAAAAACAGTGCAGAAATGTATACTTTTCTTCACAGTTTGCGACAATGTTACAAAACAGTGCAGAAAAGTACACTTTTCTGCATACTATGCGGAAATATTATAGAAACAGGCTGAAAAATTCTCATTTCTGCACTTTATGCAACAAATTATAAAATAGTTCAGAAAAGTACACTTTTTTGGACAATATGCTGCAAAGTTATAAAGCAGTGTAAAAAAGTATACTTTTCTGGACAGTAAACAGTAAAGTTATGTAATCATCGCATAGTATGAGGCAAAGTTATATATGAACTGTGTAGAAAAGTATAGTTTTCTTTACAGTATGCAGCGAAGTTATAAAACAGTGCAGAAAAGTACAATTTTCTGCATACTATGTGATAAATTTGGAAACAGGGAGGAAAATTCTCTTTTCTACACTTAATGCAACAAATTATAAAACAGTGCAGAAAAGTATACTCTTTTTTTGCACAATATGCTGCAAAGCTATATGTGAACTGTGCAGAAAAGTGTATTTTTTTTTTTACAAAGAATGCAGCAAAGTTTCTTTATGTATAGAAATTAACTTCGTATTGTATTTACGGCGTTTTTTCTTGCAGGTATTACACAAGTTATTCTAATTGCAAAATGTTTTAAAGTTATTATGTTTTCTTAGCGATTATTTTTAGAATTTTTGTACCGACTAATAAGTATGAGAAAAAAAAAGTTGGAGAATGGTCAATGCTGTTTTTTGAATCTGTGAGAAATCAATTTTCTTACTTTCAAAAAAAAAAAAAAAAAGAGGGGGTTTTTAGAAATATAAGCAGTGCACGCGTATCACTTAATGATACGCGTGGAGTTGTTGCTGGTAAACGGTCGGAGGTGAACCCATCTCAAATATTTTGACGTGCAGCATCTCGTTCTCTCGTGTGTATGCCAAAAGAAGCAAATAAGAATTGCAAGAGTGGGAAACATGGGAAGAAATGTTTTGAGACGTGATTGTGGGTGGTAAACAGCCTGACGTTTTTTCATATATATATATAATATGCGTGTGCTAGTTCATACTTCTGGTTGCAATGTAGTATTGTGTACAAAAAAAAGGAAGTATAGAGGACAGAAAAAAAAATTGTATGCTTAATTTCTCTACTTAAAACAACAGTACCAACTTATAATATTAAATGAGAAACACGAGCTTATTATTGCTCAGGTAGGACCACCCGAATGCATTCTTGATTATGTATTCGCACTTCTTTTTTTTATCTTACGCGCTTTCATATATGTTCAAATAAATTGCTTACATCTTTAAAAAAAATCGTGAGCATTCAGAATAAATTAAGTTGAAAGTTTTCTTGGAATAAAAATCACGTCAAGTTCCTTCTTTTTCAACATTCATTTCATCTTTTCAAGTTGTTGATCACGCTGGGACAAGCAAATGTTTGTCGATATTCTTTTTCCTTAGGTTCCGAATTGAAAGTTTTCAAAGGGAGAGAGAGAAAGAGAGATATATATATAGAGAAGTGTGCGTGGGTCACTGATTGAGAGAAACGGACGTTGGTCCTGTTTGCCAACTACTTCCACAATCTGTTTCTGATCATACTCACTGTTCAAAGAAAAGTTATATATATATATATTTTCAATTTAAAATATAATTTCTACCATCTGCAATTGTTACGATTTTTCTCAAAAAAAAGAAGTTAAAGAATTGTGAAGAAAATTGAAAAATATTTTTGATAACCAATGAGTCAATTTGTAGTTTATCGGTTGGATTTAACAAGATCAAATTCCGAAACAGCAAGGGAAGCGAGTTTCTGGTCAGAAAAGCCTCATTCGGCTAATAACATAAAAAAAAAAAAGAATGGGAAGATGAAGGGCAAGGACGACGCATCGATCAGACTCGACGTCAGCATCTTTGAAATGAAATATCGAATAGCGGTAGAAGGGAAAAAAAAGTGTGAGAGAGAGAGAGAGATTGTAACGACGCATCGCGGCGCCAAGTGAAAAATGAAGAACGTTAAATTAATTTGACTTGAAATTTGAATTACAGATTTACCGCGCTTATATACGTCAAGGTGTCGATGGACATGGCGCTTCGCACCACGCGCCCCAGTAGGGATCTTAACCAATCAGCTATATAGTGATGAACTTGAAAAAAAAATCCTTCATCATCACTCTCGAAACACACCTCACAATCTTGTAGAATCTAATTCCTCATATCTAGTGGGTTGAAACAACACAAATTTTTGTGTTAATTTGTCATTCATCAAAATATTGTTACTCATTCTCAATTTAGAATATGTTTTTTTTTTAAATCATAAATTACAAATTTTTTTTATTTAACCCCTTCGCAGTTCAGTAAAAATGAAGTTTTTGTGCCACCAATTTTAAACTTTATAGTCCGCCATATTGGATCCGCCATTTTGAATTTTTTATTTTTGAATTCAGCGACCCCAAAAACCCATTTTCAGCCGGATTTGTTAACTTTTGAATGGTTTTTTTTATGCTGCTATAGCAGTCAGTGACATATACAGGGCACGACTTTTTTGTGCTGCTATAGAGGTCAGTGACAGTGAAGGGGTTAAAGGAAAAATAGTTTTGTTTCCAGTTTTGTTTAAACAATAATTATTTTATTCTCAATAATATATTGACAAATAGATTATTAAATCTGGTATAAATTTATTAATATCAGTGAAAGTTTAGAAAAATGTTAAAAATCTTGTGAAATTGAACTCATGCTGATCTTTTGCGTCCTCTCTTTAATAAAGCATTATCTTATTTTCTGTAAGTACCAAGCCGTGAAACAAGACGATGCGCGAACTCGTATTGTGAGAGTCATTATGAGTAAAGCGGTCTCATATAAGATATAACCTCTGTATATATAGGTATATCTCTTGCTCCTTATAACCCGAACGATATATATTGGAATTTCAAGGGTCGAACGAAATGAAGAAGTTGAAGTGAGTTAATGGTTATAATCGTGAGCGCACGTTAAACTAATCACTCTTTTGTATATAAGGGATGCGTCAAAAAAAGAAAGAAAAAAAAAAAAAGAAAAGGGATGAGTATATACGCGTTTAAAAACGTTTTTATTAATGTCTGATTAGTCGTAACCGCAGTCGAATAGTCTTTAATCTTTTTGATAAATGGCTGTAACGAAATTTTCAACAAACGATCCGAAACGAAAGAAATCTACACACAGTACGCACCTTTTAATTTATCACAAAATCCTTTATTTCAACAAAGGGTTTTTTTTTTATTTCACATTATGAGATTAGAAATTTTGTTTTGTGATTCATTTCCCTTTTTTGAGTTTGATGAATTTAAGGTTTAGTCTGAATTTTATATATTTTCATAAGAATTTTCTATAATTAAGTGGCGACTAATTTCAGATTTTCTTTAGTTTTTCTTTGTCGAGAGTTTTTATTTTTAAAGATTTTATTTTGATATTTGTCATAAAAGATTGAAAAAATATTGTTTCGTGTTAATTTCTGATTATTTATTTTAACGAATATAAGAATCTGACTATATATATGAGAGGCGGAATATTATATTGTGGCTGGAATTTGAACGGAATGCGAAAGGTGAATATTTCACAAGAGATAATTCATTGGGTGTAGTCATAGGCTTAATCCATTAATAAGCCTTCTCTCTTTCTTTTTGGAAGTGCTGCATTTTCTTTCTCTTCTCTACGAAGGGGATGATGACGCACAAATCCCACCCGTAAATTATTATAATACGTTTCGTTTTTTTTCTCTCTCTTAAATGTTGATTATTCACATTTGAATTCTTTCTGTACTTTTTCTCAAGAGATGTAAATTCATTTATTGACATTTCTCAGAATGAAAACTAATTTGAAAATGCGCGCGCTCTTTTCTTTTGATTTAAAAAAAAAACAGTTTTATTAATAGAAACATTAAAGTAAATTTTTATTTACATTCCAGCAGCTTTTTAGTATTTGTATAATATGGTTTCTTCGTCTCATCCATAGTCCAAAAATAAGATGTTTCAAAACATTCAGAAAATATAAGAAATTTTTTTTTTCTGATGGGAAATCAGAGATAAACTTCTTGAATTGAAATGACCAGTCACTTAATTCTCATTAAAATTTTATTGACTGCAGCAGACACTATAGAGAGCGTCAACTAATTTTTAATGAAATTTCGACATTCTTACTTTTTTTTTATATATATATAGATTTTATGTGATTTTTTGAGATTAATTTTGTATTTATTATATATAGAGAAATGTAAATTTATTAAAATATATTTCTTTTAATGTCCCTTTAATTGAATTATTAATTAATTATTATTTACTTAGGTAAATTAAAATAACTTGTATAAATAATATTTATATATATACAATTAATAATAATTAAAAGTCACAGAAATTTTATTGTTTTTGTTTCAGATTTTTTAAAGCTATGGACGACTTTACTGCAGCTTGCGGAGAAAGTGAGTTTTTTTTTTTTAAACTTCCTTTATATATTTAAAATTGCTCAACAAATTTTTTTTAATATGAAAATGAAAGGAATGAATTGAAAATAATATTTACCTTTTGCTTATCAAAAGGAAAAATTAGATTTTATTTTTTAAAAAAATGAAACGCAGAAAGCAATTGAATTTTTTTTTTATAAGTTTGAGAGTTGAAGTATGTAAAGTGGGAACATGGATCGTTCGATTGATTTAGGGCTGTAAAGTAATCGGTCCCTTGAAATCCTTATACGCTTCTCTCTCGGGTAGCGATATTTTCAATTTTATGTACCCAACGTACGCCCAGACTTTAACATCCTCCGTTTCAGTGGCTTTTGAATATTTTCACCACAGTTTACGTTCGCTACTAGTAAAGTCCGGCTCTCGTGCATCAGTTCGATCCTCCCTCACTCCCTCATTTTTATTTTATTTTTCTTTTTTTTTTTTTTTTTTTGCATATTTCATATTACCACATTAACTGCGTTGCTTCGAAGTCTCGAATTTTTTAAAAATTATTTTTCTATATTATACGTGTATACTTGGAGAAATGTTTGATTAGACCAAGATAAACGTATAATAAAATTTTAAATAACAATTTTATTTTATTTATAATTGTATAAAATATGTTTCGTGAACATTTTCGGAAGGAAATTTTTTTTCTCACGTTTTGTGAGGTATTTCTTGAAGAAATTAATTTCTCATCGGTCCGCGAAAATTTTTACAATTGAGCCTTTCTTTGGAGATAAAATTTTTTTTTTTCGAAATTTTAATAAGAGAAAATTTAGAAATCGCGAAAGATATATATGTAGAGAATTAGTAGTGTTTAAAAATGTTTTACAAGGGAATTTAATTTTTTTTTTTTTTTTTTGATGGACGTAGAAATCGATATAGGTGTATATTTAGTAGTGGGTTAAAGATTGTAGTTTCAAGGGTTAATCTCTCTGAAGATCGGCTCATTTGTTGCTGTTACCAGCCGCTATACACGACGGGCAGCACGCTCCAGATTCACATTAGATGCCGACGAGTTCCCAGAATAACTTTGCACGGACATCTTCTACGAGATATATAAGTTACTCAACATGCAAAGTGGTAACGAGATGACCTCGGAAAAGATATAGTCAACCAGAAATGGGCTGACGTGCCTTCCGTACGAATAAACGAGGGCAACCTCGCGCGTTTATTATTATTAAATATAGGAAGTGAATGTGGTTTTGATGAAAAAATTGTGTGGAAATGAATTTTGATGAATGAACTTATATAATTTAAAAGTTTATTTCCTGTCATTCTTTAAAATTTTATTGTGTGATTGCAAAAAAAGAAAATCGAAGAATTTGTTTTAACAAGAAAAATGAAGAATTTGAAGAATTTTTTTTTTGTTTTTTTTTTTTTTGAAGAAGATGTTGAAGAATTTTTTCCAAAATTAAAGAGAGATCCCTACCTGAAGAGTGTTTGAAATTTTTCCAACGAATGAAGAAGAGTGACTCGCTTTACCTGATGAATTTTCAGAAAAATGGATATGAATGAAATAAAAAGTGATGAATGGATGCTTTTTTTCAAGAGAATCCTTTATTTGGTATCTAATTAAGAAAAAAAAAAAGAGAAAGAAAAATGTACCGTATACGAAGATTTTTTTCTACTTGCACCCACCTCTTGAATTTTCCTGACAATGAATAAATTACTTTTGACGACTATCACACAACATCTGCGACCTGTTTTTAGTAGCCTTGCTATAAACTGACCCTTCACGTACTTTGCTGCAATAAAACAACTTGAACTTTATAACCTAAGTAAGTATACGGTACGCTTTCAAAGTAGAGAGCTTACTAATTTCGAACAGATACCAAATATTTAAATATATGCATGAAAAAGGAAAAGAAAAAAGATAAAGAATTGAAATTCAGAGTAGTTTTGAAATCGAAGAGAATTTTTTTTATTCAAATGCAGATAAATTATATTTTGATTTCAGATGAATTAATAGGCGTGCATTGCACACATGGAGTAAATAGAACGGGTTACTTTATTTGTCGGTAAGTTTGGGGTCGTTTTTTTAAAAATTTTTTGTTATATAATTAATATTAAATAGTACTTATTGTATATTAATTGGTAAGTAGTAAAATTAGTTTATAAAAATTTGTTGAAATTGTCATTGAAATAATTGACTGATATTCAGTTTTCATTATTCTATTGGAATTAAATGAAAATTTTTTTTATTTACCACTTTGACCCCATTTTGTACAATTTTTTTTTGCAGATATCTTGTACAACAACTCGGTTGGAAACTGACACACGCATTGCAAGGTGACTATCCCACAATATTTTTTTGCATATCAATTTTTATCGAACTATCCCGCGATTTAAACTTGACATACTCTGTATGCAGTAGAACCTCGATAATAATTCGAAAAACTTTAAAATTGATGTAATGTAAAAAAAAAAAAAATTCTCAGGTAAAGTAGGGAGGGTTGGAATTTTTAATATTGCAGATATTGGAAAATCTGTGGTTTTGTTTTAAAGCGTATGTGGATAAAGAACATACTCACGAAAAAATGTATATTAATATTTGTAGATTATTACTAAAAAAATTTTCCAACCCATCTGACTTTTCCTTAATTTATTTAAAAAGTTAACTATATTAAAATTTTACCTCTTTGTGAAAGAAATTTCTTATCTTATCAAGGCTCGACTGTATCAATGAGGAAAAAAATCCAGGGTTTATAAAAAATAAAATTTCCTTTTAGCTTTCCAAGAAGCCCGAGGATATCCAATTGAGCGTCAAAATTATGTAAGTGAATTAAAGAAAGCGCCATGTGGTCGTAAAATTGACACCAGCAAAGTGAATCTAACACCGTCGAATGCTCGTGTAAGAAAGGTACCAGTAAAACGAAGACCTCCTCCCAATCATCAAGGAGGTCGACCACCGCCACCTCCGCCTTATCTCATGGGACCACCGGGTCCTGGTTTTCATCCACCACCACCTCCACCACTTCGACGTGGTTTTGCAAATGGTGGCCCATTTCCAAGAGGTGGTCCACCTCCACGTGGATTTAATTTCCCTCAACCAGGTTATGGACCACGATTAGCCGGTCCACCACCACCATTTGGTCCACGATTAGGTCCACGAATGGGAATTAGAAATCCAATACCACCAATGGGAGCGCCAGCGCCACATCCACGTGGGCCACCACATTGCATGCCAATACCACCAAGAATGTCAATGCCTCCAAGAATGGCTGGTCCACCGCGATTACCAATGGGACCATTGCCAAGGTTACCTCCCGCCAAAATGCCACCACCAAGACTTCCTTTAGCACCTCAACAGATATCTTCGAAACGAAATTCACTTCAGATTCGTAAGCGTAAAAGCCGCGCTGCCGCTGCCACAGCGATAACGAAAACTATTAAAGATCAAGATTTTACAGTCGACACTTTCGAGGAGAATTTAACTGCTGCACCAGCTGCGAAAGTAAGCAGAGTTTCTTAATAAGCCTTTATATATACATATATGTATATATATATATATATATATATATTGACGTTTAGTGACGTCTTTTTAAGGGCTTGGACATACGATGTACAATGAAAATCCTTTATTGTAAATTCAATGAGATGTATAGTAGGGTCTATTAACACAAATAAGTCGCATCAAATTTCATTAATGATAATTTGAGTTATTTAAAAAAAAAAAAAAAATTTCCTTTTTAATGGAATTTAGAAGTTTTGACTGAACGTCAATGAATTTTTAATGTACGTTCTAAAAGATTTAGAATATAATATGTTTCTATTTTTTTTTTCCTTCTTCTAAATACAGTTTAGTTTTATCGTAAAAAAATAATTATTTCGAAAAAAATGAATTCTCTTGATTATAGTTAAATCGAAAATAAATACGATGCATTTATTTTATACTATTTTTTTTAGTGAAAAAAAAATTTATTTGATTCAAATACCGGTTTATTTGGTTATTATCAAATAAATATTTACTTTAATCAAATATTTCTTATTTGAATCAAATATATAGTATTTGAATCATATATTTCAGTATTTGAAGCAAATACCATTTATTTGATTCAAATAAGAAATATTTGATTCAAGTAAATATTTATTTGATAATAACCAAATACACCGGTATTTGAATTAAATAAATTTTTTTTTCAGTGTATACTTTTGAAATATGATCATTGTTTCAAAATACTTTTCGTGAAAAATTCATAATAATTGATGAATAAATGTGAGACAAAAAAAAAGCGTGATAAAATATTTCCTCACTGTTTTCTTTTTTTTGTATAATTTTTCTGAGTATTCATTTTGTATCTTGCACTCTTTGCGCTTGTTGTTCTATTATTTATATCAAGTACATTTGTACTAGAGAAGAAATAAAAGCAATTCGTATTAAAAAAAAGCAGATGTGATTTTTTTTTGAATTACCTTATTTAATTTACAATTACAATTTTTTGTAACCTATTTTTTAGAGCCCCTCCGTCATCAAAATAATATATTTGAAAAATTGTTACATATTATAATTTAATATTTATGATCCATTTTGAAAAAAATTGATTTCTGTGAAAAAAAAAACTTGGTAATAAGTGAAAATATCTGTAAGTAGAAGTGGCTTATTATTATATAGATTAAAGTAATTAAATTTTGTTAAATTATCAGATTCACAGAAAATTAAAAGGCATTAAAATAAGCTGCAACGCTTATTATTTTAATCCAATTTTGCTTATTTTAATCCATTTTGGTATTAAAATAAGCAAAATTGGATTAAAATAATAAGCGTTGCAGCTTATTTTAATGCCTTTTAATTTTCTGTGTTAATTGAATGACATATAATTGTAGCAGTGTTCTTTTTTTTCATTTTGAAAATTGAACCTTGTCCCAGTGCTAGTTGTGCAATTATATATTTACACGTGATGCGACCGAGATACAATCGAACTGGACCTCGAAGATCATTCTTACCTTGCATGTCGATATAAATCAAATATTGTAATTGACGGTAACGCGATACCTTCGCCGCGATAGTAAGTCTCTTGGAAATTTGTCTTTACCGAGCCATTGCCTCTGCCTTTTTGCGTCGTTATTTTATTTTACAATCTGTTATTACACAATTGTTATTCAATAATTTTCGATCCTATACAATTTTTTTTCTCTTCAAATGTAACTTTCGTTTAGTTTTTTTTTCTTTTTTTCATAAATCTTGAATTAGAAATAGAATATTATAGTGTTGGCAAGGGGGAATGTAAAGAACCTGAACGGGCAATTAGTCTCGATTAATTTCTCAAAAATAAGAAGTGAGCGCGTGTGCAGCCGTGTCTGCGGTAGGTCGAAAGTAGAAGGAATCTTGGAGTAGTTCGAATAATAGGAGGACGGACTAACAACACACACACATATATACACATTTGTGCATCCGATGCGGCATTATACGAGATATAACGTGGCAGTGCAGTTTAATGCCACAGTGCGGCCTACTTAGCGGTGGACTTGATTAACATGGAATGATTAATAGTTACCTCTCACCCCCCCCCCCTTACCCCCTTGTTCATACTATAACCTCCACCCTGCAGCGGCTTCCAAGATCTAATCGCATAATATTTATTGCCCTACGCGTCGCATCCACCTCAAGTCTTCGTCTCTCAACAATTTTGCATGTTTTTCATTTTACTTCCTTTTCTTCTTATCCCCTTGCATTTTCTCTCGCTTGACTGAATTAAAAATTGCGTTCCACTGTTCACTATATATTTTTTTTTTAAATTCTTTGTACTTTTCAAAAGAACCCAAAATTTTTTTTTATTTGAATTTGTCAAACATATTAATAGTTTATTTCAATAATTAATTATTTTATTTTAATATTCTTTTCTATTATATAGTATTTAATATATTTTATTATTAATAATAATATTTTATATTTATATATAATATATTAATAATAATAATAATAATAATAATAATAATAATAATATATTAATAATAATATTTTCCTATACTATCGATAATAAATATAACAATTAGTATGTTTGATAAAAACAAGTTTAAAATTTAGATAACATTAGCATTTTTAAGAATCATGCTTCTTGGAAAGTAAAATTTGTCCTCTTTCGAGTGAGAATACCATTTGTAAATAACATTCCTATTGAAATTGTGTTTTTTTCAACTTCATTGCAAAATTGCATGTGAAGCACAATATTTTCCAAGAGACTTAAAATGATTATTTAAGGAAATTTTTTTTTTTTTTTTTTAAAATACAAAATACAATCAGTCGGAGAGGCAGACGCATAGTGTCTTCATTAAAGGGTTTCGTGGCTGTTACATCAAAGTTAATTATACAAACACATGGAGAGAAATAGATGGTAAGAACTTATGATCTTAAAATGGTAAAAAGTAGATGTTATCCGGTACTATCATTATGCTACTCGGTACTATCAAAGATGTTACAAAAAGTATGGTTATGTTACCCACTACAATCAAGATGTTACTCCGTAAAATCTGGATAGTAACTGATAGAATCTAGATTGCTATCCGTATATGTAAGAACAAATATGGTATCTGGTACTATGTAGATAGTACCCCGTACCATCTATTTCTCTCCGTGCAGTTGCTATAGAAACAGTTGTTATGGTAACGATTACTATGGTAGTGGTTTCTATGGTAACGGTTCCTATGGTAGCGGTTATGGAAACGATTGTTATAGTAATGGTTGCTGTGGAAACCGTTGTCATGGTAACCGTTACTATGGTAGCAGTTGCTATAATAACTGTTGTTATAGTAACGATTGCTATGGTAATGGTTGCTATAGAAACCGTTGTTATGGTAACACTTACTATGGTAATGGATCCTATGGTAACCGTTGTTATAGTAACGATGGCTATGGTGACGGTTACTATACAAACCGTTGTCATGGTAATTTTTGCTATGGTAACCTTTGTTATAGTAACAATTGCTATGGTGATGGTTGCTATGGAAACCGTTGTTATGGTAACCGTTCCTATGGTAGACGAACTATAGCGTACGAAAGATAGATTTAATCTGATAAAAACAAATCTACACTGAGAAAAAAAATTTAGTGTTTGCAACAAAATTGTTTGGTTAGGCAATTTTGGTTCTTGTAACCAAATTTTGGTTGGCTGAAACAAAGTCGTAGAGTTATCTCAACCAAACATTTGATTAGGCCAACAAAATTATTTGGTTGGACATTTTTAAATTCCAACCAAAATTCGGTTACGACAACAAAATAGTTTGGTCTAAAAAACCAAATGATCGTTTGTTGTCCTAACCAAAATTTAGTTGCGACAACCAAATAATTTGATTCGCTCTCAGCTCATAGCTTAAGAGAACAATTAGTTTAAATCTCTCACAAGGATAGGTAGTCCAGTGGTCAGAGCTCCCGATCTTCAGTTTTAAAACAGAGGTTCGATCCCAGACGGTAATGAGATTTTTCAAAGTCCACAAATATTTCAATTGGATAAATATAAATTCAATGTTAAATTGATAATAAATAAATAATGAAATAAATAAAAAAGAAAAGAGATAAGGTAGAAAATTTTTTTAATTTTACAAAAAAAAAACTGATTGTTTGATCAACCAAACATTTTTGTTGACCTAACAAAAAAAATTTGGTTGAGCTAACCAAACATTTTGTTATGCCAACAAAAAACACTTAACCAAATTTTTTGGTTGACTCAAACAAATAGTTTGGTTGCTTAAATACCAACAAAATTTTTTTGTTGGCCCAACCAAATTTTGGTTGCTCTGCGACTAAACATTTTTCTCAGTGTAAAAGTATTATGCGAGGGAGAATCTTGAGATTTTTTTATTTTTTTTATTTTTACAAACGTTGTCAATTTTTCTCAATTACTTTATTATATGTGATATGCCAAAATGTAGCGCGTGGTCGATAGCAACGTTTAATAATTGAAATCACTTTTGTGGCGCCAGCTCTCTTCACTTGTTTTTGAGGATATATAAAATAAACTTGGAACGAAAGCGCGCGTATAATACACACATCCTCTCACTTTTGGTTTCTCGCTCAGCGTATCGTCATTATTAACGGATCTTATCGTGAAGAAGTGCTTATTAGGGACTTTATTACCGAGTCTCTGTTCAGCCTCCTTCAATAAGATACACTTGCCGGCGTTGTGGTGTGCCGCTCCAGTTCTAATTTTCAAAGTTGACGCATATCTGAGGATGAGGCTAATTATTTCGAGAAAAAAAAAAAAAAACTATATTATGTATACATAATATTGTTCTAAATAGGTTTCTGGTTAGAAAAAGCATCGCGCGTGAGTCAATGATTCGCTTTAGAGAGAATCTTTATAATCACGTCACCTATGATTAGTCTCTTGCGCTTCTGATTTATCAAGTACCTTGCGTTAACTTTTTTTTTTTATCCCTCTTCTCGTTAATACATGCTCACGTTGCAGGTATAATCGAGTGCTTTGAATTTTTTTGTTTTTCTTTTTTGTTATCAAAAGAGAAAACGATTATATAATTCATGGGACATGTCGTTTTAGAAATGTATTTCAGATTTTTTCTTTTATATATCGTGATAGCTAAATTATTTATAATTATAGATTGACAAGGTTGTTTCCTTATATACGAGGCGATGAGATTAAAAAAAAAAATTCAAAGCTGTTTATCGAATTTTCAATTCAAATGTATGAA